CTTCTGGCTTAGCTAGGCCACAGGCTCGAGGGCCCAGAGAAGGGGACATCTACTTGCAGGAAAGGTTTCTCCTGGCCCCTGGTCCTCCTGCTTACTGACTCCACAGACACCAATCAAGCTGGAATGGGGGCAGAGGCTATGTCACACAGTGCTTTGTGCTTTGTAGTTACGGCCAGGCTCTGGGGCCAGGCTGCTTGGGTTCAAATTTTATCACCTTCATTAGGTGGCCGTATGGCCCTGGGCAAGTAATTTAATGGGCCACTCGCTGCTGTTTCCCCATCTGACAAGCAGCATACTGTAGTAGTTAAAAGCAGGGCTTTTGGCTGGGGTGTAGCTCACGGGCTTAGCATGCCCCATGCCCTGGGTGYATCCCCAGCATGAACACCACCAGATGGACTGTGGAGCCAGACTGTGTGGTTCAAATGCCAGCTTGGTTTCTTAGTTKCTGCATGATGCAAGTTATTTATCTTCCTGGGCCTCATTTCTTTATCTGTACAACAGGGACAATAAATTTCTCCCTCCTACGGGCTTTCAGAATGAAAGGAAATTGTGCACACAAAAGCACTTAGTGCAGAGGTCATGAATAGAGCTGCTGTAAGAATGACTTTGGTCAGGGGCTGTGTTAAGCTAGAGGAGGGAGGGGCCAGTGCAGGACTAAGCCAGAGGGCCCTAGTTCTGCTCCCTCCAAGCCACTGATAGCTACATTTAATTTGCCATGTCAAATAAGAACCAGGGAGGCCAGCTGTTCCTCTGCTGGTTACCAGGGACCTCTGGATTTATCAACCTGTTTTAAGCATGGTTGCTAAGGGGCTTTAGAGGACAGTGTGGGGCAAGCAGCGGTGCCAAGAAGAAAAACAACCCCCTTCCTCCCACCCACAGTGTGTTCTTGTTGGACTTCCTGGGKGGAGGTGTCATTCAGGGATAGGGCATCCAGGAGCCTAGGGATACTGGTTGCTAGGGGTGAAGTCCTGTCTGACAGAGTACCTCTTCTGTCCCAGGTCAGCTTCGTACCTGAGGCTTCTCCCCCACCTGACCCCCAACAAGGCACTCAGCTCTTACCAATTCGAACTCTCCATGAGCAGGAGCTTCGGAAATAGGAATAGAGGATGGGCTGAAGAGAGAGGACAAGGGTGTGTATTAACCCAGGTTCAACAGGTTTCCACCCCCCAGGAGAGGGTCTCTTGAGCCACCACTGCTTCTTCCGGTACCACCAGGCCTCCTTCCTGAGGCCTGTGTTTGGGCAACCTAGGGCCGATTTAGAGCTCACTGGGTCAGAGGCCCTGGGAGCTGTATAAGGTCCCTTGGCTCCCAACTGTGTTGGCATGAGTCCCTGAGGTCTGAGTAGCCACCACGGGGACAGCAGACTTCAGGGGCCTGCCTTACCTTGCCAGACTCTGTCATGGTTCTGTGGTGATCCTTGACTTTCCAAGGAATGTCCCCTCTCACAGAGCTGCAGGGCATGAGGAGTAACCCTGAAAGGGCTGGTCCCATGAGCCAATGGGGAAGCTGGGTTAAACAGGCTTCAGGGAACTTTGACTCTGGTCACAAAGTTCATCTCTTTCCAACTTGTGGGAAGTTTGTTTTGTTCCTCGTGGATCTAGGTTTGGTATTTTGTGCAGAAAATGTGGCCTGGCTTTGAGGCAGCAGTTTGTGTGGCACAGAGGGCAGGGAGTTGGCATATCTGGGGTCCAGACCCAGTGCAGGACCCAGCCCTGCATGACCTTGGACAAATCCCTTCCTTCTCTAGTCTTCAGTTCCTTTGCCTGTAAAACAAAGAGTCACCCTAAAAGATGGCAGAGATCCCTGCCGGCAGTGGCAAAAAGACCAGGAATTCTAATTTTTTGATGCTTTGGTTTCTATATCCTTTAATCCCCACCCTCCAGACTTTGACTCCCAAATGGCCTTATAAAAATAGCTGGCAGATGTGCCCATTCACCCYAAAGGTGAGGTAGCAACTAACAGCTCGGAGGTCCCATCTGGCTCTCAGATTTTCTGTTGATCTACAGATAGTTCCTGACTTAACAGTGGTTCAACTTAATGATTTCTCAAATTTACAGTGGTGTAAAAGAGATATGTATTCGGTTTGGACACCATACTTCAAAATTTGGGTTTTGATCTTTTCCAGTCTAGAGATAWGCAGTACAATACTTCCTCAAAATGTCAGGTACAGCAGTAAGCCACAGATCTGAGATCACAGACTGATCATGAAGGGGAACAACTGACAATTTACAGAGTATTGTGCTGCCAGCATTTTTTACATATTGTATTTTGACATCCTATCATGTCTACAAAATGCCTATGTGTGGGGCTGGGGTCAGTGGTAGGTGCTTACCTAGCAGGTGCAAGGCCCTGGGTTCAATCCCCAGCCCCCTGGGGTGGGGGTGGATATCCATCTTTGTGTGTAAATGAAATTTTTAGCACTTTATAAATAAAATAAGTCTTTGTGTTAGATGATTTTGTATAACTGTGGGCTTGTGTTCTGCCATGGCTCATGCCTGGCCTATTTTTCTCATTTTTGCTAACTTCAGGCTCCTAAAGAAAACTAAAGTGTGTGGYCTTTCTTCTGAGGTTTAAGAAACTCAAATTTAATTTCCCTGGTGCTGTTTGCATAACCAGCATTTTAAAGTGGGATCCAAGAAAGAGTAACCAGTGATTAATACTCATGAATCTTCCCAAAGACATATTCATATGGCTGRGAGAAAATGGTAAAGTTTTTCAGATCACCCGTCTACTACCTCTCAGATTACAGACATTTACCAAAGTTTCCTCTCCCTTCTGCCACCCCAGTACCCCAAACTTCTATCTGAACCTGCTTTCCTCATCCCTACMCTACCAATGCACTCTTCTAGGTGGGCAAGGACACAAGTGGGTACCCAAGCTCTCCCAAAGTGGTTCCCAAGCCTAGGAGTACCAGCCTGTCTTCTGAGTACCTTTGTGGGTATGGCAAAGATGGTCCTGGCATAGAGAGCAGGTGATAGGCAAAAAGTGTCTTTTGCAAAGAAGTCGGGCAGCCACAATTAGATTTTATTTGGAGATGCATTCCTTTCCTTATCTAGCTAGGCTGGAGGGGCCTCCAGGAACAACAAACAGGGACTGCTGTGAGGGATTAACTACTAGAGAATCAGACTTGAGGTTAGAATCACTGAAGAAATGCCTCACCTAATGACTGAATGTTACACCTTTGACATGTATTAAGGATGACCAAAGTCACAGTAAATTCCACTGCCCTCCACTATGAGCCATAAGTAGGAAACTTCTGCACTTTCTCTTACTAGTGATAACTATATACAGTAGTCCCCCCTTATTGTTTGAGGGATATGTTCCAAGACCTTTACTGTAGCTGAAAGCCACATGTGGTACCAAATCCTATATATACTATGTTTTTTTTTCTTATACATAAATACATACCTAAGGGTCAGTTATAAATTAGGCACAGTAAAAGATTAACACTGATTATAATGAAATAGAATACTTATAATAGCATACTGTGATAAAATTCCAACATTGCTACTCTTCAGTTTGGGGGCCATTATTAAGTAAAATAAGCATTATTTGAACAAAGGTACGGCTGAACCTCTGAAGCCTACCTGGTAACCAAGACAGCTAGAAAGTGACCAACAACAGGTAGCCTACAAGGCCTGGATATGCAGAACAAAGCAAGGACTCACTACACTACAGGCAGGATGGTGAGATCTCCACACAACATTCAGMAAGGACTGCTATTTAAACTTATGAATTGTTTATTTATGGAATTTTCCACTTTAATATTTTTGGACCACAGCTGACCAGATAACAAACCATGGGAAGAGAAAACAGATAAAGGGGTACTACTGTAAATTATTCCTTGTTCATTTTTGCACTTGTACAGCTAAATGTTAAGCTCAAGTAGAGTGTCCATTTCACCAGCACTCCTGGAAGAATTCAGGAATTCAAAGATGCCTTCCAATCACTCTGGCAAATTTTTATTTATGTTGCGGTACTGGAGATCCTACGCAAGGCCTCATACACGCTAGGTGAGTGCTGTTACACCCTCAGCTGTTTTAAAGCCATCTCTTAGACATGGTTTTTAAAGACTCCTAAAATTCCATTTGGGAGCGGGAGGGCTATACATTATCAAGGTGACGTCCCAGCTGATGGGCCACCTTCCCTAAGGAGCTGTAACAGCAGTTCTCAAACTTCAGAGCCCTCAAGACTCACGTGAGTCGCTTATAAAACATATTCTCAGCCCGTTTTATCAGAAGGTGATATGGGGGGTCTATAAAGGCTCGGGGGAAATGCAGGTTAAAGCTGGGAAGCTCCCCAAACTATGAAGGCTTCAAGTGCCACCGCTCCCCTCTCCCTTGGTGCTCTTAAAATGCAAACTTTCCTTGAAGGCCATCAGTCAATTGTTAGGATGACCAGCGGAGAGAGGAACACGCAGAAAGCGTGGAACGGGGAAACGAGGGTCGTCCTTTGGAAGCCCTAGAAGACGTCCGCGTAGTTACGGACAAGGAGGACGAGAACAGAAAGCGGTGTGAGTGGACTCCGCCGCGCAGGCTCCTCCAGGAGCGCCTCCACCAGCCCTAACTTGTCTGGCCCAATGGCCTAGCGGGCAGCGCGCAGGCGCAGAGAGTGTCCGGCGCGACGAAAGGCTCGCCGGGAGTCGTTGTGGGAGCCGTGGGCGGGGCAAAGAGGCGCACCCTTGGCCCCGCCCCCAGCTTTAATCCACGTTTACTAATTAGACGACCCGCTCCCCCAGAGCTTGGCACAGACCTTCCCAGCTTGCATCTCGCACTTCGGGAGACTCCCTCTTCCAGCTGAGAAAGTTCGCTCCCGGGACTGGCCGACGATTGAGGCCCTGTGAGACCCTTACGAGTTAGACCTTGGCCCTCGTCTGGGTAAAGCGAGGTCGGGCTGGAATGGACTTCCCTGCCGTCTTTGGCTGGCTCCGCCCCGCCGTCCCTCCGCCGCCCCTGCTCTCGCTCCCAGTGCTGCTGGGAGTTGCAGTTTCRTGAACAGGTCCCCGTCTTCGCGTCCTCCCATTATGCTCTGCGCCTCTTGCCGCCTCCTAGTGGCCCGGGCGGCCACCACGCTTCCCGCCCCACCCAGAGGCCGGGGCCCTGCGTTTCGCTACCAGCGGCGGGAACTACATTTCCCAGGGCACCCCGAGCCGCCCTCTAATGACTCCTCAGCGGGCCGGCTGACAAGACAAAGCGTGCCTCTGGGCCGAAGGGTGATCCTGAGGAGGGGGAGGATGCCGCCGGCCCTAGGCGGAGGCCTGGCAGGGTCCGAGCTGCGATTCCGGAGGGGCCGCTGCGGGTCCCAGGCTGCTAGGGTCGTGGGTCGGGACGTGGCTGCTGAGACTGCAGCACGAAACCCCAAACGGCCTGCTAGGGCCTCGCGGCTCTTTAAGGCGGCCGGCCGGTGGGCCCTGCTGGCCCTGGTGACGCTGCTGTCCTTTGCCACCCGCTTYCACCGCTTGGACCAGCCGGCGCACATCTGGTGAGTGATGGGAGGGACTCGGCGGGCACTATGGCAACCGGGAGGAGAGACGCCGCCCTCTGATTGGCCCGGGGGTACGGAGGAGGCGGGATTCACAGGAGGATCAGTGGGTCCACTGTGGAGGGAGAACTAGTGGGTTGATTTGCAGCGAGGTACAGTCTGGGTGGAATGGGTTTGCTCCGATGGGGGACAGTGGGATCTGAAGAAGCAGTCCTCATTGGTAATGCTGGAATGTTTCACTTCATTCTCAAACTGTAAAGGTGCTCTGATCTTTACAAAGAATTGGAAATTCTTGGTATAGAATTCCCAAGGCCTGAGTTCCTCATCTGCAGGATGTGCAGGCATCAGCAGAAAGGAACATTCCTTACTGGGTACTTAAATCCTGCACATCAGTGTCGAGGGGTGGTGACAAGTATTCTAGGAGGTAGGTCTGGGTTGTCCTGTGAGAAAAGATTTATTTTCTTGAAAGTTTTATTTTTTATGACACAGATGCTTACAAAGTTGTTAATTAGAAGGAGAAGTTTTATATGATCTGAAAAGGGTTGATTTGTCTGGCCAAGTGACAGCATGTTTTCTCAGTATTACTAAAGAGAAAATTAGCAGAGAATGTCAGAAATGTAACCTACTGACCAAAAAGCCATATAGAAAACTGTCAGGGTTGCCCTACTTTGACATTAATGAATTAGCCATGACACGTTTTTGTTTGGTGACTGCTGGCAGAAGATGTGACGCTCTTGCGTTAGAGATAAAAGACTATTACAGAAAGCAGGAAGAGTATCAGCATAATGGAGTCAGTTTCCTTTGCTCTCCAGGTCCCACAGGGTGAYGCTATGGGCTGCATAACACCATGGGTTGCATCAAGGCTAGCAAGCTTGGGGAATCTTCTGTGTTATCACAGGCAGTGAGCAAGCCTACTCTTTGTCCAGGAGAGAGATGTTATCTTTTCTTTCCAGATTGTTTGTTGCAAATAAAACCCTGAGAAATGACCCTGTCAAGCACAAGTACGGTCTTGCATTCTTGGTATACATAGCAAGACTTGTGGGTGCATGAAACATGGATGGTCGACTCTTTCCCAATGGTCTTCTCACCCCTCAATTCTACACTGTCTTGGCTTTTATTAGATTTTCACATAAATATGCAACAGATGACAGAGGCAGGGGCCAAATCAAATCTCTTTAATCTGTTTCATACAGCATTCATGGGACTCCAAGAAGCAGGATGAGGCCAGCCTTCAGTATTTACCTYAACTATGGCCTCCAGGGTCCTGGTCTTTCAGCCACCAGTGAATTGATCAGGGGACCATTGAGTCTTATTTTAGACAACTGAGATGTAGTTCTAAGGCCTGTCCATTATGATCTGTGTTTAGGAGTTTAAATTGACCTCTAATATTTGTTGTTTCTGTCAATAATGACAATACCCACTCCCACATAAAAAAAAGTCTGACTTCCATGCCCAATGGAAAGACATTTGTGGCTCATTCCTCCTTATCTCCTTAACATACTACCTGRAGGGGCACAGGTCACTCAGTTCAGAACTTTGTTAAATTTTATTTGTATCACCATCAGATTTGATTTAGATCACTATTATGTTGATCTAGTTAAGCCATATGGGAAGTGTCACTAAATAGTTGCAGTCTTAGTCTTTGTACAAGGCATAATCCAAGGCCCCTAGTACATCAGGGGAAGCATATGATTGGTATCAGATTGACAGAAGGTTGTTCTTTTCTATGTATTTGCACACATACGAGGAAAGTGTGGATGTCATCAGGTACATCAATAGTCACATCCACATGAGTTTTCCTATTTTCATAGCATGAAACTCAGCCACAGGTCAGATTGTCAGCTTCAGCTATCACCTGACTTAGGTGGACCATCTGAGTCTTTTTTCCAGGTTTTGTTGCTGGACTTGGGCACAAAGAGCATCGTTTCACTYCACTTTATATCTCCAGAGATCTAAGGTGTTCCTTCCCTAGCGTCTTGGTTTGTTTATTTCCTACCACTGCACATAATTTGTGTGTCCCATCACCTTTTCCCCATTTATCCTTTACCAATATCTAGACATTTCTGATATGAGCATTGTTAGAAAATTTAGAGAGACTCATTATATTTCTACATGGCACATGTGAGCCACTTGAAGAGCAGAGAACTGAATCAAGTGGTCATTATGTTCATGCTCTTCGATGGTGTCACTCCAGCAAGACCATCCAGGTGACTAAACTAGAATTAAGTTTGAATCCTGTAGACCCTTCTCCACCCTCCCCAGCTGATCTGGGGCTTCTCTGAGGAGAAAGACAAACAAATCATGCTCAGAGAAATTTCAGTTTTTCCAAATAGGTTTATATAACTCCACCCCTTTTCCTGATCATTACCCAGTTGGTGACCAAGAGGAGATGAACCTTTCTGAGAAGGACTGCATTAGATGACCAGACTGTACAGGCCAAAAGGAGGTGATGGAGTCATAAATCTCTGAGGAGACTATAAAATGCTTGACAATATCAGATGCCTGTGGATAATAGGGAAAGTGGTTATCTATGAAATATACCTTGTCTATTGACCCATTGTTGGGTGGCCATTGTGTCAAAAAATCGATCCACTGTCAGACTGTAGATGGTTTGGAAAGCTGAAAACATGACATAGTTTCAAGGTCCACAGAGTCAGATGGCTGGACTAAAACAGCCACATCACTGGACCTGAAGAAGTACCAGCAGCAGTGAGGTACCAGTGATAGTTCCAAGAAGGGAACAAAGTTCCTGGGAGCAGGCAAGGTCAATGCCCCAAGCATTYTGGCTTCCTTCACTGCAAGACAGGCAGGCCAACTTTTGGCAGGAGTGTGGCATGCAGGATGGTTTTCAACACCTGTGGTCCTTTATTTTGTGCTTAGTTCATGATGGCAAATACATTTTCACACCCAGTTCATTGATAAATCCAGGTGGCCATGGCTGTAGTTCAGCTGGTGCAGGCTTGATCAACAGCTTGATTGCATAGTCCTGTCAGCATACTGGCCCTGACTGTGGGCACCTGCATGAGTAAATGATCCAGGCTGTCCATCAGTAGACAGCCGCAGTTTGCTCCCCTAGTTTTCGGTTTCATGGAGAAATGTCTTTAACCTCTCAGCATTGAGTCTTCCAACTGGTGTATCAAGTTGGCCGTCCAGAGTTGTCACTGGGGCTGAATGATTGCTGCTCCTCAATGGATATCATCAGCTTTTAACAGCCTAACCATCAGTGAACCAGGCCCAAGCATTTTTTAAAAATATTTTTAAAATATATTTTTTATAACTTTATTTTATTTATTTACTTTTTATGTGATGCTGAGGATTGAACCCAGTGCCTCATCTGTGCTAGGCAAGTGCTCTGCCACTGAGTACAGCCCCAGCCCTGGCACAAGCATTTTGGGGAACCTCGGTGAATCAAGGGTTCCCCTGAGCTAGTTGCCATGCTTTAGGGAGAGGAGTGGGAAATGGTTTCTTTGCCCCTTTAATGTAAAACTGAGGTGCCTCCAGGCTGGCTATCCTCCTGTATGTACCATTTTCATAGGACACAGAGCCCTTCCCTTGTTAGCTTTAAATTCCAAGTGAACCTTCTCCAAAGTAGGAATGTCAAGCCAGAGAGACCTGGATACTCATTTCAAGGAGTTCAGTATGTTAATAGCTGCCCCTTTAAAAACAGATGTACTTGGTGCATTTGTCCAGCAGGTGGGGCTGTTGTCCTGGCGAATCAGTATTCCACCAGCCAGCCAGTTTTTAAAGCTGATTTCCCTTTCCCAGAGTTTTCTTTCTTTCTCCTGGACAACTAGGAGGATACAGACAGGATCACCTCTCTACACACAGCAGTCCTTGAATGGGATAATCCTCTTTGACACTTGTGGGATCAATATAGTCTATAYACTCAGCAGTGGATGCCATATTGAAGTGGCACAAAGAGCTTAACCACAAGGTCACTCTAACTTTCTTTCTCTATGGGGAATTCAAGCCCTGTCAGTTGAATTCAGGCACTTCTTCCCACCCCCACCCCACACCTTGAGGTAATGAGTCTAATAGGCCTGCATCAGGCACCACCCTGAGATTATGCCACTTCCCAGAGTGTGGGGTGCTGGATATGAGGGGCAGAGAGAGGTTCTTTCCTCCTGGGCCCTTCTTTTCTTCCTTAACCCCTTACATTTTCCTCACTGTTTTTCCTAGTGTCTGGTGAGCCCTTCCTTGGGTTTGGGGACCCCTTTCTTTTAGTTGCTGCACAACTAACTAGTGGCTGTCCCTACAATCCTTAGTGCCTTTGTAAACCCTGAGCCTTGCACCCCCTCCTGTTCCTCCAGCCATGGGACTGGCTGGCGGGAGATGTGACTCCTATACAATAGAGGGCTTCCTGAATTTGGAGGGCTTCCTGGAGGTCCTCAGCATTCCAGGATGGGTGTGTGTGGCCTTCTGTTTCCTTTGGGGTCATGGAAACYTTGGCCCTGCCTTTAATCATCTTACTCTTTAAAGCAGCTGAGGTTGTGGTAGAGGGGGAGGAACCAGAGCACATAAAGGGAGAGGGTGACACAGAGCCAGTATGCAAGGCATATTTACTTTTGGCTTGAGTACACAGCTTGCCCAAGGATCTTCAATATTGTCATTTTAATGGAAGTTCTGTGTTGAATAGCATGACCTTCTGCTGAATCATTTATTGATGCTTTGGAGACTTCTTGACTCAGCAGTCACTTCATATTGCCCTTTGACAGGGCTGCTAGGCTTGTCACTCTACTGTCATGATCACAACTCTTCTTTCTTTTGCCTAGAGGAGACTGAGTAATAACCCAGAGAGCTTTCAGGCACCATCTTAACCCTGCCTCTCCCCAGTCAGCTTCTTTAGTAAGGGGACAGTGAGGATTCTTACTACTCCCACTGCCCACCAYTTGGGCAAGAACATTCGCTACAGGTTCTAGAAGATTTCTCATATTCCTAACTCAGGCCATGATTTTTCAGAAAGGTGTGTGTCTCATTATCCTATGTTTGACCTCCCAAACTGTCAGGAGCTAGGATATTTTTTTAGCTGACTTAAAAACTCACAAGTTAATCTGTCACTGTTATCTGGACATTGGCAGAAGTCAAAGTCCTGGATCAGAGGCAAAGAACTTTATTTCTCATGGCACAGCAAGCAGAACGAGTGAGCATCAACATGTTGGCCTCGACCCCACCCCCCAGAGTCCCATGTGGTGCCATGCGTGTGGATGAGTGCTTGCTGTGTGGTGGCTGTACCCACCTGGTGAACATTACTGAGCTGGGGAGTCCCCCGTTTTACAGCAGGCAGTAAGCAGGCTGCTCTCTGTCCCAGAGGAGAGCTTAGTGCTTCCCCAGGGTTGCTTGCTGTCAATATAGACCAGGAGAAATGGCCTGGGTACAGATGGGTCAGGGCCTTGCCTTCTCAGTATATCCTGCGAGGCCTGTAGGAGCACGACAGTCATGGAGAACTGTCTCTCCCAGCACAAGCAGTGAAAGAAAGCCAAGAGGCAATGTGGATGTTACTGCTGATTTTGTTGGCAAGCTTCTGAAGTGAAAGTCTCATGCCCCTTTGTCAGTCTGTTCCCAAACCAGCTTCAAACCACAAGCAGGGCATGGTGGCACACACCTGTAATCCCAAGAACTCTAGAGGCTGAGGCAGGAGGATTGCAAGTGCAAAGCCAGCCTCAGCAATTTAGTGAAGCCCAGAGCAACTTAGTGAGACCCTGTCTCAGAAATAAAAAATAAAGTAACATAAATAGTCTGGGGATGTGGCTCAGTGGTTCAGCGCTCCTAGGTTCAAWCCCTGGTACCAAAAAAAGAAAGAAAGAAATAGTACCTGGGATGTGTGATAGCTTCCAGTCCACAGGTTTCTTTCACATGCATTATCTGAGTTGAGTCCTCATAGCTCCCTGGGAGTGTGGGGCATGGCGGTACTGAGGGAGGAAAGAGGGCTGGAGCAAGTGTGTGATCTTGTCACACCATTAGTCAGTGTTGGAGCTGTGGCTGCATCTCTCTCTTCTCTCTGCGAATCTGTTTTGTTACACTGCTCAGAGTTTGTTTTCTCCCTCCTCCCACTGTCTCTGGCAGGATCCCCCCCCCCCATTCTGGGAGTTGAGTCCAGGGTGCTTTACCACTGAGCTACATCCTCAGCCCTTTAATTTTTTATTTTGAGACAGGGCCTCACTAGGTTGCTTAAAGCCTCCCTCCCTGACTCGCTGAGACTTGAACTCATTCTGCCTTGGCCTCTGGAGTGACTATGCCACTGTCCTCATCTGATGTCAGCGTACTTAGCAAAAGCATGTGTATGCCCTTTCCATTTACTGGGTGGGCCTACCGAGTTAAAAATATATATGTATGTATGTGTGTGTGTGTGTGTGTGTGTGTATATATATATATATATATATATATATATATATATTATTATAAATTTTTGGAAAAGCAGTTTGCCCCTGATGTATTAGGTTGGTAGTGATTGCTCATGGAAGCTGGCCTGGGTGGGACAGTCACTAGAGAACAACCCCTCCTTTGAGCTTCAGGAAGAGAATAATGAACAGAAGTGGCCAGGCTCTCCTGGGTGATGTGGCTGTGACGTGGCTTAAAGTCCTCATGTAGGATATAAAAAAGCTTATGTGGTGTATAGAAGAACAAAACTTCACATTTGTAAAAGCAAATGTATTAGATTCACTTATAAAATAACTTATGCAGTGAGGACAAGTTTTAGATATGTTCATAGTAAAAATGCTCAGTTTTTCCACAAGGTCAGTCAGAGCCCAGCAGATTGCTCATCTCAAGGTCGCTGAGCAAAGTCAGAGTCCTGTGGCCGTCATGGTATGACGGCTCTCTGTGACCAGTTGCCCAATGGCATAGTACATGTAATGTACATTTCAGTAGCAGAGAGTCTCAGAGTCATAAGGTCACAGACTCAGAAGAAAACTCATACATACAAACCTTCCCATACAGGACAACTCTACCCTTTTTAAAATAAATAGATAAAAACTCAAAATACTGAATAAGTATATATTTAACTTAAATTTATAGTCACTGGTTGATAAATATTTGCTAACCTTTCTCCTATCTCTCAAAATGAAGGTTAATAACCACCTTAATGCCCTGCTTTCTCAAATCACTTGTATCACAAATATTTTTTAAATCCACATTTTCTTGTTAATGCTTGAAACTCATTGTCTTTAGTCTTAACTGTGATTTTAACTATGTGTTATTAAGGCATTCTGTTTTTCCTTTAGTTGGGATGAGACTCACTTTGGAAAAATGGGAAGTTACTATATCAACCGCACCTTCTTCTTTGACGTGCACCCGCCTCTGGGAAAGGTGAGCAGCATGGCGAATAGCAGCTTTCCTCGGGTGGTTCCTAGGTCTTGGAGCCAGGTGTTGATTTTGAACTTAATTCTTGGACTTTAGACTTTTCTGACAGAATTCCCTGACATTCCAGATCAGCAACTTTCATATGAAATCATAGATGGTTTTAGGGATCCTCTGGGCTCAGAAAGAGAGAGAGAGTCTCTCCACTAGTAGAGAGATAAACACATGAGTTATATCTCTGCAATGGAATATTACTGAGTCATGAGGAGGAATAAAGTTCTGATACATGCTACAACATGGAACCTTGAAAATGTCATACTAAGGGCTGGGGTTGTGGCTCAGTGGTAGCGTGCGTGCTTGCCTAGCATGTGTGAGGCACTGAGTTCGATCGATTCTCAGCACCACATACAAATAAATTAAAAAAAATAAAAAGGTCCATTGAACAAAAAGTATTAAAAAAAGAAAATGTCATGCTGAATATATGAAGGCAGACACAAAAGGCTGTATATTATATTATGAAATATCTAAAATAGACAAATTCATATAGACTGAAAGTCAGTTAGTGATTGCCAGGTCTGAGGGGAGGGAGGATTAGGGAGCAATTGCAGATGAGTATGAGGTTTCTTCTTGGGTGGTGAAGTGTTCTGGAATTAGTTACTGGTATGATTGTACAACCTTGTAAATATATGTAAAGCCACCGATTGGTTATGCTAAAGTGGTGAATTTTATATTAAGTAAACTTTATTTCAATTTTTAAAACAATAAAAGAATAGAAGGAGTATATTGCACAAAGCAGAAATAGCTTAGAAGAGCTGACTGCCCACATGGAAGAAAACTTCTTTTCTTCTCCCACTCCTGCATACACTTTCTTTGACCTGTTCCTCTTATGTGTTTTTAAATTAGAAATTCTACAATTAGATTCCTTTATTCTTTTAAAAACAAGCATCTCTGAGAAGGCCCGTGGGTCAGCCCTGGCATGCACTCTGGCGCCTCTCCTTGCTGGAGAACCAGATCCTAGACACCAAGGGCCGGAATTGGCCCATGCTGAAGGGTGAAGTGATCCTGGAGCAAGCAGTGCTTGGGATGAAGGCAGAGACAGGGGCAAGAGTAGTGATCTGTGACAGGTGGGCGTGGGGCATTTGAGAGCACAGGCTAGAGACCAGGTGAAGGTCCCTGCAGGAAGCARGGGTGGAGAAAGAGGTAGGACAAGTGGCTTATTTTGAAATTGGGAAAGGACAGAAAATGTCATGCCTCTTCCCATCCGCTTTACAACACAAGAACAATAAAGAGAAGAGCGGTGATGTCCTGTCTCATGTAAACCCCAGACAACCTGATAAAAGAGGTGCTATTGTAGCTCCATTTGCAGATGGGAAACTGGCATTTTTTTCTTTTCTCCCCTGGGGAAAYGTCTATCTTCATTCCTCTCATATTTTCTTCCCTTCTCCTTATTCCTGGTGTGTAGCTACTTGCTCACTTTTCTCCCTCCTCATCATGACTTGGAACTTGAGTTTCCTTTCAATAAACCAATCTACCGGGAATCAGCGTCCGCCCATGACCTCCCTGCACAGATGCCATTTCCTAACAAATGACAAAGGCTGAATGTGAGAGCCCCGCGCTGGCCCTGCCCTTCACACTGTGGGAACTTTTTCCTTCCTCAGTATTTAGTCTACACTATTTTCCAAGAACTTGCCATAACATAAGAGAGGATTTGTTTCAAGCAGTGAGCTCAACAGACAGAGAATTCTTTATTCTGCAGCAGCTGCAGGAGAAAATGTGATCTTGGCCACTCCTCTGTGGACAGTTGTCAAGGGAAGGCAAAGGCTGCGGGTGCAGCCGGAGGGAAATTCAGGGGACAGGAATCATGTCCCRAGGTCTCTCATCTTTTTGTTCTTTTCTCAGATGCTGATAGGTCTTGCTGGCTACCTGAGTGGATATGATGGTACCTTTTTGTTCCAGAAGCCTGGGGACAAATATGAGCATCACAGCTACATGGGAATGAGAGGAGTGAGTCCTCCTGACTTTATATGGACTGACTGAATCCTGGGCCCGTGCTCGGTCAGAAAAGCTACAGTTGGAAGCCCCAGAGTGGTGGCAGGTGTAGATAAAGGGGCACTCATAGAAGCAGCAGGGAGAGGAGAGGCGACTCAGAACTGAGGTGGGAAGAAGGGAGGGAGGCCACGGACAACACAGATTCCATAGGAGCAAGCACTCACTGTCACCTGTGGCGCTGCCTGTGTGCAGCATCAGAGCTCAGGTTGGAGAGCAGCCAGGACCCAGTCAGGAGTCTTCTGCATCCCTACCCTGGCCTCTGCAGTGGCAGGTGGCATGTCCTTCCCCTCTGCAGCCACAGCTGCTCTGGTCTTGCCTACCTGTGCAAGCCTTTTGTGAAGATTCTGGCATCCCCACACCCTATCACTAGGTTTTTGCTTCTTTGCCCATGACAATTTTAGGCATATTCATGAAAATAAGAATTCCTACTTCACAGATTTACTCTGAAGATTAAATAAGTGTTTCTTACTTTCCTAATCTGCAGGTTCATGTTCTTAAATGATTGTGTCCTGCAGTGACTCTTGAACATGTTGTAGCAGAGATAATTGGAGATAGGCCTGACTCACGGTGGGCTTGCTATGGAAATTGAGAAGGCCAAATTCAACAGCCTCATTCATTCTCTTTCACACTCAGGCATATTATTTTCTGTTTACAAAGGTGAAGACCCAAATGAGTTGACCATTTCTCTGGGTTTATCAATTTGCTGTTGGTAGGCAGGTAGGGGGATGAAAGAGGTCTGGAGATTTAAATAAACAACTATAACAACAACAAAACAAAAAACAATCTTCTAGATATGAAAGTGCTGAGCAATCTTTTTTCCAAAATCAAAGTACATCTTGTAGGTTAAAGAGTGGTGTCTGTTGTAATTGAAGAAAAGAATCAGGAGAGATATTACAGAAGTAATATTAGAATTCTCTAAAATATTAAGATGTCTTGAGAGAGGTCTTTCTCAACTTGTACCCCAGTTTTGAGATAGAATCTAATATTTGCCAAGTACTTTCTGTGCAATAATAAACCTTTAGATCATTTAATCTTCAAAGTAAACCTGTGCAGTAGGACTTCTTATTTCCCCAACAGGAGATGGGGAGGTGGAGGTAAGCCACGACTCTCAAGGTCCTAGCTAGCAGTGCTAAGGCAGTCCTGTCACTGTCCTGACTGAACTTGGCTGCTGCCATGCCAGTGTGCAGTGTCACTCTGTGGAAACACATATGTTGCTGGATTTGACTCTTCACTGTTACATCTCCCCTTTCTTATTTATAGGCTTTTTAGTTGATTTTTAGGTCGCCAAAGTCATCCTTTCATCAGTGTCCTCTGTCTTCAATCATTTGTTTGTTCCACAGTAGGTATAACAAGTAGGCCCCTAATGGTTATCATACCTTGTCTGAGAACCACTGTGTTCCCTCCGCAGTTCTGTGCGTTCCTTGGTTCCTGGCTGGTCCCCTTTGCTTACCTCACTGTGTTGGATCTGTCCAAGTCGTTCCCAGCAGCACTGCTCACTGCCGCCCTTCTCACCTTTGGTAAGTTGTTTCGTCCCATGTGTTCTGGGAAGGGGACTGCCTCACTGTGAGGCTCAGTACATACCAGAATCCCATCTGTGGGCCCAGTTCTTAAGTAATTTTAGAATTGGGTAAATTATATTGCCAATTTCATTTTATTCACTAGTAATACATATGTAAGTACTTCTGTGTAGTGAGCCTTTATATTAATGGAGGGAAGTGTTGGCATGGGTAGACTCTCTCCAAGTCTGCATTTGAATTTGGATAATAAGACAAATTTGTCTTTGAACATGTGTATATGTTTAAAGGAAGCTTATATTTCAATTTTGCTTCTCTTAGATTAATACTCAGATTAGTTTGTGTTCCCTAAACTAATCACAACTAAATGCAAAGGCAGAAGTAGTTGTGTGGCAGGAGACAGCAGTAGAAACTTAAATATTTTTTGTGGTTCCTCACGTGGATAAGTTGAGAGTTGTGGAAGTCAATCTTGTTGCTAGCTTGGTTCTTCTGAAAGTGAATTCAAGACTTGGTTAATATTTAAGGAAGTCCAGACCAATTTAGGTAGATATTTTAGGGGTTGGTTTTGACAGGTGTATACCTTTGTTTTTGATGGATGTATTTCAAGATTATAGTATCTTTCTATAGAGGATTGGTGGTTTTTTCCTTGTATCTTTAATATCTTCTTCAGTTATTTGTCATTAAGTCATTTCTTCATTTGTCATCAACACCTATTTCTCAAGCACCTACCCTATGCCAGGCCACTTAGCATGGCCTCCATGAATATACTGAGGAAACATTGCTGTTGTGGAGTTTACTCTTCAGAGGGACAGATAAATAAGCAAGTGGATTATTGGAACATCTTAAGTAGTCAGTGCAGTGTAGACTAAGGCTAGAGTAATGGAGGTCAGTACTGTTTTAGGTAGGGTGGGTGGTGGAGAACTCCCTGGGAAGGTAGCCCTGGCAGACCTGAGTGAACCGAAGGATAGGGTCATGCAGAATTTTGAGGGAAGAGTGTTCACATAGGGGCCAGGCTTAGTGGAATCAAGGAACAACAAAAAAGGTTGTTGTGGCGAGGGTGGAGTGAGTGAGGCAGAGTGTGGAGATGAACAGGTTAGACAGGGAGGCAGATATGCAGTCTTTGGTAGCCATCATGAGAATTTGTTAGTCTGTGTGAAATGTGAAGACATTGGAAGGTTTAAGCAGAGGCATGATGTAATGAGAGGTGAGTTAAAAAAACAAATAACAACGACAAAAAAAAAAAAAAAAAACAACCCACTCTGACACCTGTGTGGGGAATCAATCCCTAACAGCAATTTTGTATAAAATGCTAAGATTCTTTCATAGATATATTTATCTTACATCTAAGTGAGCAAGGTGGCAGACCTTTTTTTGGTGGTGGAAATGGGGAAGACTTGTCTCAGGGCTATAGTGAGTATATGACATAATCCTCTTTGGGCTGAGGGCCTAGAGGCAGTATCAGATACTGCTTCTCATCATGGGGTTTTGTATGCCCCAGAGCTATGGCCTCCTACCTCTCTGTTGATCCCGTGGTGACTCAGTGGTCCAACCAGTCTTGCCTACCCAAAGGCTCATGGCAATTAGGCAAGGGAGACTGATTTCTACTGTTGGGGTTTTGGTTTTCAGGGGGATCACTGTCTTGACTGTATTTTGACCTGTGAGCTCATGTTTTTCAGACACAGGATGCCTCACTCTGTCCCAGTACATCCTCCTTGACCCCATCCTGATGTTCTTCATCATGGCTGCCATGCTGAGCATGGTCAAGTACAACTCCTGCGCCGACAGGTCAGAAACACCATCTTTGGGAGGGGAGGGTCAGAAACTGGCAGCCCCAGAAGTTTGATAAGAGCCCGACAAGAGTGGGTGCCCAAAGAACTTGTCTTGAAGCTGAGTTTAAGAAAGCATACTTTTCATTTGTTTGTTTTTAAATTTAGATCGTCCATTAGAGATAATATAAATACATTTAAAAATTGTTTATAAATGCTTTTATATTTGCTTGATGTAAAATTGAGAAAATATAATTATCTTTTTAAAGAACATTATTACTAGGTTTTCAGTGTGGGTACAGTGGGTAGGGGTTTATGGATGTTATAGAAGAGTCTTAATAGCTTCCCTTACTCTGCTGAGCATGCCTTTAGCACCAAGGCTGGTTAAGAGATGTAGGACAATGTATCCTTCAATTCTCCATCCTGGGAGTGGGGCACCAGGGTAGATGCTGCATAGAATTGTTTCCCTACCCTCAGGGCATGTATCCAGTCCTGACCTAATGATGAATGTTCTGTACCAGACAATAGGATCCTTTCAGGCCCTGGTCAGTTCTAAAGCTGATCTGATCTACTTGCAAAATAATCTTTTCTAGATCATCCTTCTGTCTCAGGAGAGTAGAATAGAACTCCCAGGGAGTTCTTATTCAAACAAAAGAACTGGCCCCTCCTAGGCTTTTCCAGAAGTCAGCATGTTTCACCCATGACCAGACTCATTAAGCCACATTATGCTAATCACACCTGAGCCAGTGCCTATCAGCTCACTCTGGCTTTGAGTTATCTTCTGTTTCTACCACCCCCGTTTCCATGTGCCATTTCTTGAATGGATACTATAYACTGGGTACTATGCTAAGGACTGGAGGTATGAAGATGCAGAGGTACTGAGGCATTGGCTTCAGCCAACAAAATGGTTAAGAGCATCAACATTGGAACTAAATGCCAGATTCTACTGCTTGTTGGCTGTATTTCTTAACCTCTCTGTACCTTGATGTTCTTGTGTATTAAAAAAGGATAATAACTGGTTCTTCCTCATGGGGTTGTGGGGAGAAGAGTTCATATGTGTGTAGGACTTGAATGGTACCTGACACATAGTAAGCACTCAATAAATGCTGACTTTCACAGGTCCCCAGATGACAGAATCCTGTGGACTTCTTTGGATTTTCCTTTAATTCTGCTTGGTTGGTTACTARTGAAAAAAGCCTACTGTGTATCTTATGCCCTACACTTGGCCAGGAACACCCTGGWCCATCTTGCTAGAAAAATACCCTGCTCACTCTCACACTGGTTTGTCTGCAGTTTAGGGATTTCACAGACCACATCCATGGAGCTGGGCCTCCTCATAGCCCTAGCTTTGTCCCACTGCTGCTCTTGTTTTTGAGCTTGGTTCTAGCTGCCAAACTAAACTCTTGTGTCTTGGTTTCCAGGCCTTTCTCTGCCTCCTGGTGGTCCTGGCTCAGCCTGACTGGCATCAGTCTTGCTGGTGCTTTAGGGGTCAAGTTTGTTGGCCTCTTTATCATCGTGCAGGTGGGGTTGAACACCATTTCAGACCTTTGGCACCTGTTTGGAGACCTTAGTCTTTCATTGGTGAGAACCCAAGTGCTTGTAGAATGTCTTTGCTCCCCAGCATCATTCCCAGTGGTCTGTCCCTGCCACAGGTTAGGGAGCCACTGTGTCCTGGGCCCCAGCTGGACTAGACCCGACTGCCCTCTGTAGACAGCAGGGCATCAGGGAGTGGGCCTGGTACGAGAGCTGGGGCGGCATAAAGAAGAGGATGGACTAACACCCTTCACATTCTCTTTTGGCATTTGTTCCTGTAATGTCTTTTAAATGTTCTACAACTACCCAACCAGGGGATCTGTCCAGCTGGGCTCATGTCAAGTGTGTGGCAGATACTGACTACTTGAGACCTCAGTTAAAATGGATAGAATGACTTTCTGAACTCTCAGTTTCTCCTTTTGGATCCAGGTCTTCACATAGGGAGGCTGGGAAGGCATTTAGGGCTTAGTATAATATCATCATTTATAAAGGGCTGCTTTGGTGCTTGTACTATGAGAAATGCCTTACTTTCATTATATCATTTACCCCTCATAACAATTCTATGAGTTGAGTAGTTATCACCCTGGTTTTACAAATGAATAAATGGAGAACTAAAGAGGTCATGGCTTTCCCATGGTCATACAGGTAGTAATAGGGAGACCTGGGCTCATACTTAAGCTGAATCCAGGCCTCAACTACTTTGCTGCAGGTGCTTCTTCATCACCTCTGAACCCAACTCTCAGCAAACTAGTTATTCATTCAGAAAATACATAGACACTATCCACTGAATGTGAGATGCTAGGAAGGTACAGATAGCTGAAACACAGTTTCTGCCCTCTGGAATCCAAAGAGAGGAGAGGGAAAGAAGTAATCGGGCCAGCTGGTAAGTGCTGTGAGCGCATAGAGGAGGGCACCACCCAGTCACAGGTGCTCCAGGAGGCCTCTGGAAGGAAGCCAAGGCTGGAGTTCGGGCAGAGGACAGCTGGCTAAGTGGTGGGGCTGGCACAGTCCAGGCAATATTGGGAAAGTGCAGGGGGTCCAGTGTGACAGACGGCGGAGGGCCTTGGTGTGCAGTGGCTGCACCTTTTCTGTAACCATCCAGGGTCCTGGTGTAGGGCTTGGAGGTGCAGCGAGAACAGGGTTTGGAGGTGGGTGGGTTATAGAAAGAAAGGTTTAGGGTTTCCACTTACTCTTCTTTTCTGTTGGCCTTTTTTAGGGTTATGGCTTATACATTAAAAACACTTATGTAATGCCACGGAAGGTATAAAGAATAATGGGGTCCCATATGTCCTCACCCTGCACTGGCCTCTGTTGCAGGTGACTGTGGGAAAACACCTGACTGCTCGCATCCTGTGCCTTATAGTGCTGCCCCTGGCGCTCTACGTGGCCATTTTTGCTGTTCACATCACAGTGCTGAATAAAAGGTACAGCCAGAGCCCTTCTGGCATCTTGCTTTTGGTCTTCCCCTGGCTCCTAAGACCATGAGTGAGCTGCATGATTTCCCAGGGCTGTGGTTAGGATGGTGGGTGGGGGGCAGGGATTTTTTTTTATTTCTTTGCCCCCATATTCTCTCCTTTGGGTGTCCCAAGGGCTTGGAAAGGCCAGGAAGAAAAATTTCCTAATAGCCAAGTTTCTTTTTATCTCTAATAGAGGCCCTTGACCTTATCAAAGATGGGTGTTATAAGGGGGTGTAGTGGGGGTGAGGATAATAATAATTAAATACCAGCAGCAACAGTTCCCAGGAACTGTGTTTAGCATTTTGTATCCATGATCTCATTTAATCATAATCATTTGTGAGTTCTTTTGTTTTTTAAAATTTCCAATTTATAAATGAGCTCAGGCTAGGCAAGGTTAGTTATATTGCCTAAGTCATCCAGCTAGTAAGTGGCTGAGTTGGGATTGGACCCAGTTTTTCTGACTTCGTCACCCACAACTGTCCCATGATACCACATTGCCAGTCTAATTGTATTTCTTTTAAATTAACTAAGGCCTCCTGGGAAATCACCATTTTCACTCCATCAACCTGACTCTTTCCTCTTCCTCTCTCACAGTGGTCCTGGCGATGGCTTCTTCAGTTCCGCCTTCCAGGCCCGGCTTTCAGGGAACAACCTTTATAACGCTTCCATCCCTGAACGTGAGTGTTCTGGGTCTCTGCACAGAGGAAGGGCAGAGCCATTTCCTGGGAATTGAATTGGAAAAGACAAGTCTGATCAAGCTTATGTTATTTTAGCTCAAAGATGGCAGAGCGAGCCAAGACCAGTAGGCTGGTACTCATTCTCAAGAGAGCACATCAGGATGTGCTCCCTTGCAGCAAGCTATTTGACCCTAACAAGTAACTTCTTTGTGGCTGTCAGAACCAGCTCTGTGGGAAGGCTAGTGAGAGAATTTGGTGACAGAACAAGGCCCCTAGGGACAGCTGTTGTTTCCACTGCAGTGTTCTGAGACTCCATCCACTTGATTGTTCACAGTTGGGTCATTCGCAGGCACTCACTCTCCAGAGACAGTGCCTGGGGTAGAGGGTTCCACACAGTAAGGCTGAGTAATCAGTATGTTCTGAGCACTAAAAGGGAACCCAGAGTGCTGGAATTGAAGGGTATGAGAGGTCACTGCTGCTAGGCAGCTAGAGTGGATCTGCGCTGCATAGAGTGGGTTGACTTGGAGTTGGGCCCTGGAAGGGTGGGGAGCTTTCAGTCAGTGAACAGGAGAGGAAGGGCCCCTGTCAGACTGAAGCGATGGCATGATCAAAGCTGAGGACGGGGTGAAGCTCTAGGCCCAGGTTGTGTGCTGAAAGGTACTGGAATGTAAGTTTGTGAAAGTAGGTTGGACCCACATTGTGAGGGTTTGAGATGTTCCAATGAGGTATCAGAGAGCTGCTGGAGGTCTTTAAATAGGGGAACACCAGCAAGGCTGAGCAGCTGGACGATGACACCACTGGAAGAGTAGGATGGCTGGGGAGGGTATGGGATCAGAGACAGGGGATGTCCTCTAGGGACAGGGACATGAGCTTGGTGTGATGGTGACAGCCACAGGGGAGGCAAATGGGAACATGCAAGGAAGACTGGACATGGAAGGAGAGAAAGAAATATGTCACTGAGGACTTGAGTGCAGGTGACTGCTTCTTGGAGGTAGGGACTATGTCTTACTCATTTTGGTCTCTTTAGTCCTTTACACAGCGCCCAGGGCACAATAGGCCCTCTAAGACTGTGGAAGGAATGAGAAGTAGGCAGGAGAAAAARTTGGTTTGGAAGTGTGTGGTCAGGTTTTTGCCACTTGACAAGAACAACTTAGAGGAGGAAAAGCTTAATTTGGGTTTCAGAAGTTTCAGTGCATGGTTGGCTGACTCCACTGCTCTGGCCTGAGGTGAGGAAGAACATCATGGAAGAAGGGCACGGTGGAGGAAGGCTGCTCAGCTCATGGCAGCCAAGAAGCAGAGAGAGTGCAAAGTACCAGGGTCAAAATATAATCCTCAAGAGCGTGTCCCCAGTGACCTACCTCCTTCAGCCACACCCCACCTGCCTATGGTTACCACCCAGTAGGCCTTTCAAATTTTTAAAAAATACACCAAATGGATTAATCCACTGATTAGGTCACAGCTGCCTTAATCTAATCATTTCCACCTCTGGACATTCCTGCTTTCTCTTACATGTTAGCTTTTTGGGGGGACGCCTCATATCAGCCTATAACGGAAGGGCAGATATCAGARGGGTTGACTTTTGAGCAGAAATCTGCAGTGAGGCCAGTGGGCTTGGGCTGATGCATTCAAAGAGGAACCAGCCAAGCAGAGGGGAATTGATGCTGCAGCAGTGACTGTGATCTGTATGGAAGCTCAAAAGAGAAAGAGAACAATCACCAGGAAGTACAAGAGGAAGAGGAATGGGAGAAGGACTGCAGAGGACCAGTCTGTGAAGGGATGTGGAATTAAGAAAGGGGAACAGAGTCTTTCAAGAAGCAAAGGTGGTCAGCCGTGTGCAGGGACAGAGGTGTTGACCTCCATGAGAAATTAGGAAAATGGAGCTATGGAGTTTAGCAAATTCCCACTTGTTATTTAAAAGCCCTGGCTTAGCTGTCATCACTTCTATCAGGTGGTCCTCTTTTTACTGCCTGGGAAAGAATTCATCCTAGCCTGCTCTGGGCTCCTACCAGGTCACGTATTGTCATACCTTTGCTGGAGAGCTTGCCTGTTTGCCCTGTACTTGTCAATGTGTGAAGCTGTCTGCTCTTTAGACAGGGCTCTTTTGGGGCTACGGCCAGCCTCCTCTACCTTAGGATCTTCTGTGTAACCAGCACATGCTGATGAGGGACTGAATGAGTAGGTGGAATGAGGGAACTGTTTCAGTGCAGTGGTGAATGGTGGGGCAGCCAGATGACAGGGAATTGAGAAGAGGGACCAAAATAAGGAAAAGAGACTTCTCAGTAGGAGGAGGGGATGCTCTTGGGGAAGCAGTTTATTTTACAGTGTTTTTATTCACAGTTCAAAAATCCAAAGCATCACTAAACAGTTATTTCACATGCTACTAGATTCAAAAGGCACAGTCTGTCATAATGTTATGTGTTGGAGAACGTTCGAGACRAAGACATGAAATACTTCTTTTTTATTCCATTGAATACATGTACAAGCCTTGACCATGTACTTGCTATTGTAAGTAGCAAGTTGTCAACACCCAGCTGCTTTTGAAGTGCTCAGGAGGATGGGGAGGGCAGGGCACATGTGAGACCCAGTGGGAAGTCCCTCTGAAATTGGTCCTATGAGGGTGAGAAGGCAGCTGTGCCTGTGTCAGGCAGCCCCAGGCCCGGCAGAGTCTCGTAGAGGGCGCAGGAGTCCTGTGCACCCTCTGCAGTGATGTCCCTTTTCATTGGAAGTTGGGAGGGCGTACTTCTTCCCATCTCTTGGTCCTTGATATTTTGCTCCTAGAAGCCTCACACAGTGCTGCTCTTCCATCTTCTGTCTCCCTTCCTCCCAGACCTGGCCTACGGCTCTGTGATCACTGTGAAGAACTTCCGGATGGCCATTGGTTATCTGCACTCGCACAGGCATCTGTACCCCGAGGGCGTGGGCGCCCGCCAGCAGCAGGTGAGTGGGCTTCTGTGGACTTGTTCTGCAGCAAAGCTGAATGGTTTGCCGTGATGGGACTGCCATTCACTTTCTTCTCGTCCTTTGTTCATGTCATTTCCCCTGATTGAAACGGTTCCAAGAGGGAGAGCAGGGATATTGGAAAGTTTGGTGGGGCCAGATGAGAGGAGGCCTCTGTTGTCTCTTCCATAGACACTGGGAAGGCATGGAAGTTGTTAAATGATGTCAAGAAATTGTTAGATAGCTAGGTTAGAAAGATAGGAAGAAAACTGTAGCGGGAATGGGATAGATGATGAGGAACTAGTTTGGAAGTGATGATTATGAAAGAGGATGGTGACTAGAGGCAAAAAGAGCAGGGGGCAGAGGCAGGAATAGATTCAGGAAACACTTCATAGGTGTGATGGCCAAGAGCTGTGCTCAGGTATGTAGTTTGCACGTCCTGGTGCATGTGTGTTGATGCTGTGTCACAGAGTCAGGAAGGGAGGGGGAGGAGGGCTGGCTGTGGGGATAGGAGCGCCGGTTTGTGTGTTTTAGGTTTGAGGCTTATCCCAGGAGCATGCAGCATGTGGGCGTTAACACAGGGAACATTGCCCAAAAGAGTTTAGGAGGGGGCCCATGAAGGGACCCTRGTGAGGGTCCATCATTTAAGGCAATGTTCAAAGCTGCTTGGAACAGAGCCAGTAGTAGAGGCCAAGAAGAAAGGAGAGAATGAGGAGGTAAGAGGAAGAGTAGAGCAGAGTGCCAGGAGGAGAGGGAGGTCTCCAGAAAGAGGAGAGAACCAGTGGTGCAGCTGCTGTCGGACATCAGAAAGGGTGAGGCCCGAGAGAGGGGGGCTTCTGGTGGCAGAAGAGGCCTGTGACAGAGGAGGGGTGAGAGCAGAAGTTTCAGAGGCAGTGACTTAAGGAGCAAATGGGAGATGGGAAGTGGAGCTTGCAAATGAAATTCTCTTTGTACAAAATGACCAATTTCTTCACTTTGCAAAACAATTTACTACTCAAAGTGCTTTATTATCTTTTCTTTTTTAGTTACTAGGAAGTTGACCCAAGGTATTGGGATCATTTTTCTCATTCCTGATTCTCTGCTTTTCTCTGAACAAGTGGTCCCCAACCTTGGCTGCACTTTAGAATCAACTGGAGAGTTCTTAAAATATTCTGACCCCTGGGCTCTACCACAGAGTTTAATTGTTCGAGGTGGGGGTGGGACATTCATTGTGCATTTTTGTTTTGGTGTTAAGCTCCCCACATATTTCTAATCCCCAGCCAGGGCAGAAAACCATAGCTATGTCATTCCATGTTGATTCCCTACTGCAGATGTCATGTAGAAGGTAATGAAGTTACAGATGTTGTGGCCAGGAACATCTATACTGTGCCAAGGGAGAGAAGGGCCACGTTCTGAAAGACCCTATTAAGCTGGTGTTGCACACTTGGAGCCCACATGTGTAGGTGTGAAACCATGGTGGCAGTTGTGTTAGTCAGTTTTTTGTTGCTGTCACCAAAATTCCTGACGCAGACGACTCGGAGGAGGAAAGGTTTCTTTTGGTTCATGGTTTCAGAGGTTCCAGTCCATAGTCAATGGCTGGCTCCATTGCTCTGGGCCTGAGGTGAGGCAGAACATCATGGGTAGGAGGGCATGGTGGAGGAAAGCTTCGCAGCTCATGGTGGCCAAGAAGTAGGGGTGGGTAGGGAAAGGGACCAGGGATAAGATACAGTCCCCAAGGACACACTCCCAGTGATCTACTTTCTCCAGCCATGCCCCACTTGCCTGCAGTTTCTGCCTCCTCCCAGGGTCCATTCACCTATCTACAGATTAATCCACTGGTGACCTCGGAGTCCTCATGATCCATCACTTCCCTGAAACCCCACCTTTGGATATGGCTGCACTAGGGGCCAAGGCTTCAACACATGAGCTGTAGGGGGACATTCCAGATTCAAGCCATAGCAGTGGTGTAGAGAGAACGTGTTGGGGCACGAGCAAGAGATCTGGCTTGGTCTTTACAGGATCACTTAGCCATTCTCCACCTATTGCTTCATCTGAAGCTGAGGGGATTGGACTAAGTAACCTGCCCTTCAGTTTAACGTCTTGTTAATGTCTGTAGGTCTCAAATTTTAAAATGTTTTTAAAGCATAACATTTCTAAAATAAAATTGAGAAATATGGAAAAGCATAAAAAAGGAAACAAAAGCTGTACATATCCCAGATCTGTATTTATTCAAATATTTTGATATACAGTATTCTGCTATAATTGGATAGCTAGGTTCCAAGGAAATCTCATGTCATAAAAAAAATAAAATCTACTATAAAACAAATGTTTCAATGGGAAAATGGCCAGGAACTATACTCACAATAAAGAGATCTTTTTTCCTGCAGGAATTTTAATGCTAATGGTTTTTATAAAAGGAAACAAATAAAAAGCATTCCCTACCACACACAGCCATGGATTATGTGTGTGAGCCCTAGAGAACCTTGATACCCATGAGCAAATCCAAGCTGGATGGTCTCTGTATGGCTTAATTTGTTACCATCAAAACTTTTAGCCTCTTGTAAGTTCTTACTATCATTATCATTAATTTTTTTCTGAGGAACAAAGCAAAAGCAGCCTTAATACATGCAAATATTTTTTTCCATAAATTCTAGCTCCATATTTCTTTGCAAGTAAAGTGATCATGTTGTATCCAACTGGGGTTATAAAAGCTCTCATCATAGAAGAAATGCCTGTATTTCAATCATTTCCGGGTGTGTCTGTACTTGTTTACGTAGTTGGCTGGCATAATTGTATGGGTTTAGTCTCTGTCTTGGGAACCTGATTTCAATCCTATCTCCCTAATGCATAAACTCTGTGACTATGCTGAACCAATGATTCAGTCTGTTTCCTCGTAAGTAACATGGAGAATGCCATAGCACCTACGRCATAGAGTTATAATAATGATTAAACAAGGTAAGATTTGTCCATTGCTTAGAATAGTCTGGTGATAAATGATAGTTATCTTCAGCATCACCATTTCTTGAGCCTTTTCCCATCCTGCTGAAAGAACACTTTGAAAGATTTTTTTATGGGTGTATAATGTTCTATCCCATAGACATAGTGTCATGTTAACTATTCCTCTATTATTAGATATTTATACTATTTCCATATTATTGTTAGATTAGCTGCAGCATTATAAATAGGCAAGTGAGCGCTCACACATTTTATTTTTTAAAATCATTGTGTACAAAATGGCCTTGACTCTAGGATGAGATATTTATGGAGCTTTTTGGTTTCATTTGTCTACATTATAGAAAATACAATGGCATGGAATTTTTACTTAGAAAGTTTGAGGCATGGTATGGATTACTTTTTGTGCATTTTTTTTCTTGGTACCAGAGATTGAACCCAGGAGTACTTCAACCACTCAGCCACATCCCTAGCCCTTTTATTTTTTATTGTGACACAGGGTCTCACTATATTGCTGAGGCTGGCCTCAAACTTGTGATCCTGCTGCCTCAGCCTCCTGAATTGCTACGATTACAGATGTGTACCACTGCACTCAGCTATGAATTCCTTTTTAAAATGTACTCATCTTTCCTGGAGACTGTTATACAGGTATTATGKTTCCTCCCTCTAGAAGGATAGGACTTTAATGATAACACACAGAATGATATACAAAAATGAATTCAAATGTTCTAGAGGGACAGAGCCTCTAAATCCAGAAGGAAGAAGAAGAATCTCACTCAGCAATGCTGCCCCTGAGTCTGTTGGGAAACATGGCACTTGGGCTGCTGGCTGGGAGATTCTGAAAGAGACTTAGGTAATGTGCTGGTTTGCTGGGGATTGTCCCGGCCAGCTCTGTTATAGTGATGGTATTCTCTTCCCACCTCCTCCTCTGTCCCACTCCCATCCAGGTCACCACCTATTTGCACAAGGACTACAACAACTTGTGGATCATCAAGAAACACAATACAAACTCAGGTAATGTGCTTGGGAATGGGTGCTTCTTGTATTATTATTACTTACTCTGAGTCTTCAACATTTTTCTTGCTTCCAGAAAAATGGTACTGAGATGGGCTTCCCCAAGCATCTTTGACAGCATCTTTACTGATCTCAGTTATTCTTTCAGCAGTTATCAATTGAGCTTCTACTGTGTTTTGAAACACAGTTGTAGGCGCAGGGGATAAGCAGTGAGTAAAACAGATAAACACTTGTAGCACTGTTATTTTGAAGTCATTGAGCAGGGACAGGGCTCAGACTTCATCTAGGAAGAGGTTATCTGAGCATGCCACACCAGAAGCTGGTGAGTAGCCAGCCCCAAGCCAGGGTACCTGGCAGCTGCTCTCATTTCTAACATAGAGCACACCAAGCTGTGCAGACCCCACCTTCCAGCTCTACTGCTGGGCTAGTCTAGGCAGGTGCCTGGGATAGCACTGGAAGCTTGCTGATCTGCTACAAGGTCTAGGCAGAGTAGCTCTGAATGGAGCCCTCCAGGCTTTAGGGCCAGAGTAAGAGCTATAGTTGGCTCTTCCTCTCTTTGGTCCGGTAACTAGCTACCTGCAGGCTGCCTTCTGCCACAGCTCAGAACAGAGGGCATATTCGTGGTGCCTTCTGAGCCCATCCTCATGTCAATCTCCTGTGTCACAGGCATTCCCTGAAACTCAACAGACAACACCTGTGTAGCCTRTTCTTGGCCAGCTGCTCATGAGCCTTTGTGGAAAAATGGACAGCTGCTCATCTAAATCCATTTTCTTTTTCTCTCTCCCTTTATTGCCTCAGTTTTTTAGACTAGAAACATGTCATACACAACCACTCTCTTTGCATCCTATATATTTGTATCCTCAATAATAAAAAATGACACCATAATTTATATTCTTATAATACTAGTAGAGAGAGAGAGAGAGAGAGAGTGTGTGTGTTTTTTGTTTTTTTGGTACCAGGGATTGAACTCAGCAGGTCTCAGCCACTGAGCCACATCCTCTATTTTGTATTTTTTTAAATGATTTTTTAGTTGTAGATGGACACACAGTATCTTTATTTTTTATGTGGTGCAGAGGATCGAACCCAGTTCCTCACACAAGTGAGGCAAGCACTTTACCACTGAGCTACAGGCCCAGCACCCCCTATTTTGTGTTTTATTTAGAGACAGGGTCTCACTGAGTTGCTTATTAGTGCCATGCTTTTTGCTGAGGCTGGCTTTGAACTTGCGATCCTCCTGCCCCAGCCTCCCTAGCCACTGAGATTACAGTGATGCACCACCGCGCCTGGCCATTGATTGTGTTTTGATGCATCAGGCCAACATACCTGGTCCACAGTAAAGAGTTAGGAGGAAAGGCCATACATGTGGATCTGAACCAAATCTTTTGGACATCCCTTGTCTTTTATTCCATTTTGACTAAACAGCTAGGATTTTCTGGGAACTTAATAGCCTAAGGTCTTTGTGTTGATGAATGTAAATGCCCCCCCACACACACACACTGCCTATATGAAATAAAACTTCCCTCTCTATTGGCTTCCTTGATTTGTCATCTTGCTAATTAATCTTAGGAGTCCCTAAAGGGCAGCTGAGCAATGGGCATCTGTGCAGTCAAGTTCTCTAATTCTCTTGAGAGCCAGTAATTTGCATTGGCAAATTTATCTTTCCTGACCTTGAGCTATTCATAGAGTATTGGTTTCACTGTGTGGAACGGAAATTTGCAAGAGTACAGTCTGCATTGCTCTGATGACTGCCAGCGCCTTTTCCTTATGGCCTTCCAGATCCTGATCAGTCTTGATTTCCACATGACACAGAAGTAGTCCTTTTCTTTCATCATTTCATCGTTTTCTTCACCTCACACTTAGCAAGTCTATTATCAGAGATAAGATTTGATTTTGAAGAGAGATGGTGATTTTCATGGAATTAATTTTTGGAAGACTATTTTATTACTTATAAAAGAAAATCTTGTTATTTAGCTTCCCAGCCTAAGTTCCCGTGGGGGCTTCAGATGAAGGCCTGCCAGATGAAGGCCATGTTACCTGGCTTGTCTGTACACAGCCTGGCACCACTCGTTCCACCCTGTCTCCTGTGCCCACTCCCTGCCTGCCTACACTTCTAACTGCATGAAGCCACGTGCTGTTGGTCACATGAGTTTGTTCTTTCTTAGCTCTGTGCCTTTCCCTGACTTGTTCACTTGGTGAAATTCTCCCCTTTAAGAGTGTTTTCAAGCATCATCTCTGGGACGTCCTTCTCTGATCATCTGAGGCGATTGGGCTCCCTATTCTTTGGTCCCACGGCACTCTTAGTACCTCTGGCACTGCTTTCCTGCGGGCCCTCCGTCGATACTSGCCTGGTGAGTGAATGACCCGTATCAATGCTTGTTTCTTCTCAGCAGATCCCCTAGACCCTTCATTCCCAGTGGAGTTCGTGAGACATGGAGACATCGTTCGACTGGAACACAAAGAGTTAAGTGAACTTGCTGTTTAGGTAATGAGTGGGATAGGAGTTTTTTTACGAAATAAAATACAGGAAAGTCAGGTTTGGCTGAGGCTGTGACAGGGAGTGAAGCTGCGGTGCTAGAATGCTAGAATGCTAGGTGCTAGAATGAGAAGAACCAGCTACGAAGGTAAGGCATAAGGCGGGTCAGCCGCTGCCTGTGTTGGCTGTGGGGAGCTTTGACCTCTGAGGGCACCTTTCAGTTTCCCTTTTCCTGGGAGAAAAAGTTTGAGTTGTCCAAAACTTCCTCTTAATTGGCCACTTTTAGAAAATGTAAGCATCAAATTCTGAGAGTATGACAAGCTCGTTTATTTCACTAGTGTTCTCACTGAAGTGACTAAAAATGCAGGGAAAATATAAAAACTACTTCTTAAAAGCATAAAATATCTGACAAGATATTAAAGACTTCCTAAGCCAAAATCTAAGTGAAAGTTGGAATCCAGAAAAATAAGTAGGGCCCTGAAGGCACTTCACCTTGATCCTCTAGTTCTGAGTTTTGGTCTTTCATTTTGATCTTTTGTTTTGACTACCCCTTGAAAAAGGTTTGAAAGTCAAAGTTCTAGTCTCTTCCAAAGTGGTAAATTTATTAGGTTAAGGATGTAGCTCAGTGATAGAGCACTTGCCTAGTATGAGGCCCTGGGTTTAATCCCTAGCATATCAAAAAACAAAATTAAGTGATGTYCCCCCAAATCTGGAACCCTAAGAGGCATAGGCTAAGGGTAAATCTACTATTCACTTGTCCCCAGGAAGAGTGACTTTGGTACCCAGCAGAGTATTGAGGGTTGGGCAGTTCCTGAGAAGTAACTACCAGTTGATCTTCATGTGGGTGATCTTCATGTCACATGGGTGGTCTCAAAATCATTCAAGCAATGAATTTAATGAACGTGACCTTAGACTGGCTAAATGCAAATTCTCCTTTGGAAAAGACACTGCAATCTGTTCCCATAAATGGTTTTCTAACAACAGTGTATTCAAAATACATAAATATACACAAAAATAAATCACTCAAGGAAATAGAGCACTATGTATAAGAACAAAGAAAAATAATAATAGCAGAAGCAGCCTTGCGAAAATTTCATACATAGAAATGATTAGATATAGATTTTTAAGAAATCAGGGATGATACACACATGCATGCGTGCGTGTGCAACGCACACACACACATACACACACACACAACTCTCACACACACACACACACACACGAAAGCAATTGCCAGTAGTTTCTCTCTTGTCAGTTGGATTTTACATCCTTTAAATTTTTATGATTGTAAATTTTATTTTTGCAAATTTTCAAAAATTTTATAATGAACATTCATTACTTATGAATAACAGTAAGAGTTTGTTATAGAAAGCTAAATAAATTAGTTAATAAAAGCCCTCTGATTGTCCACAAATCCCCACTTTACAAAAATTGTAATGGGAGTAGATTAAGTGGGGATGGGGCAGGTAGCCCACCTCAGGCGTGTGTAGATCAAGTTGATTTTCTCTTCCCCAGACCCACCTCCTAAGCAGGCAGGCTAAGTGCTTCAAAGCAACCAAGTGTTTGAAAGTCACCACCCGCCCTGCTGACACCCAGAGTTTATCCCCTTTCTTGGCACATAGTCCAGTGCTCCTACCATTTCTCCTTCTCAGTTTGAGCTCCTCTTCTCCAATTTTCTGSATGTTTCTTGTGAGTGAATGGGCAACAAGTTCCTGATATGTTGGAATTAATAGTTCAGGTGCTAATTTTTCTGTCCTCACAGATATATTCTCAGTAAAGGAGGAAACATTGCCCATCTCTTCAGGTAACAGCTCTTCTCTCTTCTCACTCCTAGGACCTCTCGGAACTTGCACAGTCACTATCATGAGGCCCCCCTGACCCGGAAGCACTATCAGGTCACCGGCTATGGCATAGTAAGTGAGCAGCTGGGGTGTGAGCAGGATGTCAAAAGTTGTGTGGCTTGGCTCAGGGAGGCCTGTCAGGACACCCAAGACTTCTGGAATTCCTAAGGATTGCTGGCTGTGCATGAACTATCTTAACATTTGAGAACTTTTTGTCTAGGTTTGCTGTGAGCAGAGCAGCCTCTGAAGTCTGCTTGTTTCCATTCTATTCTCATATGATAACTATCATTTCCTGATTCCCAGTAAATGTTAAATATGAATGCTATTTGGGTCTCTTAAAATTACATTAAACATAGAAGCCAAGACCTGCCTGTGGCCTCATGAAGTGAGTTTTTCATAAATGGTTTTCTAGCAACAGTGTATAGAATAGCAGAAGGAGCCTTGCAAAGTTTTCTTACATAGAAATGATTAGATATAGATTCATTGTTACTTATGAATAACAGTAAGAGTTTGTTATAGAAAGCTAAATAAATTAGTTATTTAAAGCCCTCTGATTGTCCACAAATCCCCACTTTACAAAAATTGTAATGGGAGTAGATTAAGTGGGGATGGTGCAGGTATCCTACCTCAGGTCCCAAATTCTCACTGGGTTTATTTTTAAGGATCTCTTCCCTGGTCTACAGAGGGATATTATCCACACAGCTTTTATATTAACTGCCTCAGGGAGATGGACTTAATAAAGTTCTCTGAGTGCCAGGTGTGATGTCACATGCCTTTAATCTGAGCTACAGATTACAGCAGGCTGAGGCAGGAGGGTTTCAAGTTCAAGGCCAGCCCGTGCAATTTAGCAAGGCCTTATCTCAAAATAAAAAGGGCTGAGGGTGTAGCTCAATGCCAGAGAAGTTCAATCCCTAGTACTGCTCCCACCCACAAAAGGTAGCTCCGTGGGTTACATTTTTTTTTCCATCATCATTGGTGCTTTGGTAAAGATTCCATGGGTTCATTAAGGTGGATCTCCCAAACTTCCTACTTGCTCATCCCACACTGTACTAGTCACAACTCTGACTGTCCTTATCATTTTTCTTGTGGGAATTTCTTGAGGACAATTTAATGCCACTGTCTTAATTTCCAAGGTACAGCATCCAGGCCAGGCCTTTCTGGCTTACATGAGTGACTGTCCACGTGCCAAGATAATGAATGCAAATGGTTTATGATTTGCTTCTGTTGACTCAGGGCAAATTTAGTCTTGAATTGGGTTTAAGGGCAAAAATATCTATTGAGTGCTTAAACTCTAGCCCTGTGAATTGAAGGATTGGACTTCTGGTTCCAGGAGTGGAACATGCTGCTCTAGTTTTACACATGAGTGTGAGGCAATGTCAGTCACTTGGGGTATTTCTATCGCCTTTTCCCTTTCCTGCTTCAGTCACTGAGGCTGATTTGGTGTTTGACCTTTGTAATATGGTGGCAGTTTAAAGGGGGGCCATTTCCCTTTCTGACACTTCTTCTCTAAAGTCATCTTATTTTGTATTCTTTTCTTGGTTTATGTGGCAGAATGGGACAGGGGACTCAAATGATTTCTGGCGGATTGAGGTTATTAACAGAAAATTTGGGAACCGGATAAAAGTGCTGAGAAGTCGAATTCGCCTCATTCATCTGGTCACAGGTTGTGTCCTGGGCTCCTCAGGAAAGGTTCTGCCCAAGTGGTAAGTCTCCAGAGTGCTGAAGTCCCGATCGMGCTCGGGCTTTTTCTTTTATGCTTCAGGGAGAATGCCAGAGCTTCCATTTCCCATGATCAGTGTTCGCCTCAGGTTGCTTCTCCTTGCTATAGATGGAAGGAGAAGAGGATCAAGTATACTACAGAGCACAGAGCTCCAGGGTAGCCTTGGTATTTTATGTGCTCTGACAGCTGAACATCTGTACATCTGGCTTGTGATAATAACTCTCCGGGTCTGTCTTTTCATAAAATGGGAGTGATATGTCCTAGCCCAGTCCTAGGAGCGTTGTGGAATATGGAAGTGTAAGATTGAGAAAATAATGGCCCCTGGCTTGAAAAGAGAGGGGTTCCACAGGTTTAAGAGCAGTGGACGTGCTGTGGGGTAGGGTGAGGGGTGAGGGTCTTTTGAGAGACATCTTTGACTACTCTTCACAGGGGCTGGGAGCAGCTGGAAGTTACCTGCACACCATATCTAAAAGACACCCTCAACTCCATCTGGAATGTGGAGGACCATATCAATCCCAAATGTGAGTGAGGTAACTTCCCAGCTGGCTCTGAATGAACAGTTACCTTACAGAGAAATAAACCTTCATAGATTCTGCTACTGTTTCATCTTATTGTTGCCACTTCTTCCTTTTTCACTGGAATGTCTTCCTGAGAGTTGTGTATACCAATCCTTCTAACTCCTTTTTCTTCTCATCCATTTCCTCCTTAAACTCCTCTCCCTAAGGTGACCAGTGACTTCCTGCAGGACCCTCTGTCTCCCTCTGGGCTTTTCTGTCTCTGCCCTGGAGAGTACCTCTGCACCCTCTAGGCTGGGAGCAGCTGGTCCTCGCCCATTTTGCCTGGGCAGAGCTCCTCCTCTCCTACATCCGGCCTGCCACTAAGAGAAGCCCCTGGCTACAGCCTTGATCTGATCCCTCACCTTTGCTCCCAGCTCTATTTGTCTTCTCCATCTCAGCTTCAGCTTTAGCTCACTGAGTGTTTGGGTCCATCGTCTGTTTCCTGAACTCCCCTTCAGGCTTGTGCTGAAGTTCCCCTCCCTGTACTTCCCATCCCATCCTTACCACCTTAGCTAATCAGACTCATGAAGCAGCTCTTTACCGAGTTTGCCAGGAACTGTGTGGGGTCCTGTGGCTCTGTTGGCAGTGAGGCAGACCTGGGCCCTGTCCTCACTCAGGTCTGACAGGAGGTCCTGAGGAGTGGCGCGCTGAGAGCTGTTGGAACACCACAGAAGCGGGCCTTGTGGTTCTTTTCCTTTGTATTTCTCAGAATGCCTCATGCATGCTCAAAGTAAGCTGAATAAATGATCCTTAACACTGTCACCTACTGGTCAGCTTGTCAAGAAGGCTGCAGATTCCTGATGGGAATGTGGACACTGTGGATGGACAGTGAAGAGAGAATGTGTTTTTCTTCCTAGTGCCAAATATCAGCCTGGATGTGCTGCAGCCCAGTTTTCCTGAGATCTTGCTGGAGTCCCACATGGTCATGATCCGGGTATTGTGGTCCCTTTTTATTCTCTAAGTACTTTGGAGCAGCCACAGATTTGGAGCACAGAGCAGTAACCATGATGTAGATCCACTGCCCCCTTGTGGAGGACTTTGAAAGTGTCTTCATCTACTGGTTTGCTTCATCTTCACAGGCATTTCCCTTATCACAAATCACATTTCCCTTATGAGGAAGGTGGTGTGGTGGTGATGATGGTGATGACAACAACCTTAATATCAGGGAGCATTTGTGTAGCTCTTATGTTCCAGGCACTATTTTAAGCACTGTACATACATTAACTCACTTAAAACTGATTAGAATCCTGTGGAGATTATTGTCATTCTCAATTTATACAACAGGGAACAGAAACCCAGAAAGGTTAAGGAACTTGTCCATGGTTACAGAGCTCTGTGTCAAAAGTGGATCCTGGCTTCAAAGCTAGGGTAGTAGGCTTTCAGAGTCAGTGTCAGTTACTGTGATACTTCTCTCCCTGTACTGATTTGCAAATCAGTACCAGTGGCAGGACTCCTGAAAGCCATAGTCTCTTGGTTGAAGATCATGAGACACTGATAGTTCACTCCATAAGAGATTAGGATCTGTTATAATGAATAGCTAATTTGAATTTGTTGTGGATGTTAAACATATAATTCCACCCATATTCCTGGACAGAAACTATTTAGGGGGCATGGCTGACTCTTGTTAAGGTTTCTTAAGACTCATTATTTGCACTCTGTCATTGCTAGCTGACAGCACGTTTAAGGAAAATTGAGAGAGGAAACCTTTAAATTGGGAAAATTCTGCCCACTAGCTTAAATTTCCCCCGTGAATTGGGGAGACCTCCCTGTAGTTCTGGTGCTCCCTGGGAGACCCCCTTGCTCTGGTTTCTGAGAAACCTGAGTCCTGCAGGAGTGATACTGAGGAACCACCATATCTCAAGTGAGATGGCAGGTCCTCAGCCACCCACTGAGCTGGGAGGTATAGGGCTGTTATCTTTCCCTGTGACCCACTGTCAAGTGGACTTTGCCAGAAGTGATTATGTCAGCACTGCTCAGTAAACATAGTTGACTTATTTTACCAGATTAAACTTTTAAAATTCAGATTTTGTCATCTTGCACATGGAGAGGTGATGAGTTGACATTAAGCCATCTCTGGGTCACTTCCTCTCTGACTCTTTGCTTGTAACTGTCATTGTGGCCTGATGACATAGCTCTTTTAAATATGTGCCTGTCAGTAAGAATATCAGTCTAAGTCTGGAAAGAATTTTAAGAGTAAATGAGGAAGTCTAAAAAGTTTCATTCATTCTTTCATTATCGAAGAAGAAAAAGGATGCAAGAGAGTTCTCTTATTTAACCAATGAAGAGTCAGGGAGAGACCAAAACAGTGAATTCAGGCTACAGAAACTGTAGGGGTGTGTGTGTTTGCTTGTGTCTGTGTGTCTGTGTGTCTGGTTTTCTGCCAGCTGAGATCTGAGTGAGAAGACTGGCTTATCTGATGAGGTTAGCTGGAGTAAGCCTTCTGGATTTGCAACTTGAAAGACAACTTATAAACATATATACCTCTGTTAGTTATAGATTTTCCCTCCTTCCATCTCTTGATTTAGTAAAGGAAACGGATTTCTCTGAGTTTGATGTAGTAAATAGGATCCCTTGACTAGTTACAGTTCTGACTGGAGTTCCTGAGTTTGGGACTCAGCTGACTGTCTGAAGGAGCTGAGTTTCCTCAGTCACTTCTCTAGGGTTTCAAGGCTTTTTGGATGGCCATAGTGATTGAGGGGTGGGATAGCTGCCTCTTTGGGTCTGACACCCGCCATGGTACTTTGACCCTATAGGAGCCACCTAATCACCATATAAAGACTCATAAACTATTTCCAAGCCCTCAAAGAGTTGAATGAGTAAGGCTCTGGGTGATAGTTCATTGAACCAAAACTTCTTGGGCTAGATTGGTGGTTCTCAGTTCAGAACCTGCTTGTGAATATTTGGCAACATTAGGAGAAATTTTTGGCAGACATAACTGAGGGTTGGGATATGGGAGTGCTGCTGGCACCCTGTGAGTAGAGGCCAGGGGTGCTGAACATCCTGGAATGCACAGGACAGCTCCCAAGACAGAGGCTCGTCTGGCCCCAAGTGTCAAGGGTGGCAAGACTTGGAATGCCAACCTAAGTCGGAGTGCCTGACTCCCCTTCCATGGTGTCTTCTCAGTTTGTGCTGATAAAGAGGCTACCCAGCCCTGGTGCCTAATGTCCAGGGTCCTGACCCTGTTCCCTTCCATTTTAGTGAAGGCCTGATTTTGCCATGGTGGGACAAGTTGTTGGATATTCTTGGCTGCTGAATTAGAGAGGCCAAATTTAGGTCCTTCAGGCTGAAGTGTGCACTTGAGAGTGATTTCTCTCCCAGTAGATAAAATATCAGCTTGGAGAGGAAAGCAGAGTCTTGCCCAGGTATTCATATAGTAGCACATAAACAGACGTACAGTATGGCTAAGCTATTAAAATGTCGCGGGGGCATTTGGGGGAAAATGTCTAAAAAGGCTCCTGGTGGTGAGGGGTGAAAAGACTGTGGGAAACACTAGGCTAAAAGAACCTTTTCCAGGTCCAGACACGCCTCAGAGTCTCTGCTTTTCTGTTTGAAATTGAATAAATAAGCTCTGATTTATATTCCCCAACCTGCCCTCCTGACACTGTCCTTGACTTGGCAACAGGTGTATTTTGTGTGCCTAATGGAGACAAGTCCCTCATTCCTCTTCCCCTTCTTTCTCTCTAGCGTAGAGGGTCTGATGGCCTCTGATGGCAAGTGGAGCTTGTTTATTCGGGGAAGAATATTATGGCAGTTATTGTAGGCAGTGGACAGTGGCTGCAGATGGGCACCTGACTCTTCCCTGCATGGGAGGGAGAGGAGAGAGGGAGGATTGCTCTTGACACTTGGCTTATATCCAAGATAGCTGAGCCTCACATTTCTCTCAGCCTTCCAGATCTCCTTATTGACCAGCTTTTCTTTGCTATCTTCCTGCAGGGGAACAATGGCCTTAAACCCAAGGACAATGAGTTCACATCCAAACCCTGGCATTGGCCCATCAACTACCAGGTATGGCCCATGGCTGGAGCTCCTCCAGGAAATGGAGCCCAGAAAGAGACTCGACTGCACAGGGCTAGGGTGTGCTGGGGTGGCACAGGGAGGCCTCTCCTGGGATGCGTGGGCCAGAGCTGGGCTCCGTTTTCTGCCCTGATGCTGACTCCAGCTCCCCAGGGAACTCGGGTGGAATTTGCATGTTCTGACCTCCTGTCTGGGCTACCTGTCTGTGAAGGGTGAACAGTCTTCTCCGCCCTCGAATGGGTGGCTGGGGATTAGCTGGGCCCTGGATCAGCAAGCTGTGCTCTGTTCCACAGGGCCTACGCTTCTCAGGGGCAAATGACACAGACTTCCGAGTCTATCTGCTTGGCAATCCGGTGAGTGCCCAGATGTTCTTGGCTCAGGGCCTCCTACACTTGCCTGTGGAGAGCTGCTCCTTTCCTCTCATCCTCTGGTTTTCATCTCCATGCAGGTGATCTGGTGGCTGAATCTGGTGAGCATTGCCCTCTACCTCCTCTCAGGGAGCATTGCTGCCATCGCCATACAGAGAGGGGCACAGCTGCCTGCTGAGGTGGAAGGTCAGGTTGCTGGGTTCTCCCTGCCCCACCTAACAGAGGGCCTGCCTGCTGGGGGCGGGGAGTGTCCCTTGCCCTCACCACTCATGCTTTCCCTTCTTGTCTTTTGAAAGCCTAGTCACCAGACACCCACTGCCGTTTCAACACTGTATCCTCCCAACACTCTGGGGTGTAGTGTATTATTACCCCATTCTACGGATTAGGAAACTGAGGCATAGTGAGATTAGGGAACTTGCCCCAGGAATAATAGTGCTGAGGTTCAAACCCTAGCAGTCCAACTTCAGAGCCTTCATTTTTACCTCTATGCTATAGCCAAAGCTGCCCTTCTTCTCTACTCTGCCCCTGCTTGCTCCGTGGCCCTGTCCTCTAGTGGGATCTCTGCTCCCTGGCGTGGGGTGGCTCCTTTCTGCCGTACCTCAGATAGGCCGGYAGTGGGTTCCTGTCCTGGTGCTGCTCCTGGTTGCTTTAGCTGTCAAGCATGGACCTCAGCATCCGAGACACCACACAGGCCCTTTCACCCTGCATCTCCCTGTGGGGTGTGGGGTGGTTCCTTCCTGCTGCACCTCAGAAGTTATGGTGTCAGGTACCATCCTCTCTCTCCCCTCACTTCCATCCCTGTTTGCTGCTGCAAGGGTCTGTGTCTGTGGAGGCAGGGAGGGGAGGATTGGGTCTGTAGGTCGGCAAGATTGGGTTTCTTTAGAGGCAGGTTTCCTCCTGCCCAGACACCAGATCAGGCCCCCTGCTGGCATGCCACACCCCTACCGTGGTGCCAAGGCCTTTCCAGGCTGGGCTCTGGCCAGGCTCTCGACCCAGTTGCTCCTCTCTCTGGCTGCCATCAGGTTGTTTGGGTTGCTGCACCTGAGGGAAGGAAGGCCTGGTGAGGCACTGTACTTATTCAGAGTCACAGGGTGAGGAGGGCAGAGCTGAACTGTGCCCRGGCTGTCTTTCCTCCCTGTTTCCTGACTGGGCTGTGCTGCTTGGGGCCCAGGGCTGACCAAGATCCTGCTGCGAGGAGGTGGCCAGGTGCTGCTCGGGTGGGTGCTCCATTACTTCCCGTTCTTCCTGATGGGCCGGATCCTCTACTTCCACCACTACTTCCCAGCCATGCTCTTCTCCAGCATGTTGACAGGTCAGCACTGCCCGTCTGGGTGAAAAGGAAGGGGTTTGGGAAGGGGGAGCGGCTGCTGTGAAGCAGCAGAACTGGGCGGATCTCTGCTCCCTAGTGTGGGGTGGTTCCTTCCTGCCGCACCTCAGAAGTTGTTCTCTACTGGGCTGGGCTGAGTTTGTCTTCTCTCCATTAGGCATTCTGTGGGACACCCTCCTGCGACTCTGTGCCTGGGCTTTGGCTTCCTCTTGCCTGGCCAGGGGCGTACACGCCTTGGGAATCCTGAGCCTGCTCCTGGGAGCTGCCTACAGGTGTGCACACTTGTACGCGTTACTGGTACTTCAGCCCTGGACGCACTGAGAACATCCTGGGATGCTTTTAAGGTGTTCCCATGGCTGGGTCCTGTCCCCAGAGTTCGTGAGACAATTGGTCACTATTTCTAAAGTCCCCTGGGTGAGTCTGATGTTCAGTGAGGTAGGAGAGGCTGGGACTCAGTCCTTTGCCGGTGGTTCCCAGCTTTGGCACAATCCTAGCATTCCTGGAAGGGATAGCCTGTCTCTCTGCTGAACAGCTCTTGGTGGGGTGAGAGAAAGGGAGCAAATGGGAAGGGGGATGTGGGAGATGTAGCTCAGAATCATTGGAAGGAGGTAGTAGGTTGGAAAGTCCTCTTTCCCCACTTCCTGGTGAGACAGATTCCCTGTGAAGTCACTGCCTGGTTGTAGTAGGAACTGTGATCTATAAGCACATGCCTGCCTCAGAGGGTTAACTCATGTTAACATCTGCTCTGAGCCACACATCTCGCAGCCAGACCCCAAGCTGGGTCCCTGTCCCAGGCCTGTGGGGAAGAGCCCTTTCCTTCCTTGTTGCTAAGCTCTCAGGTCATGCCAGAGTTTGCCCGCATGGTGAGCTCACACTGATGGGGTACTGAGAGAGAAGGACTGCTGTTGGCAGAGACCGGGAGCTCCAGCAGGAACAGCTGGCGTCAGGCTCCTCAGCTTGGTCTGGGATGTCCACTGCCTCTCTCTGCTTCTCTCACAGCTTCTACCTCTTCCACCCTCTGGCTTATGGGATGGTTGGTCCCTTAGCCCAGGACCCCGAGAGTCCAATGGCAGGACTAAGGTGGCTGGAATCATGGGACTTTTGAGGCCACTGCAAGGACCCCAGCCTGGATCCAGGAACTTCTGGGGGACACCAGCTGTGAGCCAGTCCCTGGACCCTTCGGCTGCGGGAGCACTGCCTCAGGAGCCTGGAGAGTTCTGCTGCCTGCCAGGACCGAGCTCTGGGAGCGAACCCGGATTAAACTCAACACTAAAATGAGCCACAGCCTGTCTGCAGCACTACAGAGGACAGTGTCTCCTAGGCCCAGTTCTCCAAGTGTGCAACACAAGGGAGGATGAGCATGCATGAGGGTGGGTGTGAGTGTGGGAGTGTGTGTGTGAGATGCACACTTGTCCAAACCCCTGTGGAATATGGACCGTGTAACTGTGGACAGCTGAGAGTCATAAACTCTTAAGAAATAGTCCAGGGCTACAGTAATATTTTCTGGTATTTGTTCACATTGGATTTGGTTTGGTTTGGGTTTCTAAGATCCCTTAGAAAGCCTCTGACCTGCAAGAGGGCCTCAGGGACTGACCCCTGGGGATGTCACCAGGGGCATAGCAGATGGGACCGTTGAAGCCGCACTACCCTCCTTCCCATAAGCAAACAAGTCCAGCTGAGGAGAGCAAGTGTACTGCACTGGAGGGCTGCTCCCTGCTGCCTCCTTGAGTGTCCTCTGTGACCACAGGTGGCTGAACTTCTGCCTGCAGTGTGCATGGCACTGGGCTTCAGCCCTGTTCCCCTTTCTCTGAGAATGTCACACTGAGGTTGATGGGAAGAACCCCACCCTGTCCTTGGCAGCTCCATGTCTCTTGGCCCGTTCTCCAGAGGGTGCTTCTCACTGTCTGTCCCTTTCCTTCTATACCTGTCTTGGCCACAAGGACCAGGACAGCCACTCTCTCCTGATCACCGGGAAAGCCCTTGGGAACCCTTCATAACTGCTAAGACAGATGAAAGGGAGAGCAGGGTCTGTGGCTCTGTCTAGTGGAATGCCAAGGCAGGGGCTGCTCTGGCCCATCTGGACCATGACGTTCCTGTTCCTGCTGGACCTCTTGGCCTCTCCAGACCTCCCCTGTTGATACCCTCTTTGGCTATTGGTGCTTCCCTTTTCCTGTTCACTGCTTCACTGATCTCCTATCCCCAAACCCAGAACTCCTGCAGATGCACGACGGCTCTAGCGTCTATTACTTTGAAGCCCAGCTGAGGAGCTCAGAGCCTCTCCTTCCACTTCTCTCCCCAGAGGGATTAGGAAAACTTTTGGGTCAGAACCAATCCAACCCAAGGCCAGCCCTTCAGCCTGCCTCCCTCCTCTCAGTACAAGACAAAAATGTTTATTTTGTCTCAGAGGAGTTTGATGTTTCAGGGTTTAATGATGAATCTCTGCCATGTTTCATCTCCCCTTGCAGTAGCTCCCAACAACTCTGACAGGGTCAGAGCTCTTTAAAGCATCTTCAGGAGATGGTTGCCACGGAGACTGGAAATTGGTCTCAGGGACAGACTGTGCTACCTCTTGAGTGGTGGGGAGGGAAGTTTCTGGGCCATGCGTGGACATTCAGACCAAGCATCATTAATGTTAATAGAGGAAATGCAGCCACGTGGAAAGCAAGGCCGAGTGGCTAATTAGATCTGAGGCCCCATGACCTCCCTCTCCCACGGCTGCAGCCCTTTTGACTCCCCAGCAGGAAGTGTGGCCTGTGTGCAGAGTCTGGGTCGCCTGCTAAATTGCATTTCTGCCAGGGGAGGAGAGCAGAATGGATGAGCTCTGGCCCTTGCGCCCTCCTCCTCACAGGTGGAGTTGGCTTCTCCTGAGCTGGGTGTGGGCACCATCTGGATGGGGTCTCAGAGATTTGGATGCAGGAATCTGTTGGCTCTTAGCCAAGATGGTGACCCATGATGACATCTAGGAGGTGGCTTCTTTTCCCTTTTGCCTTCTCATTTCCCAAGAAGAACTTGTTGGAAGGGAGGCATTTGAAGAAGCCAACAGGGTGACCTCTGGGTGAGGGGAAACGAGGAGAGAGCTCAGCTAGCACCCACCCACCCTCCTTCCTAATTTGGTCACACTGGGGACAAAAGTTCCCTCAGTCTCTTGCGCTGCTTACCAAGGATGGAAGAAAGAGGGCTCCCTCCCACTCCTTTTTCTCCACACCCATGCTGGCAAACACTTCTCTGGGGACAAGGCCACATGGAGTGGTACAGCTGCAAGGGGCTCAGGTGCTGCTCTGAATGTGGGCTGCAGCCTTGGGAACTGGCAGAAAGGTGACATATCTCAGGCTGCAGGTGGAGGAGGAGACATTTGTCAGTAAGCCCAACCTGGAGCCAGCATCTTGAGCCATGTTTTATTTTWAAAAAAAAAGAAAAGTGGAACCATAAGCGGTTCCTTTTGTAATAAATAGCTCTTGTTCTGAATGCCATGTTGCTTGTCGTTCTTGTATTTATCTGAACCTGACTTTCCCTCTGGCTGCCAGAGGKGCCTCCTTAAGAAGAGAAGAAGGTGTGGAGGGCAAGAACCGTCTCAACGTTGTCATGTCTGAGGCCCTTCTCATCCCAGCAGAGGCTCTGGCCAGCCAGGGCACTTGGGCCTTCCCCGGTACATAATTACTTGAATAATGTTGGCTATTTCAGTTGACTTATTCTAAGATAAGTAGGAAGCTGACCTTGTATTTTTTTCTTGTTTGACTGCCCAGACGGTATAGCCCTTTGTCCCCTTCTGAGTGGCCCAGCATTGTAGCAATTTGCCATTTTCTTAACAGAGGCTCTGTCCTGATGAGATCTTGTCATCTGGAATGACATGAGGGATCTGAAGGATGTGAGAGTTGACTTATGTGTTGGAGGAGATAGGAGGGAGTGTTACCACATGGGGGAAGTTGGGGGGTCTTCTGCGTTCTTCTGACTGCTCCCCTCAGGACCAAGAGTGGTTGGAGGCAGGCTGGGGAGGAGGGCAGATCGTGCAGATCCTCAGGAGATGGAAAATGCCTGGGACAGACAGGTCAGAAACAGATTCAATACTTAGAGTGGCACAGCTCTTAGTTTATGGATTTTTTATTTTATTTTTTGGTACCAAGGATTGAACCCAGGGGTGCTTAACATGAGCTACAACTTCAGCCCTTTTTTGCATTTTATTTAGAGACAGGGTCTCACTGAGTTGTTTACACCTTGCTTTTGCCGAGGCTGGCTTTGCTCCTCCTGCCTCAGCTTCCTGAGCTTCTGGGATTACAGGCGTGCCCCACCACGCCCAGCCAGTTCATGGAATCTTTTTTTTTTTTTTTAAGAGAGAGTGGGAGAGAGAGAGAGAGAGAGAATGTTTTTAATATTTATTTTTTAGTTCTCGGCGGACACAACATCTTTGTTTGTATGTGGTGCTGAGGATCGAACCCGGGCCGCACACATGCCAGGCGAGCGCGCTACCACTTGAGCCACATCCCCAGCCCCAGTTCATGGAATCTTGACACACCTGTGACAYTGATTCCTCTTAAAGGCCTGGTGAAGTCAATGGTGTTCTTGTCTCCATTCTACCTGGGAGAGATTAAATTCCCTGCTTGAGGTCCTACAGCTAGGAAATAGTAGAGGCAGGATTAGCAACAAATTGGGCATTCTTGGCTTCTCCAGCTTGGACTGGCAGCACCTCCTGAGAGCACTCTGGCAGCGCTGGATGCCCTGAGGTGAGGTGTCCCGACTCAGTGCGTTCCTGTGTACATTCTGTGTAGCGCATCTGCAGCTCTGCTTGGAACAGGTTTCTCCTGGTTCCCCAGGTGTGCCCAGACCAGTGGTGGTAGATGATTAACAGCAAGTTTTCTCTGAGCTACGAGAAGCCCTGATTGTAACATTTGCCAATTTCCAATTCTCCCACCTCGGCCTATTTCAAGCTACCAACTTGATGTCACTGAATGAGAAGTTGGAAAGAGATGTAGGCATCTGGCTTTCTAAGCCCTGTCAGAGCTGATTCTAGCACACCTCTGACCCAGACCCAGGGGCTTTGACTTGGTCTGAACCATGGACACTGCTCTTGGTCTTGGTGAGGGAACAGTGGAGAGGATGGGCCGGGGGTCCCCCTGTGGTCAAGTGCTGGCCCTAAGTGACCTCGGGCTGGTTACTTAACCTCTTTGCCTCCTTTCCTCAACTGGCTCCATTGACTGTTGTGAGGATGCAGAGTTAACGAGCACAGTGTCACTGGTGCTCAAAACTAGCACTTTGCTGTTACTAATGATACATTGCTCTCAGCGACAGTGCTGGCTGAAGAAAAGCACTTGAACGCTCATCCAGGCTACAGCCTACGTGCATCTCCGCAGGTGCCCCACAGGGAGGAGAGTTCCAGCCCCTCAGAAGCGAGTTTAGTCACTACATGTCCTGGATGGGACACGCCACTTGGGCTCCTTCAGCCACACCTGATTCTTAGGCCCTTCTCCAAGGGAAGCAGAGATTGGAGTACACTTGGCCCTCTTCCCTGCCTTGTAGCTCTAGGAAAGCAGAGGAGAGCCRTGGGTTTGGGCCCACTCTACCACTTCCCTGTGAGCTCATCAGACTGCTGACCCTATCCGAGGGAGGGGGGTGGACTGTTGATAGGGAGTGCAAGCTGGGTAGAGCAGGTGCCTTCACAGAGCACCAGACACCTGAGCACTAAAGGGCAAAGGTCACCAAAGTCTCATATGGCCTTTSCACATGGTTTTCTGTTCCTACAGAGCTATGGGATCCCAGGTTGGAAATTTGGTTCCTCCTTCCTTCAGCCTTAGTCCCTTTGTACTCTTGTGTGGGGACCCCTCAAACTCTTTAAGACTCCAGGCTGCCCCAAAGCCTTGCTCTCCTGCTCCTGCGCAGGGAGATACTGGGAAGATGGGGAAGAGTGTGTACCCAAACTCTGCCCTGGAGGAGGGGGAGCAGCCAGATGGCCTCAAGGGGCTTGGCCTGGATCAGGACTAGTCCTAGTCCCTTAGTCCTGATTCAGGATCAGAAGTTTTAGAAGTTTTTAGCACTCATGTCTAGCATAGGGCTGGCCATGAAGCCATAACCTGTTCATAACTAATCTTCGTAACTGTCTGGGATCCATGGGATCAAAGGAGGTGGCCTTTGGAGACCTTGCCACCCAACCCCCCTATGGTACAGCCGCTGGAACTAAGGCCCAGAGATGGGGGCAGAGTGAGAGGAGAGCAGCTCAGATACTCAACATTTATGAAAAGTAAGATGAGGATGAAAATAGGCCTGTTCTCCCTAACCTAGGCTGCTGGGTCTGGGCAGCTGAAGGAATTTTCATGGTTGAAAAGTTTGGTTTGGACAGGTGGCCAGGGCACACCTTGAGGGGTTGGCATGAGAGTTTGACCTGGACTAGTACTATTCGAAAAAAAAAAAAGTCATGATTTTTAAWGATCCGTGGAGCCATGGAATGAATGGTAGAGCTGAACCCCTTCTACATCTGTAATGCGTCTACTGCCCTGACTGGGATTGCAAACACAACTCAAAGATTTCCAGAAATGGGGGTCTCAGGAAAATCTGGGTCTGGATGGAAATGGCTGTGGTCTACTCCTAAGCTGAAAGCTCTAGTAGTTCCCAAGGTGCCCCTGTCAGACTCAGAACTTGGACACCCAGACAGCCTAGTCATAAGGTAGATGACCTGGTGCCCACTGGCTCCACATCCTGACAGAAAGAAACAGTAAATGGGCACGATTTGAGCAAAGACCATGTGCTCAGAAAGCAACAAACTCCAGTCTCCAGGCCGCGTTGGAATGGGGCTTGTTGGAGAGGTGGCCACAAGCTGCGACTTACTAAGAGGAAGAATCAAATTTAACGCAGTCTTTTTGGGGCTCCTCGCCCTATGTAGTAACTAGTCTCACTAGTTTCCGAGTGACAAGCTGAGGCCAAGAGAGCCTGAATGATTTGTTCGGCTCTAAACCTGGACATTCCCAAGGCCTCCAGGTCGTCCCTGGCCAAGGCGGTGGCAGAGGGAGTGTGCGCCTGATGGACAGGAGGGGGACCGGGCCGCGGTTGCTTTAAAGGGCGGCTCTAGAGCTGCTGGGTGCAGGGCGCAGGGCGCAGCAGCCCAGCGGGGTCCCCGGAAGCGTCAGCAGGACTGACACCGGGGGCGCTTCCACCTTTGGCGGGCTGCGGGCATCTTCTCTTGGCTCCGGGCCAGGCGAGGAGCGGCTGTTGGGCCCCGCCCGGCAGAGGCAAGGGGCCGTAGGCGCAGGGGCCCGCGTGGCCGCGGAGATGGCGTGGCACGTGCGGTGACGGCGCCCGAGCCCCGAGGGTCCCAGCGCTGCGCCTCGCGTCCCGGAGAAAGCATGGAGCGCCCAGAGCCCGAGCTGATCCGGCAAAGCTGGAGGGCGGTGAGCCGCAGCCCGCTGGAGCATGGCACGGTCCTGTTCGCCAGGTGGGAGCTGCCGGAGCGCCCCGGGGGTGCGGGTGGGCGAAGGGGTGCCGCGCCAGGAGCGATTTCAAGGCAGCTGCAATGGGATCGGAGGAGGAAAAGCCGGCCCACTGCGGTGGCTCTGGGGGGCCTGCCAGATGTGCGCCAGAAGAGCGCAGCGCGCGGCGACGGGTGGCGCACCCTTTTCTGCTCTTCTCTGGGGCATGGGCGCATCTTAGGAGCCAGCGCAGCACACCCTGCTCTCAGCTGGCCTCTCTGGCGACAGGTGGGATCCTCCACTSGAATCTCTCTGGTTACACCTGGGTGGGCGGAAGCTGGTCCCGYGCTGTGTCCCCTCCTCGACCCTGCACTTCCTGAGTGTTTCTTGGGTGGGGACAGCAGGGGTGCTTACCGCCGTCGGTAGGAGGAGACTGGAGCATCCCGAAGGCCGGTGTGGGTAGGGTGTGCCAGGCGCCTGGCAGGCAGGGCGAGCTCCTGCAACGGGGCCCCAGGAGTGCGCACTCCCAGCAACCGGCAGGATAAACCTTTCTGGGAAAGGACCAGGTTAGGACCCGAAAACCTCCAGAGTAGGGGTGACAAACACCCAATTCTCACCACCAGGAAGACGGGTAGGGGGTGTGCAGGTCCTAGGGGGCAGAGAAAGCTAATTTTCAGCCTCACCTTGGGTCTCTCTCTGGAACCCCTCTACCATCACCAGTGGGGCCACACTCTCTACATCCGGGTTTTTCAGGAAACTTGGCTTCATCGGCCAGCCCAAAACTTCTGACCAAGTTTTGCAACCCACTTCCAACCCCCTCAGACGCAGTCAATACATAACAGAGCTGCAAGAATTACACAAAAGCATGAACCCTCCAGAATAAGGCTGATAGCTTCTGGTTGTGCCTCCTGGATTTCCCCAAGATCATTTTTCCCTCCCGCTGGCATCTGCYGTGGCTCCACTACTTTCAAGCTGTGTGACTTTAGCAGGTTGTTAGCCTCTCTGGGATTCTGTTTCCTCCTTTGTAGAATTGGTCTAAGGCACTTACTGCTTAAAATTATGAGGGATACAAAATTACAAGTCAACCACCTGTGAAGTACTCAGTGTTCTGTAAGAGTAAGGATTTTGTTTTTGCTAGAATCATTGGTACTCAGAGCTTCCTCAGACTTGATGAGACTGAGAAGTTCTAACCCAAGAGCAGGGGTGGGGGGAGGTCCCTTCCTCAAGGTAGCTCCAGGTTTCTTACTTGTGGATGCCTTCCTGTCCCAAACCTCCTCCTTAATATTAATGGAGGGGCCACTGTGTGCCAGGTAGTGTAACAGGTCTGGGGACTACTGTCCTCTCAGRGATGCCCTTCAGGGTCTGGGGAGAGGTGAGGAGGGCATTGGCAAGGCTGGCAGTGCCAGGAGGGAAGGTATGCTGTGGTTGGTGGCCGCCACTGAAGCTCAGCTTCGCTGCTGGCCAGCCAGGTCACTGGTGCTTGCTGGACACACCCGACGCCTGACCCCTGTTCCCCTGACCCCCCCCCCCCCGGCAGGCTGTTTGCCCTGGAGCCGGAGCTGCTGCCCCTCTTCCAGTACAACGGCCGCCAGTTCTCCAGCCCGGAGGACTGCCTGTCCTCCCCGGAGTTCCTGGACCACATCAGGAAGGTGAGGGGCAGGGGGCAGGGGCTCAGTGGCCACCAGGATCCAGCAGAGGAGGAGGGGCTTGGGACAAGGAGGATGACTTCCGCCCTGGGCTCSATGTGACTGCTGTGATGGCTCCCCTCCTCCCTGAATCGGTGCTTAGCCAGCTGGTCCCAGCCTGTCATTGCCCTTGACCTTGTCCACCCCGCCCCATCAGGGGGACTGACRCACTCCTGCCCATGGAAACCGGGTTGGGGTTTCCTAAAGGCTCCTCAAGGGCCTCAGTTTCCCCTCGTCCCGGGCAGACAGCACCGTCCAGCAGGCACKTTAGGGACTTGAGATCCTTGGAGGAGGAGGAGGGGGACTTCCTTCAGGGGTGTACCTGCCCGCTGAGTTCCTGCTGACGGGGACACAGGCTACCAGGTCCCCCTGGTCCTGGAAAACCGAGGCCCTGCAGCCCTCACTGCCCTCTGGTTGGGACCCCGGGTTCTGGGTTGTGGTCATGTGCAGTAGGGTTGGTCGGGCCTCTCTGTCACTGCTGTCTCTGCCTTGGCAGGTGATGCTCGTGATTGACACTGCAGTGACCAATGTGGAGGACCTGTCGTCCCTGGAGGAGTACCTTGCCGGCCTGGGCAGGAAGCACCGGGCAGTGGGCGTGAAGCTCAGCTCCTTCTCGGTGGGTAAAGGGGCTCTTCCTCTTTCCAGTCCTCCCCTAGCACCTGTTCTCTCCGCCCATGCCCTTCCATTCAGATGACCGGTTCTGGTGGCCCACATCAGATATTATCTGCTGTGTGACTCTGACGCTGGCTTGGCCTCTCTGAGCCTCCAAGTTCTCTTCTCTGATACAGTTTTCTTTTCTTTTTAGAACTATAAAGTTTACAAGCCTTTGGGCATTTTTGGTTGGTTCAGCATTCCACTGCTGGGTATCAAACCACCCCAAAAAGCACTAGCTTAAAGCAACGATTTCTAGTTTCTTAGGGTAGAGCTCAAGTAGGCAGTTCTGATCCACACGGTGTGGTTGGAMTCACCCACATCTGGCATCCAGCTGGGTGTTCAGAAGGGGCTGGTAGGTCCAAGCTGGCCTGTGAGTAATAAACCGTATTTGATTAATAATAACAAATGAGAGCATTATTATGGCCAAAGGCTTAGTGTTTGCAAATACTGTGCTTTTTATAGATTATCCCACTGAATCTCTCAACAAGCTCAGGATTTGGAGCTTTTAATTTGCCTGTTTAATTGATATAGCAACTGAGGCTGAGAGAGGTTATGCAACTSGCTCAGGGTCACCCAGCCCTTCAGTGGTGGTCAGAATCTGGACGCAGGTCTATCTGGCTCCGCAGCCTAGACCCTCAACTCTATGACTGATGCCTTGCGGGGAGGAAAACTGAGGCTCAGGGGCAATGACTTGGTCGGTTYGGAGCCAGGAAATGCCTTGATCCCCTCTTGGGTGGTTGCAAAGCTAGGAGTGGAGTGGAAGGTTCTCTTTGATGTAATGTGTCACATTTGGGGAGAAGGTGGGCACAATGTGGTTCCCAAGGACTGGGATGGGACCCTCCTTAAGAAGCATCAGCCCTGTGCAGGAGAGAAGGAGGCCAGGAACCCTTCCCAGTCCTTGGCCTCGGTTTTCTCATCTGTGCAGTGGAGCAGTGCCTTCCTGCCTTTTGGAATGACTAGGCGCCCCTTGCCTCTGCAGACGGTGGGTGAGTCCCTGCTCTACATGCTGGAGAAGTGCCTGGGCCCGGCCTTCACACCGGCCATGCGGGCCGCCTGGAGCCAGCTCTACGGGCTTGTGGTGGCGGCCATGAGCCGGGGCTGGGACGGCGAGTAAAAGGAGCCCCCCTGCCCAGAGGCAGCCCCAGTTCTCTGCCTGWTGGTCTGTGTCCACTGTAGCCTTGGCTCCTCCAGGCCTCCCTGCATCTCCGTCCTTGTCCCCTTGGCCAGACTGGAGAGGTGATGGGGCAGGAGCATAGCAGGAAGGGGCTTCTGGGTTCCCCTCCTCCCCGCAGCCTCCTCCCCGCCTGCCTTTTGACCTCCCTGGCACCCCCCTCTTGCCCCATGAGAAGGAGAGAGTTTGGGGGGCAGAGGTGGCGTGGGGCTGGGAAGGAGCTCGGAGAGCCTCTCTGTGTCTGCCCTAGGACCRGTGGCTGAGCTCCAGCACTGACCCCTGCTGCCCAGGCCTGGGCTGCTCTCCTGCCTGCCTCTGGGTGTTTGTTTCAGACTTAGGGACAGATGTGTCCCAGCAGTGGAGCAAGTAGTGGGTGCCTTGGGAAGGGGRTGCCTGCTCCACCCTGGGGCTCCTCTGGCTCTCAACTGCTCAGATACCCCCAGAGAGAGTAGTTTTCCTTTGGCAGAACATCCGGGCCCTCCCTGGGCACTCCTGGCGGGAATTCCCTGATGCTGCAGGGAACAGCATCAGGGAACAGGACTGGGAGGGGCTGGGAAGGTCAAGGAGGAGGGGCCACCGAGTCACAGTGGCTTTTCCTCCACTCCCAGCTTCAGCAGGGCTGCCATATCTCCCCACCTCCTTTCTGCTCACCTGCTCGGGCTGGGGCCCCACAGCTGCCATATTTAATGCCCGTGGAGTGCCAGGACTTAGGCAGGTGGGTGGAAGAGGAAGCAGCGGGAAGGGCCCTCTGCCGCTGCTGGCCACCTCTACGACCCTTTTGCTCTCTGCTGTGGTCCTGTAAACTCTCGAGGAATAAACGTGTCCTGTTTGCCTGTCTGACCTTCAGGGACTGGTCTCTTCTTGGGCCCTGCCTGCTCTAAATGCAGCTGCAGGGCATGGGACCTAGCATGTCCTGGGGGGGGGGGCGTGGTTAGCGGAGCCAAGGTCAGAGAGGGTGGAACATAAGGCAGAGGCTGGGGAGGCTGGAAGGCCGTGGTGGAGATGGAGCTGCTGGTTTGGGCTTCAGACCGACTGGCAGGCCACCAAACCCTGTCTCTCCTGTGCTTACAACTGGGCGACACTGCCCAGCCTCCCTTGCAACCAGGCAGGAAGGGGACAGCTGTGTCAATGAGCAATGTGTGGGGCTGCCACTTCTTGGTGTGTCCCCTCCAATCCCCCACGTGCTCCTCCTGCTCTGTCAACCCTTGCCAGTTCGAAGCAGACCTCACAGTGACTTTGAGGACCATGTGCTGAAGGGGACAGAGCCAYCTGGTGAAAGGAGTCTGGTTCCTGAATCGCTGCTTGGAGAGGGTCCCCTCTCATCAGGATCGCCCAATTGGAATTTTATCAGAAACAGATATGAACGTGTCTTCTGCTGCGCGTTTTGGTTGGTCAGTTACAACCTGCAGCCACCAGAGTCCATAGTGTGGAGCGGTCCATGGGTTAGGGTTTTGGAAGGAGATGGGCAAGACTGACCTGGGGCATGGGGAGGGGGAGCAGCACTGAGTGGCCATCACAGGAGCAGGCTCCGGGCCTCCCAGTTCGTCTGGGATTGGCCAGAGGGGGCTACTCCCGGGCCAGCGGCCAGCAGTCCTCAGCCTGCACAGTGGGGGCTGGTGCCCGTAGTGTCCTGCCGGCCCCCAGCTGAGGCATCATTTTTGCTAATCTCAGGTGCAGGACCTGCAGGGCCAGTGGCTGCCACATTGGATCTCCAGCCCCGCAGGCTCCAGCAGACGGGGCCTCATCACTGCCTGACCTAAGGCCAGCTCAGACTCGGGCGTCTATGCCCGGCCTAAGGTCCTGGGGTTTGACATGCACTCAGGTGACTGGGATGACCTGGCTACCCCAGACCTAGGGCTCCCACCTCCACACAGACCACCGTTCTGAGCATGTGTACCATGGGTCCTTCCCGCCTCTGTTCTGGGTCTCAGCCTTACCATCCGCCCAGACGCTGCAGGATCCTTCCCCTTCCTTGAGCCCGMATCTCCAAAGCCAGCCCCCTTCCCCCCCCAGCAACTGCTTCCTTTACTCTTTTGATGTCAAAACCCTTCAAAAGAGTGGTCTCCCCGCTTCCCGCCTTCATTTCCCCACTTCCCAGGAGAGAGCCTGTTCCAGCCATGCTTTCTCTCCACTCCGTCTGCCACGGTCAAGGTCTCCAGCGGCCCTCTCTTGCCTGATTCGTGGCCCAAGTCCTCACCTTGCTCTGTGCTCAGCAGCACTAGAAAGCGTTGATCACTCCTTTACTTTTAAACCCTGTTTTTTTTTTTAAATAGAAAAATGCTAACAATGACAAAAATCAAGACGGGTGAAGCTCCGCGTACCCCAGCCAGCAGCGACAGTGAGCAGCTTAAGATCCCCCTGCCTCGTCTTCCTGATGAAGACTTTTTTTTGGGGGGGGGCGGGGTTACTGGAGGTTGAACTCAGGGCCACTGGACCACTGAGCCACAGCCCCAGACCTATTTTGTATTTTATTTAGAGACAGTGTCTCACTGAGTTGCTTAGTGCCTCACTTTTGCTGAGGCTGGCTTTGAACTTGTGATCCTCCGGCCTCAGCCTCCCAAGCTGCTGGGATTACAGGTGTGCGCCACTGAACCCAACCAAGACTTTTAAAACACARCTTCATGTTCTTTCATGGCTTCACGTAACTGGCTTGTCTACACCAGTCTGTGTCTCGAGTTACAGTCGGGTGTGGCTAGACTAGGGACCCCTCCTTGCTTCCTGAGTCYCTCCAGGAGCCCCAGGTCCTGGCCGATGCTCCTTCCCTGTTTCCCTCAGGCCTCCTCACCTGTGTTTGCTCGCTTAGGGTCTCAGCCAGCGCCCTGCGCTACCACCAGCCAGGACCTGATGATCCAGAGCTTTATGTTTCCAGCTTGACCCTGTTATCCAGCCACTCCTCGACCTCCTCATGGGCACCTCAAATGCAACACGACCAAACGGGACTCTTGGCATCCCTCCCACCTCACCCCAACCTGCTCCTTCTGCCTGCTTCTCTACCTCATAAACCACTGCTTACCCAGAAAACTGGGGTTCATCTTTATTTCTTTCCCTTAGATTCCACACCTAATCCAGCTAGGAATCCTTGGTCCCTAGGAAAAATTCAATTCTCCTTATTCTCTGCCTCATCCTGGTCTGTCCCTTACCCCCAGCTCCAGAGATTGCAGAGTAGCTGCCCAAGGACAGCTCCCCACACCCACTCATGCTGGGCCTCCTCAAGCTCTCACAGGCCTCCTCCCTGTGGGGACAGAGGATGACAATCTCCAGGAGTCATTGCTTCCAAGAGGAAAACTCATGGAGATGATTGGGGATGAGTTGCACATTATAAATGCATTTAATCCCATGGAACTGTATATTTAAAATGGTTAAGACAGTAAATATTTTGTGTATTTTGCAACACTGGAAAAAAAATTAAAAACATAAGAGGATTTTGCCACTCCCCTGCTCAGAATCTTCCAGTAGCTTCCTACATCACTGGTAAAACCTGGAGCTGGACCAAGGCTACAAAGCCTGCTGCTCTCAGGCCTCACCCTGACCCTCTCCTTCCCATCTTCATGCTGCTTCGGCCACTCTGGCTCCTCACTGCCCTTTGGGACCTGTGTGTGGTCCCTCTATTCTCCTGRAGTTCATCTTGGATCCTCCTCATCTCCAGTCACTCCCTGCCCTCATCCTGCTTTGTCCTTTCTTCAAAGCACTCACTCCTCCCTGATGGCCCCTTATATAATCTGTTTATTGCACTTGAAGCTTCTATTGCATAGAAATGGGCATGAAAGCCACTTTGGCATCTGTGTTTGAAGGAAGAGGAGATTCTCCACACTGCTACTGCAGGTGACAAGGTAGTCAGTCAGAGGGCCCCCTGAGGCCCGGTGTGTCCCAAACAGTAATCACACTTTTGAAAAGAAAGATTATTATGACAGAAGTTGTGCCCCAGCTGGTGAGAYGCTGAGCCTCCTTACCTCTCCCTGCACAATTCAGCCGGCTGAGGGACATCTGGAAAAACGGAGGTGACGGGGCACCACCCCAGAAATTTTGGTTTGTTCGGGGATGGGGTCTGGGCATTGGGTTTAAGAATTTCCGGAGACTCCCACTTGCAGCTGGGCTGAAGGGCCCAGCCACGGAGGCTTGACTGATGCTGGCCTGCTCGTTGTCAAGGCGAGGGACCATCACATTTTCAGAAAACAGGCTCTGTTGAGYGAACCCAGGAGCTTGTCTTTCTGTGAACCAGCCCTCCAGCCTCCATGCTCTCCAGGCCTTCCAGAGAGCACTACGGGCCAGCACCACCACCCAGGACAGGCCTGAGTACCACGGCTCCAGTGCCACGACTTTGGGAGAGTGGCCGGGAGCTGCCCTGGGGGTCCTCTTGGCCGCCCTTGCTTGGGCTCCAGGTGGCAGCTCTGGGAGCCCCGGGCACTCCTACTACCTCCCCAACCTGGCAGTGTCCTGCATGGTGCTCAGACTGGTACTCTAGTGTCCCGTRGACACAGCCCTGTTGGCCTCCCTGGCACCGTGCCTCTCCCACAGACCCATGCCAGTYATCCTGTCTGCTTTGTAGGCCTCCCAGCCTCCCTGGATGGCTGAGCAGAGGGGCCAGCCTTCCCTGGGTACCCCCTATTTTGGGCTCCACATCTTGTCTGTATGTCTGTCTCTGCCTGAGTCCCCTGACAGGGCAGCTAAACCAAGGGATGGCCCAAGGCCTGCCATCTGGGGCCCCTGGAGGCTGCTGGCCCCTGGGAGGAGACCCTCAGAGGCAGCATAGACCCCAGGAGAAGGGCCCTTTCCTGCAGCGGCCATTAGCCCCCTAAACCCAGGCAGGAATCTATGCCACTCTGTCCCCTGCATTCAGCAGCCCTGGTGGGTTTCATCTGGTTTGACTTGAAAAATAATTGTTTTTTCAGGGGAGAGGAAAGAGGAGGATGATCTCTGCCCCACACCCACTGATGGACAATGAGAGCCTAAGAAGTGGCACAATGAGGGCAGTGGGGTACAGTCTTCAGGCAGCCACCCCTGGACTCATCCTCTGTCCCCACAGCAGCAGTGGGAAGGAAGCCTCCTTGACCCTGACAGGGGGACTCCGCTCTCTTCAGAAATAGGGCAGAGCATGGACTCCTAGCCCTTCTTTCTTTTTCTCTTTCAAGTACTGGGGATTGAAGCCRGGAGCACACGACCACTGAGTTTTTTGTAAAGCTGGGCACCGTGGTTCATGCCAGTGATCCCAGCAGCTCGGGTGGCTGTGGCAGAGGGATCATAAGTTTAAAGCCAGCCTCAGCAACTTAGCAAGGCCCTGAGAAACTTAATGAGACCCTGTCTTTAAAAAGAAAAAAAATCATATAGTATTGCACAGCGTCTAAGTGGCCCAGTCTGTCCTTCAAACTGCACCCTCCTGCCTCTGCCTCCGGAGCAGCTGGGATTGCTGGGGTGCACACTGTGTCTGGTCTCCTACCCCGACTTTCTCTGTGAGGTAACCAGCCTAGGGTCATCAGCTAGATGAAGGAAAGGCCAGAACCAGAGTCTCCTGCCCAGAGACATTTTCCTTGGGTAGAGACCCGTTTGCTCCTCCTTGCCACAGATGTGACAGCCTTTGCATTTCTTGTCCTGCCCAGGCCTGACCCAGCTTGCCCCCCACACCTCCCTGATGCCCAACCTCTTTTTGACCCCCTTGTCTCTTGCTAGGTGTAGACCTGAGCCCTGTCACTCTTCATGGGGCCTCCACCTGAAATCTAGTCCCTCCTCTGGCACAGGCCAATTGTCCCCTCACAGGGCCTAGCATTCATCTGGGGCTTCTGTTGCTCCAGTGAGGCTGCCCTTAGGGTTTCCTGGATGACTCAAGGCCAGAGTTCTCTCACCTCTGCACAGCAGGGGGAGGCTGAGCCATTCCCCATCCCTCCAGCAGAAGGCAGCCATTGCCTGGCCTTCCTCTGGGGTCAGCGCCAGGGAAGGGAGGCCTCGGGTGAGAGGATTGCTGAGGGGCAGGCCTGGCCCCAGGGGCAAAGCCATGCAGGGAGGCGTGGTGCCTGGGCTCCGAGGCCCTGGGGTTATCCCGCAGGAGCTCTGGTTCCTTGCAGGTAGAGGAGGGCCCTGCTGGCTTGGCCCAGATGCAGAGGCGCAGAGGCCGGCAGAGGTTGGGAGGACTTGTTTATTCAAGGCACAGTCATAGCATTGATAACAAGAAGGTTCAGCATTCTGGCACATTCCTTTAGTGGTGGTGGCCAAGGTTAGTCCACAACCCCTCCAGGGCCCCTAGAGGACGCAATGCTGCTGATAGGCACTTTGCTTCCAGAGGCAACTGAGGGACAGGCAGGCAGGGCTGGGGCTGCTCAAGGCCTGGGGAGGCCCCTCTGGGAGGCTCTAGGCCACACCAAGTCCCCAAGAGGCAGCTCCCTCCAGAAAGGATTATATGGATGGATTGGGGTGGGGAGGGTGGGATGGTGGAAGACAGGCCAAGACGGGTGTGGGCTGGGAGGGGAGGTGGGAGAGGGGAGGTTCTCAGGGAGGGCCTGGATGTGGTATGCATGTGAGGAGCTGAAGGACCCCTCGGTCCCCAGTCAGTGACCATGGGAGGTTGAGGTCCAGTATGCTCAGCAGGGCCTTCTCCATGGCCCTGGGTCTCCAGGAAAAGTAGAGAAGCAAGTAGAGTCTGGCACTTCCTCAACAGTCACACCAGTACTTGACTCAGATTTAGATGGAAGTCCCCAGCCGCCTGCCACGTTGTTTGCAGAGCCCTTCCCACACGATGCTTCCATGGACTTCAGGGGAGTGGGGGAAGAGGGAAGGCCCGGCCGCAGGACCAGCAGCAACAGTCCAGCAGGGCTGCAGGGCCAGGGGCAGGCCCAGTGCCCAGGGAAGGACAGGCCCCAGGCCAGCCTCTGTCAGCACCCCACACCCCRTACATATCAAATAGCCACTAGCCAGGGCAGGTAGGGCCTGGTGCCAGTCATTTCCCACTGTGGGCAGAGCTCCCTACTGGGCTGGACCACTCTGCCACAGGAGGGTGCTTTCCCCTCCTTGGTGGGTGACATTCCAGGGGAGAGGTTCCTGTGGGATCTGGGTGCTTGGGGCCTGGATGGGTATACCTTTTCCTTTATTCCAAGCTGGAGAAGGGATGGAAGATCGCTTCCTCCCCAGATGACCCAAGCTCTCTGGAAGGATCTTCCGTGCCAAAGTCAGGGCTAAGCCCTGGGAAAATAGTGCTCTAGGTCCCTCGAGTGGCTGTTTCTCACCTGGGGTGAGGCTTGAAGCTGGGCAAAGTCAGAGTAGGGATGGGCCTATGTGATCTGCATTCAGGGAGCCATGTGCCTGGGACGGTGGATAYACTGAGGTGAGGGGGACCTGGGCCCACTTGCAGCAGGCTGGAAGAAGGGAGGGAGCCGGACTTATGGAGGAGGGGGCTCAAGAGGCTCAGGAGCTTGCAGACCCCATGCAACTTGGCTTGTGTGGTTTACTAGGCCCCAGAAGGGCCTGGTCATTACTCAGGACCCTGGCTGAGCAATGCTGATGGCATGGTAATCCTGATGGCAGCCTGCCAAGAGGCAGAGGCCTTTACTCCTCCCCCCTCCCCCAGGATGGTGGCAGAGGTGCTGAGGGTCACCAGCATTGTTCAGGATTCAGTTCCTCCAAGCCTCAGCGGGAGGCAGCTCTGGGAGGTCAGAAGAGGCTTCTCCATGGAGAGATGCACCCCTCATCCCTCCTCACCCTTGTCTGCAGTGTCTTAGCCAGGCCACACTGGAGGTCACTTAGGATCCTACTTGGAGGGCAGGGGATGGCCAGTGCCTTCATTTTGAAAACTGGATTTCTTACCCTTAGTTGTCACCCATCTTGGCCAAGCTGGGGACCCAGGACTCAAGATGGATGAGAGGCAGGGGAAACACTGAGTGGCCATCTCTTTGGCTTTGGGGATCTTCTTACTCAGTCCCAGGGTTTGGGGAGATGTGACCATTTCCCACTGCTCCGGAGTTTGGGGGTAAGAGCTCCCCTCCTTGAATTCTGACGCTGCCCCTCCCCACCCCCTTATCACCACCCTCAAGAACTTGCCATGGCTCCCTTCGCCAGGATGCACACAGGTCTGGTTTAATGAGCCCGGGGAACCTTGTCCCAGCTACCCTAGCAGGAGTAGAAAAAGGGCCTCCAACCTGTCGCTCCTAGGGACATCTCACAAGGGCAGAGGAACAGAAAGGGGCTCGGTCACCTCCGCTCAGGTCTGTAGTCTCGGCTGTCCCCTGCTTGGGGCTGTAAGTGCAGAGACTTTACAGATCCCCTCATCCTCCTGTGCTGAGATGCTCCAGAGTCCGGGTGACACCCAGTGCACATACCTTTGCCTCTTTTGGGAGTGGAACAGCAGAAGCTCCCTGAAGGGCAGCTGGAGCAGGGGCAATGGAGACCCCAGGGAGCCTGGGCGGGCTTCTTTCTGCCTCCTCCCTTATACACGCCTTCTCCATCTCGACCCCAGAAGGTACCCACCACTCAGTCCGTGTCCTGGGTTTCAGCCATCTCTCCCAAGGCTTGGCATTGGCCTTCTCCATCCCATCCTGGGATCCCCTTGGCACTGCCCAGAGCCTCCCGTTCTAATCGGTCAGCAGGTCAGGGTCTCCATGTGGCTGTGGCCAGGCAGCAGATGTCTCCACCTGGAGCTTCCCAAAGTCTGTGGGAGGGAGTGGGGAGGTCCGGGCTGCCCTCCTGCCTCCCCGTGCCAGGTGTCCCCCGGCCCCTGACTGGAGTCTTCATCAGTGGTACTGGCTCTGGCCCTCCAGTTCCAGCCCTTCCTGAAACTGGGCAGAGTCCAGCTCCCTTGCAAAGCCCCTCAAACCGCTCTCCTCTTCTCCCTCTTCCTGCTGGCTGTTCATGGTGCCGTAGGTGTGCTGGGCTGGGGAGGAGGCTGGGGTCAGGTTCAGTTCCGGCTCTTGCAGTACAGCGGCCACATAGAGCTGCTCGGGATAGAGAGGGGAGATGGGGGCAAGGTCACAAGGAAGCAAGGCCTGGGGCACACCCTCTTCCCTCAGCTCCACCTGTCACCTCTGCTCCTCCAAGCCACCAATCCTTCCTTCCTCCCCGGCAGCCTGCAGCCTGCGGCCAGCCCACCCCTCCCACCTAGCTGCCCTTGCTATCATGAACACCCTTGATCTCCCAGGCTAGTTCAGGGGCATGTGACCTAACTCTCAGCCCACTGTTCCTTCTAAACAAGCTCCATTCATTCTCGGTTCTCAATCAGGCTGAACCAGAGGAGATGACAGGGGCTCCCCTGAGCTAGGATCTGGAGAATCTAGTGCACTTTATAAAACAGTATAGACCATCCGGAACTCCTTTGGGTGGGTCAGGGGTTGACCTGGGAGTCGGAATTTGAAACCGAGGGCCATCGGAGACCTGGGTTATGGGACATGTCAAACCCAGGAACTGCCCCAGGAATGCCCAAGAGTGCAGCAGATTAGAAAATTAGTACCAGGGAATAGAGTGATTTGTCGCCCTTACTTTGAAAATAGGTAATTATGGGATAGAGTTAATCCTTTCCATAGGTGTTTATTTTCAGTGAAACCAAATAACCTCTGTGGGGCTTGTGCTAAACTAAACTCCATAGATGATGACAAAAGTCAGGGGGTCCTTCCAGCATAGTAGATGGGCATAAAGGAGATGTTCCTGGGGTGAGGCACARCACACCCCGAATGCATTCTAGCCCCCATGTTGAACTTGAGCCTATGAGGCCCTCAATGGAACTTCTAGTTTTCAAGGAAGGTGGAAGATAGTGGAATCTTCCACAAGGGAACATGAAGATACAGCGAGAAAATCCCAAAGGTGGGACCACTGCAGGACTACTGACTTGGTGTCTCCAACAAATCCTAAAAAGGGACTGTCCTAAAGTAAAAGGGACAAGACAACCAGGTGTACAGGTGTCAGATTAATCTAGCACAGGTACTGGATTGAGTCTTGGTTTGGACAAGTTGTAAAAGATATTTCTGGAAGTATTAGGGCAATTTGAATATGGATTGGATATTTGAAGAGATAAAAATGTACATACGTGGCAAGATAGTGTTTGTTAACTAAAATACGGTTATAAAACCATACGTAGAGTATTATGTAATTTTAGCAAAACTATATAACCAGTTACATATATATGATCATAATTATCTAGAAGAGATACAAACATATATATGTATATAAATATTAGGAAGAATATACACCAGGGTATGAGTGATCAACTCTGGGCGGTAAGAATATGAACTTTTTATTTCCTTATTTATTCTTGCTTATCTGTTTTATCCCATAATTATCTACAATTTTGTCATAATGAAAGATTAAAAAATTCTAAGCCAGGAGCAGTGGCGAGTGCCTGTAGTCCCAGCTATTCAGGAGGCTGAGGCAGGAGGTAACTTGAGCCTGAAGTTGAAGACCAGCCTGGGCAACAGAGCGCGAGCCTGTCTCAAAAAATAAATAAGTAAGTAAATAACAAATTCTGGTAATTTTTTTTTTTTTTGTAATACTGGGCATTGAACCTTGGGCCTGGTACCACTCTACCCTCTACTACTGAGCTATATCTCCAGCCTGATAATGATTTTTAAAAAAACCAACACAGGATTTATAGTCTTACTGAACTTTGTTTTGCCACTTCCTTGATTAATGTCCTATGGTCTCTATTAATTGACCTGTTGGGGCTTGGGGTGTAGCTCAGTGGTAGAACCCTTGCCTAGTATGTGGGAGGCCCTAGCACCTCCCAATTTTGTTTTGACCTTTTGAAGCTTCCTTTGGGAAGAAGACCTCTTATTGTCTGGGTTTATCAAAAGATCAAGGGCTGGGGATGTGGCTCAAGCGGTAGCGCGCTCGCCTGGAATGCGCGCGGCCCTGAGTTCTATTCTCAGTACCACATATGAATAAAGATGTTGTGTCCACCAAAAACTAAAAATATTAAAAAATTCTCTCTCTCTCTCTCTCAAAAAAAAAAAAAACAAAGACATACAGAAAATGGTGGAACCCCAGGTTCCTAAGATTTTGATAACTGCCTACAGAATGAGCGTGCTTCTATTGGAAGGGCCCAGGGGAGAAGGACTTTCCTGCTCTGGAGTCTTGCTCTCCTTCTGGCCTCCTCTCGGAGGAGTTTGTCCCTGTCTGTAGGCTTTGTTTGGAGTGAGGCAAACCTGGAGTCCTGGCAGCTCTGTGTGCAGATGGGTGGGTGTCACCGCTGTCTCAGTTTCTGTCTATGCACTTTTACCCAGCTCTGCTGACCACTAGAGAAAGCCTCATCTCCTACAGGCCCTGCCCACAGGGCTCACTCTTCAGTCCACTATGCTGAAAGCTGCCTTCCATCTCCCTGCACACTCCAGAGTCTCTCTCTGGCTTTGGTACAGGATGCTCTTCTTCCTCCAATGCTTTCCTCGCTCCCTGTTTCCCCCAGCAACCCTCCTTCCATTCCTGGAGTGACATGAAATGTGCCAGCTTTCCCAAGTGCCCAGGCCAGCTGGCACCCTTCTTCAGTGCTCCTCCGAGGTGCCCAGCACCTAGGAATGGACAACCTGGTACCCAGGCTCAGCGCACACCTCAGTGGCTCTGCAAGCGCACATGTGGCTGGGATGTGGATGAGAGCTCTTGCTTGCACAGGCCCAGCCACGTGGGCGTGGGAGCTCACACCCAGCCCCTTGGCGCCTGCCTCTGAGTCTAGCCTCAGCTCTTCCAGGGCTCAYTCATCTGGTGCTGTTCCTGCCTTACCATTTGGTGCATCCTCCAATAGCTCCCTGCAGCTCTGTCTGCGCCGCTCTGCCTGGCACCTGTGCCCTGGAGGCAGCCTTGGGTCCTGAGGCCGAGCCCCAGCATGCCCCTGGGTCTACACGAATGAGGTCTCTGAGATCGGGGTCCCCCTGACCCAGTACATCCTCTCTGGCTGCCTCCTCTCTGGGTGCCTTCTAGGGAATGTCGAGTAATTGCTGGATCTTCTCATATCCCGGCTCTTCAGCCAGGGCCACGGCAGCATTTGGACCTGGGCCGAGTCCTGCTGCGTCAGAGGAGGGAACCCAGAGGCCCCGGCTCCTCCTCCCCAATACCCAGGATGGGCACTAAGCTGGTGCCCCCCAACATCACTGGAGTAGGCCACCCCTGCAGGTACCGCCCTCCTTGCCTGGCCCCAGGGTGAAAGGGGTGACTCACAAGGGATGTGGGCGTGGAGGACGTGCTGCTTGGCTCCATGTCAAACACTGTCTCGATCTCCTCCTCGGACTGCCACAGGGAGAGAGACGGAGGGTCAGTGGGGGCTGCTCTTTGCCGCCTTACTCCCCACATCCAAGAAGCCTGGGCCTGGGCCTCTGGCCACACTGTTCTTTCCAGAACTTTAGCCCAGAGGGAAGGATGGAAGCCCAAGGGGACAGGGAGAAGATTAGGATGCCAGGAGTCCCTTCTGGAGTGTTCTCTTCCCAAGGATCATAAAAGGGGAAGTAAGCAGAATTGAAATTGAGGTTCAAAGATGGGACCCCAGTTAGGGGTTAGGATGCCCCTCTATTGTGTTTGGAAGGAGTCCTAAGCTCATCCAGTCCATGTTCTCTGCCACCTGCCCTCTGTAGAGTGACACGGGCAACCAGATCCTGTGACACTGTGGTAATAGAAAGATGGGAGGGGGCATTGTCCTTCACTCTGGCCCTCCCCTAGCATGACACTCTGGCCAGCATCGGGGCAGGGGGGCCAGGCAAGAGGACAGGAGGTGCCTGTGTCCAGAGCCTCAGACACAGACACCAGAAGCCAAGGGAAATGCCTCACAGAAGCTCCCTCTGCCAACTCAGCAGGGCGTCAGCCATGAGAACGGACTTTCTTTTCTTTAGGTTACATTCATTTGAAAAGGAAACAGTTTGCTGTTATAAACAAACTCTGCTCCAGGAGTCATAAGCAGAAAGTTAACTGGAAAAATAAATACGGAACAAAACCTACGTAACACGTAACAAAACCTACGTAACATTGACTGAGTATCCACATCGGCCCGTTAAACGGGTCATTCTTGACCGTCCGCCACCTCTCTTACCATGATCCCTGGAAAGTATCTGTGAATTATCATTATTCCAATTCCCTGGGCAGACAGTCACTTTGGGAAATGCTGATATAGACAGAGTGGCTGGCAGGGCTCGGAGAGGACATGGGCTGGCTCCCTTTTCCTATGTGGCCTAGACTGGGCCAGAGGAATCATGGCCGCCATCTCCAAACAGAGAGCCCCCAGCTCCTAGCCTGGGATTCTAAAAGGTGGGATGACTCTCCGTCCTGCCCAGGTCATGGTCCCATCCACCGCCCCACCCTCACCTGCCTTTGTTCCGCCCTCTCTCTCAACCCTTGGGATGGTGCTGATGGCCCAGAGGTGACAGTGGACTCACGTGGTAGGAGGGGCGGGCCAGCGGCTGTCTGCGGTTGGAGGAGGTGCCCGCAGGTGGCAAAAGAGAGGGCAGTGTCTTCTGCAGGGGACCCAGCCTGAGCGAGTAGCGCCAGGCRAGCGTGGGCACACACACCCCAGTCCCAGAGAGAGGCTCGACCCTCCTGCCATGTGGTGCCCTTGTGACTGGGCCAGGAAGGAGTCTCAGAGCCCTGTCCGTGGGGACTGGGAGAACCCAGGAGGAAGGGCAGGCAGGAACTCACCTCATAGTCATGGACTGTCCGGAGCTTCCCCAGAAAAACGCCAAAAAAGGCAATTAGCATGGAAACGATAAGGGTGGTCAGGGAAAAGAAGGTGATGTTGTGGAGGGAACCTGCCGGAAAGAAGATACCGGGGTGAGCGTAGCGCAGTGGGGCTCTGGGTGGACGTCTCGGCCGAGATGGTTGGCACCTAGCTGGGAATCATCCCAGTACCTCCTGAGGGGCTCTGAGCTAGGGGCAGAGACCCTGCCCAATTCTCTGAGAATCAATGAGTTTTGATGACACCACCCCTCTGTTCTCTTTGGCCAGTTCAGAATTTGGTATCTTGTGGATTCCATGGAAAAAAATGTTTTGATTCTATAATCCCAGCGGCTTGGGAGGCTGAGGCAGGAAGATTGCAAGTTCAAAGCCAGCCTCTGCAGCTTAGCGAGGCACTAAGCAACATAGCGAGACCCTATCTGTAAATGAAATTCAAAAAGGGGCTGGGGATGTGGCTTAGAGGTAAAACACCCCTGGGTTCAGTCCCCAGTACCAAAAAAAAAAAAAAAAAAAGGTTTTGATTGACTAAGTATCCATATCAACTCATTAAGCATGTCCTTCCTGAGTCCTTCTTGATCAGTCAGCTACCTCTCCACTTGACCAGTCACACTCCCTTCTCCATGCTCCCTGGGAAGTATCTGGGAGTTATCATTTCTGCCACTACCCGTGACTCCACGTCTCCATGTGAGCCCAGATTGAGCATGATGGCATTGAACAGCCATCCAGAAATCAAAAGTCATTTGTATTCCACATGGGAGTATCTAGTTCCTTTTGAATGGTTCCTTTTCTTTTCTAACTAGGTAAATATGGAAAGTGGCCCTTCCCAGTCAAAGGTGACGCTGACCCCAGTGGCTGTGCAAGAATACAAAATGACAAAACCCCTCCCCATCCCCCAATGGAGGGCTGGCAACCAGCAGCCCCAAGGCAGCCGCCGAAAGGCAGGTGTTCACACCGTCTCTTAATAACACAGGAAAAGGCTCAGACATAACGTTCAGGGGAAAACTCAGGATTCGGGACGGAAGGCTGTAACAGGGCGGTCACGATGACCAACACACTCCCTCCCTCTCATTTCATTCTGATCCCCAAGAGCGAGCCCAGGAGGAGGCCTGGTTGCAGGAGACAYGGGGCTGGGATGAGATGATGGGGGATTTAGGTTTGGGCCTTTATATTTTTTCTATTTTTTGTAATAAACTTGYATCTTTTTGCCCTTAGAAATAGTTCTAGATAGTCAGAAAAAGGAAGCAGGACAAGAAACGGGCAGGGGTCAGAGGTGGGGGGTGATGACAAAAGGCTAAGCCACACTAATGACAGGGTAGGAGGCTCTCAGATGCCACTGTGACAGAGAGCAAAGGGAACACTGCCTCTCCCTTCTCCACCCCAGGGAAAGGTGAAGGTCAAGTGACCTGAAGGCGGGCAGTGGCCTGGTGAGTCAAAGGGGAGAGAGCCGAGGGAGCCCAGTCTGTGGTTTGTGGGGACTTCCATGAAGGTGTCTCCGGGCTGCCCTGTGTAACAGTAGAGTCGGGGACAGGCTGGCTGCCATCGCAGATCTGACTACCCGTCCAGGGTTCTGGCAAACCCATAACCCTGGCACCTTATAGGATCCCAGAAGAAATGTCACGAGAATTGAGCCCCCAACAGCTACTATCCCATTTTCCTGTCCGCTTGGATTGAAGGATGTTTCTTGCCTAAACCGAAATCCATACCGATCCTCAAGGCTCTGCCAAGACCCTGCAGGCCCAGAGGAGGCACTGGACTTGGCCACGCCTGGCTCTCCCTGAGCTTTCGTCCTCTAACAGAGTTGATGGCGAGGGACCCACAGCGGAGTGGGGCAGGCCGAGGCGGGATCGCCGTGCAGGCTGGGCACCCACCTACTCGCAGGATGGAGAAGAAGAGCATCCAGAATAGACCCAAGAGCGGAGCAAAGATGGCCTGGTAGACGGCGGCCATGTGGATCTGCTCGTTGAGTTTGGTGGGTGCGAAGGAGTAGTACATGTTGTAACGGTCCGTCAGGTGTTTCATGCACAGGTAGAGAAGCCCTGGGGGAGGGGCGAAAGATGGAGACACAGTCAGTGGCTGTTTCACAGTCAAGACCTGTGCTCCCGTGAGGTCTCCACAGGTCTGAGAGGCCCAATTCCGAGCTGTCAGAGCAGCAAGAGCAAAGGCAGGCCCCGGGAGACCGACCTCCAGAGCTAGCAGCTGCCCCTGAGCCCCAGAACCCATCCTGCCAGTTTCACCCAGCCAACCACTCAAGCATTCATTCAACAAATGCTCTGCCCGCAAAACAGACAGCTGACCTCAGCCCCGGCCCCGGTGCCTCCCCACCACGGGCTGTCCCAGGTCCCTTCCTGCTCCAGGAGGTGGCCTGATGTGGGGCTCCATTCCTCCTCCAGTCTGAGAGTGAGCAGCCCCRGGTGTGCTGCAGAGACAACTCACCAAAAGGGACGATGATCGGGCAAGTGATGCTATACGCCATCACCACGCTGAAGACGTTCAGCATCCATGCGTACTCCCGCCCAAACTGGAAGTCCATGGCTTGGTTCTAGGGCAGAAGGCAGGGGTCACCTTGAGGTCTCCTGGCCCCTTGGCTTGACTGCATCTCTGGCTCCTCCTGGGAGCCAGCTGGCAGCTCAGGCCGAGGCAGCACTCCCTGCCAGCCCTGGGGGCCAAGAAGCAGCCACCTGTCCTTGGGCGCTCCCAGCAGGGGCCCCATCCTGGTCCCCTCCCAAGAGAAACGAAGGGCTGTGCTCAGGGAAGGGCTGGGCCTCACCTTCCTGATGTGGGCTCTCTCGGGCTCCGATCTGGAAAAGAAGAGGCGAGTGCTGTACATGAAGAGGGACCCCAGACGCAGCAGCTCCATGCCTGTGCCGAGCAGGGCCGCCGTGATCACGTAGTTGACGAAGAAGGCGCCATTGTCTGGCAGGAACACACACCTGGGCAGCGGGGAGAGCGGAAGACAGTGAGGAGCCAGGGACGGCAGGAGTTGAGAGGGAGGAGGAGAGAGAGAGAAAAATGGAGGGTGGGTGGCGGGGGTGACCAGTTTCCTGTCAGGTGTGGCCACACGACATTTGGACCAACTCCAAATTGTGTATACAACAGAGGTCCCACAGGTCATGTCCCCTGGGGGGGCTGTGGCCTTCAGAGTTGCATTTGAGTGTGCAAGGACATGAATGCCCTGGCTTGCTCCAAAGCTGGAATGTGAGCTGGGCTCACAGAGTCTGAATTCTGGGGGACTATGGGTGGGGGGAAATGACGTCTTTATTTTCATTAATCTGTAACTGAAATTCAGTATTTCCTTCAATTAAGGTTGTGGGCCACACATCGCAGGACTGTCAGCCACCGTGTGACTTTGTCTCCAACTGAAATTGCATCGCAGTCACAGCTGACATCATACAATACCATTTGTGCTCATCACCATTTCAAAATGATGATTTAGACACATTGTTAAGTGACACATGGTTAAAAGTCTCCTGGCTGCAGAGACGTCCTTGAGGGAACTGTCCAACTTTACCTGGGAGCCACCCAACTTCTCTGAATGGGTGACTTCAGTGTGCAAAACCCATGCACTGCGAAGAAAACCATCSTACTGAAATATAGTCATCAGGATATTTTAAAATGTGGAGATCCAAGCATCTCTGTGACTTCCCAGGGTCCCTGTCGGCACATTTATATCAACTTCCTTGAAAAGAGAGAATCTGAGTCCCCAGACTCATTTCAGAACATCTTCAGAATCCCTCCCTCCCTCCCTCCTTCCCTTCCTTCCTTTCTCTTTTCATTTTTCTTGTATCAGGGCTTGAACCCAGGGGTACTTAACTACTGAGCCACATCCCCAGCCCTTTTAATTTTTTTTAATTTTGCTTAGGGCCTCACTAAGTTGCTGAGGCTGGCTTTGAACTTACAATCTTTTTGCCTCAACCTCCTGAGTTCCTGGGATTACAGGTGTGTGCCACTGTGCTTGGCCTGATATTCGTATTTCAGTATAATTGGTTTTCTTTGCAATCCCTGTACTTGGCACGCTTGGAGATATCATGCAGAGTAAATTGGACAGGTCTGAATAGGCTCTGTGGATTGTACCAGAGTCACTCTCCTGTTTTTATATATTGCACTATCATCATGCAAAATGCTACCATTAGAGAAAAGTGGGTGAAGGGCACATGGGACCCTACCCTGTACATTTTGGGAGGGGGCAACACCCTATAAATCTACAGTGATTTCAAAAACATCATTCCAAGAAGGGATCCCTGGATGTCACCAGATTGCCAAAGAGGTCACAGCCCAGGAAAGTTCCAAGGCTGCCTAGTGAGAGTTCACGTGCTATTCACAGCCCTGTGAGTGATGCAGGTGCTGGATTCAGAGACGGATACACACCCCCCACCCCAGGGTGGACACAAGAAGCCCCGGGAAGTGTGTGGGAGTACTCACTGGAACCTGATGGTGGCGTGCTCTAGATAGTAGATGTCGAAGAGCCAACGGAAGAAGACATCCAAACTAGAAGCATGAAGAAGGCCAGCCCTTTAGTTAGCAAGTCTGTGAGCTAAAGCCCAGGGCTCAACTCCTYTATCTGGCTTCCCTCTGCCAATCCCCAAAGACTCTTGGCTTGATTCTAGCTGGCCGGTCACCTGGCCCTCTTCCTTCTTGACCCTGGGCTACCTCTGGGAGGGGAGGGGTCATTGGGAGTGAGGTACCTGGTCAGTCCCATAGAGGGCAGGATGACCACCATGAACACCAGAAAGACATAGCACTTGTGCACTATGATCAGATTCTGACTTGATCTAGRAGAGAACCAAGAGAGATGTCCATCAGTGGGTGAGACCTAATAAGAACCAAAGATCTAATTACAGAGGAGGGCCCCAGTGATGTCTGCCCCAGGCACAGGAAGAGGAAGGGGAGGAAAGCCGTAGGTGCCATACATTTGACATCTCTGTATCAAAGAGACATTTCTGATGATCCTCAGAGTCCCTGAGGATTTTATTAATCAATATAAACCTTGTTCTTGGCAGAGGAAAGGCCTATAAAAATTTCTGTTAGGGCAAACCTCTGGCTTACRTCTGGTAAATRTCAGGAACTTTTGGTGCAKGGARTATTTTTTTTGGTACCAGGGATCGTTGAACCCCACCAAGGGTGCTTAACCACTGAGCCACATCCCAAGCCTTTTTAAATATTTTATTTAGAGACAGGGTCTCACTGGGCTACTTAGGGCCTCGCTAAATTGCTAAGGCTGGCTTGGAACTTAGGATCCTCCTGCCTCAGCCCCCAAGCCGCTGGGATTACAGGCGTGCACCACCATATTTGGTGGGAATAACTTTTGAGACCTACATAGCTTTCAAGCCAAAGCAGTGCCACTTACTCGGGATATGGCAAATACTTGTACCCAACTAGATACTACCATGGAAGCAGAAGAACAAATGGAAAATCTCCAATGTTCAAAGCATTGACACTGTGTGGGCCAAAGGTATCCACAGTCTGAGTGCATCCCTGGGCCCCTTGGTTACATCCGCAACTGCTTCCCTGGTGTTTGGCAAGGCTTTTCATCCTGGGCTTTCTGTCTAAAGTTCCTGACACTGTTTAGCTCGTGTCTACAGCTCCATCCCCTCAGTACATGGCTGGGGGCTGAGGGAGCAGCCCAAGGAGGAACTTTGTTTGGGCCTCATATCCCTTAGATGGTGACTGTATCTCAGCATCCTCAAGGTCAGAGCCCCAGACACAACCCAGCACACCTTTTCATAAAGAAAACACCTGTTGGTCTTTGGGATGGTTTCCGGTATCCAAACCATCCCATTATCGATTATCATTCTTTGAGTCCATGGAGGAATGAGTACCAGGCCGGTGGGGAATCAGGAAGGGGAAGAGGCTGGAGTCAAGAGCTGGGCTAGGAGAGGAGGCTCTGTGCTCACCTGGTCCAGTGGGCCTCAAGGAAGGCAGAGAAGTAGACCATCAGGGGCATCATCACTGTGAAGGCCCAGAGCAGCACGGAGGGGAAGAACTGGGTCACAATTGGGCTCTGGAGGAGCAGACGGGAGGAGGGCAGCAGAGACATCAGTGCACCAAGTCCCTTCCCCTAACAGCCCCCAGCCTCCCCCTAACCCCTGCTCTCCACCTCCAGCTCAATCCAAGAGCAGGCTGCTGTCTCGGAGGGCGTGCAGCGGCCCCGCTTTCTCAAGTGCCTTCCTGGCCAGGAGTTCTCTTGGCTGGGGGCGGGTGGGGAGGCAAGGGCTGACACCCCAAGGTCAAGTGGAGTTCCCAGCGGGCAGGGCCTTCTGTGCTGAGATCACTGGAGAGGCAGCCTGAGCTTCCCCTAGCGATTCACCAAGCTCTCACTCACGTCTCACAGCTCAGAGAGACAACGCTGCCTTCCTGTGATGTGCTTGAGTAGCCCCAGAATGCAGGGAGAGTGGGATGGGGCGTCCCCAAGGAGAGCGGAGGGAACCCAGCGTGTGTGAGGTCTGAGGCCTGCTGTGGAGTTGACAAAGTAAGCAAAGAAGTGGTGTGGCTTGACTCTGTGTGTGTGTGTGTTTGTTTGTGTGTGTGTGTGTGTGTGTGTGTGTGTGTGTGTTTTGCTGGGAACATGGAAGGGATAGCATGGAAGGACCAGACTTCCAGTTCATTAAAACAGCATGGCGGCCCTAGGACTTGGCATCAGGCCAGTGCTAAGAACTTAGGATCTGCCCTCCCAGTTGGAGGCATCCTCTAACTTCAAAGAGGCCTCCTACTGGACTCCCAGCCTGGAGGGAAGGTATCTGGAAGTGAGGGAGTTGGAGACAGGTCTGAAGGTCTCCCTTGTCTTCAAGAGCTGTGTGGGGACTTTCTTACTCTTTCTCACCTTCAAACCTATCAGGAACTTTCAGTGCTAGAAACCTAGAGAGAAGACAGCTCTTCACACCTGTCATGGCTTCTGAACACTCCATGGCCCACAGTGACCTCCTGTAATGGGGCCCTCCAAGCCCACACTGGTGGGACCCTCTGTCCCCCTGTACTCACCCCAGGGACCTGCCTGTGGCTCCTCCACTCTCCATTTCCTCTCCAGCCTCTAACTCTAAGATGAGCAATGACCCACATTCATCTCCTTTACAACACCGGAAACTACCCCACCACTGGCCACTCCACCTCCACCATGTTGGCCGTGTGTGGGCTCTGTGGCCCCGTCCCAGTGGGCCCACCATCCTATCCTCGCCTGAGTTCTTCCTGGATCTCCCTGGGGCCCCCAGGCCTGGCCTGAGCAGAGGAGGCACCTGCAGCTTCTCGATGGGGCGGGTGACGTTGTACATGTCGATGGTGTTGATGATGATGGCAGGCGTGGTGAGGAAGAAGAAGAGGAAGAAGAGGAAGGTGTTGATTGCGATGAAGCGGGCCCACCAATTGAAGCGGCGGATGGACAGGTGTTTCCTAGGGAGGGATGGAGCAGGGAAGTCGCTTAGGACCGTGGTCTGAGCCCTTGGAGAGAGCTCACGAGCTCTTTCCAGCATGCCAGCTCTGGACCTGGGCTGCCTGGTCTAATTCAGCCTCCTGGGCACACACCTGTGTGCCACGGGCCCTTCAGCCTTCCCCTGAGTCACACCACTTATAAAGGCTTAGGACATATTTCATGTGTGCAAAAAATAGACTTGAGTTCTTTCTGCAGGAAAAAACAATTCCCCCAAGGGTTGGGTGCTGGGTGGGCAGAGCCTCGTGGTGCTCAGGAAGTACCCGGCACAGCTTGGCAGGGACTGTATTTGGACAGTGCTGGGCTGTTCCTCGGGGAGAGTCTGCTGGGCCATAAGGCGGGGAGAGAAGGCTCTCTCCTGTTGTCGTCTGCAGTCTCAGGAGAGCTCAGAGGAGAGGGGAAGGTCAGCGGAGGCTTACCAAATAATGTCTTTGGGGTGTGGRGCATGAATGACCCTCCAGCGGTAGGATTTGACGACGGTGGTCACTGAGGACTGCTGGGGGTACACACCACAATAGATGTACTTGTAATCCTCCAGGACGCTGCAGAGATGGRAGAAGAGGAGGAGACCCAGGTCTGGGGATGGGAGGTTGAGCTTAGGAAGGCCACAGACCAGGGTCCCAGGGTCACTGTGGCAGTCCCACAGGTGGGCACTCCACTTCCTGGGGGGATCTCAAAGCCTTGGATATGTCTCCTAGGATAGTTTCTAAGGCCCAGTAACCCAGTGGATAGTTTCTAAGGCCCAGTATCCGAGGGTAGGGGCATCTGAGAGGGCCTAGACTGTTCAGGAGAGGGAGGGAGGGACACAGTTCTCAGCTCCTGTCTTCCCCTCAGCAACACAGAGGACTGGTCTTCCTTTGAGGTTGATAGGAGGCTATTAGTTTGAGCCTTATATTAATGACAATAACTCCTGATTATTGAATTCTTCCTGTGTGCCTGGCACTATGCTCTTTGGTGATCTTTGGTGATTAACAGAATCTCAATTGCACAGCTTCCTAAAGTGAGGTGCCTCAAGATATATCCAAAAGGGGGCAGGTACTGGCACTAAGCCTCATCTTTGACTTTCTAACTCCAATTCTATTGTCATGAAGCCTTGGATCCTCTCTATCAAGTGGCAATGTCTCAGGAAATGAACAGGGTTATCTTATAATGTAAGGCACTTCATTATAAGAGATATATTGATTTATATAACACACACCTTGAATAGACTTTATATATGTATGTATGTATGTATGTATGTATGAATGAATGAATGAATGTATATGATCCTTGTCAACCATCTGGGAGGTGGACAGGGCAGATAGCAATAACAAAATCAGACAAGAAGTTTCAGAGTGTAAGCAATTTGTAAAATTGTGTGCCATTATTTGTAACTAAAATCTAAGATGATCCATTATTCTTTTGTAGGGCCGGGGTGGGTGGGGATGAAGTGCCTTACATTATCAGGCTCCCACCAGAAGAGCAGGGCCCCCACAATTCTTCAGAGACTGATTCTGGACTTCCCTTCTAGTTAGCCCAATCCTGAGGATCCTTCCGCAACATTCCAGAATGAACTTAGTTCACTTCTTAATGAGGTGGGACTGCCAGAGGCTAGGACAGAAGAGCGGGGTGGCTCTGGGGGTGGCTACAGGGCTATGAATACCAGGATGCCTATGGCAGAGAGGAGAAAGGGCAAGGCGGGCTCATCTCTCCCAACCCGTAGCGGTGAGGGAGAGGGTGATGTGTTTACAGAGAGGGTAAAATGGCTGTCATTCTCGGCAAGACCCAGAAGAGGCAAAGGCTATGGTGACCACCTCTGTACTGAAATGAGGACACGTGGAGTAAGGAGCCCAGTGCCTAGGCACCCCTAAAGAGCCCTGGGAGCTGGGGGACATGGGAAGGGCCAAGCCCTGGAAATCAAGATAGTGGCCCCTGTGAGGAGCAGGGCAGTCAGGTCAGAATGTGGGAGCTGGGGGGCTCTCCTCAGGGCTGGGCTGGGGCTGAGGCTACCGTGTGGCACTTACTTCTTTGCCATCCTGGAGTCCTGGAAGGTGACGAAGATCAGGTCGAGACGCTTCAGCCGGACGCGGTTGAGCTCAGCGTTGAACTCGTCCGTCAGCTGCTCCTCCAGCTCACTGTAATACTGCTCTGCATCTACCTGGGGCCAGAGGCAGCCCTCAGAGCCGGGGGCCAGAATCCCAGGAAGGCACCCAGGAGCAGGGTTCCAAGTCACCTCTAGAACACCAGGGGCTGGCTCCGCCTTGCACTCCCTGCCTGAGGCCCCGGGACAGGGGGGTGCAGTGGGGGCAGAGGGGTGCTTCAGACTTGGCTGGAGCACAGAGATAGTACAACGTGCAGCTTTGTCAGGGGAGGGGGAGTCTTTCTGGTCTGGTTGGGGGTCCAGTTCTGCCCTGAAGCAGGAGTCCAAGTCTCAAAACCCGTGATTGGGGGACAAAGCRGGGACAGGTGTCTCCCCTATCTCTTTGGAAGCCTTCGGTGTTCTCGCTGGACCTCTGTCCAGTAGCSGAAGGGAGACAAGAGCCAGTTCCTCCAGGGAGCACCAGAACACTGGGGCAGACCCCAACAGGGCCTGGGGGACCCAAGGGTATGAGCAAGGGACAGCCTGGACCAGGGCYCTGGCCCCTCCCTGCCACCTGACACCCCTGCTGGTTACCTCCTTGAAGCAGGTGCAGCACCTGCAGAAGCACAGGCGGGAGCAGGGATGAATCCTGATCATGATCTTGCCCCCAGTCTTCTTGGCCTTGGCCGTGTAGTAGAGCCGGCCCCGCATGGCATGGCGCCTGTCAGAGGTGGGCCATGGGGGAAGAGCTTCCCGTCAGTGGAGGCCCGTCCTCCTCCGCACCCCAGCCCAGATTCCGACAGGAGCTGCTGCAGCCTCACCTCTGATCATCCAAGTCGATCAGCGTCCTGACGTCATAGCAGAAGTGGACCCTGGTCACCACGCAGCCTGGATAGGCCTCACTGCAGACACACACACAGATGCTGAGCCAGCTGGGGGGCTAGGAGGTGCTGCCCTCACCCTGCCCAGCATGGCCGCCCACAGGCTGCACACGGCCCAGCTGCCTGGCATGCCCACTTTTTCTGGTGGGAGAATTCATTCTCCCTTCTAAGGCCAAACTACTTTTGGGGTTTGAATTCTGGTAATCGGAGGATTACCACAACCTTCCTACATGGCCCAGAATGTGGCTCAGGGCAGAGCCTCAACCACTGAGGACCAGGAAAGAGCTGCTCATGAAAGATAGTGGACTCAGAGGACTCAGAGGACAGGGTATCTGGGGATAGGAACTTGAAGTCACCAAAGAGGTCTCAAGATGCTGAGCCCTGGGCACCTATGGCGCTGGGTCTCCTTGGACTCAGTAGCTGGAGCCATAAGAAAAAGGAAAATCAACATCTCTAACTAGGTGCGCGGGCGCACGCCTGTAATCCCAGAGGTTCCGGACTGAGGCAGGAGGCTGGCAAGTTCAAAGCCAGCCCCAGCAAAAAGTGAGGCACTGGGGCTGGGGTTGTGGCTCAGCGGTGGAGCGCTTGCCTCTCACGAGTGAGGCGCTGGGTTTGATCCTCAGCAGCACATAAAAATAAATAAATAAAATTACGAAGAAGATATTTAAAAATAAAAAGTGAGGCTCTAAGCAACTCAGTGAGATCCTGTCTCTAAATAAAATACAAAATAGGGCTGGGGATGTGGATGGGTAGTTGTGTGCCTCTGAGTTCAATCCCTGGTATACCCCCCCCCCCCCGCCCGAAACAAAACAAAACAAAACAAAAAACCTCCTACTTCCTACCCAGCCATGCAGGAAGTCCCTGGCTTCTGAAACCCGGCTCCAGCCCTGGGGCTTCTCTCTATTCTGGAAAGTTGATTCTAAGCCGAGGGCAGGGAAGGCCACCAGCTAACTAACTCAGACCCACAGGAGGACCCAGGTAGGGATAYGGGTGGAGGCAATGCACCCCACTTACTGGAAATGCTTGCTAACCATCTCTGGGTCTTGGATGTCCGTGGGCACATAGGTGATCATTAGTGTCCTAGTGACCTAGGTGGGAGGGCAAATGGACAGAGAAGACTCAGCTTGCACAGGAACTCCAGATGTCTGGTTTCTGGGTGACCCAGAGTCCCAGGGAGCAGGCCTTCTGCTCACACCAGGCGGCCTGATGCCAAGGACCTCCTCGCTAAGTAAGCAAGAGCCAGTTTCTTTGCCTTGGTGTGCCAGCTGAGCCCACAGCCCCGAGGTCAGCAAACTGTGCCTCTCTCATTCTCTGGGCCACAGCTGTTGGGCCCCTGCCACAGAYGGCTGATTGGAGGGAGGGAAAGGGAGAAACCTGCAGACAGGGCCCGGGGGAGGGTCAGAGCATAGGCAGCTCCACAGTGAATCCAGATCTCCCTGCAAACCCCCTCCCCAATTCCAGCAGAAAGTCTCACATCACCATGGAACCCCCTAAAATTAGAAGGGACAGGGGAGCTGGGACAAGGGCAGGTGCTCTAGCTTGGCTAGGGAATGTCCTGCATGTGCTAAAGGCTTGGTGCTATCGGGGGCCAGTGGAAACCTTTAAGAAGTGGGGATAAGTGGGAAGTCTTAGTCACAGGAGGTGACACTGGGACTCCAGGCTCCTCTTCTTTTTGTTTCCCCGCTACCACGTGGTGAACAGCCTTTTCTGCTACATGCTCCCACCACGACATGCTGCCTGGACCCAAGCCCAAAGCCACGGGACCTGCTGACCATGGATTGGAACTTCTAAAGCAGTGAGCTACATAAACCTTTCTTCTTTTTTAAGTCGATGATCTCAGGTGAACAGTAACAAAAAACGAACACAGCAAGACTCTGCAAGGAGACTGGGGAGGCCTGTGACCTCAGAGAGGGGAAGGAAAGTCCTGGGCACAGCTGGAGTGGGCAGCAGGGGACCCTGACCACTAAGGATGGAGGCTCCTGTGCATCCCAGTGTTTGTTACTCTTTGGTTTGTGGATGCGGGGTCCAGGGGCCTTGGAGAAGGGCTAGAGTGGCCAAGGGGCCAGGGAGGGAGGAGCTGGGCAGAAGCTGCTTAGCAGCAGGTGTGAGCAGTTTCAGTGGCTCAGCAAACAGGTGGGCCGGGCCAGGCAGGAGGGGCAAGCGGGGCGAGGAGCAGGCCCAGGCCACCCGGCTGCGAGGAGAGGAGGGGTGTGCGCCTGCTCAGGAGGTCAGTCCCCTGGGGTGCGCCCAGCTGGGCCTTCTCTGAGGCCGGCCTGGAAGGGCCAGTGGGGAGGGGCTCTTCACCTGCTCACCTGTTGGTTCTTCTTGGGCACAAAGCCCAAGCAGTGGTGAGCCATGAAGAGGAAGTTGGTGAGAAAGTAGACGAAGGCGAAGAGGCTGTGCAGCCACAGGAGCCTGCTCCTGCGCAGGGAGAAGGCCATGAGAGCTGGCCACGGCCCCAGCCCTGTGTCCCCAGGCCACYACGGGCTCCCCAGACCACCATGGTCTCCCCAGACACTCCCAGTGACCCCAGACCACCACAGTCTCCCCGGACACTCCCAGTGTCCCCTGACCCCTCCACACAGTATCCYCAGACCCCCCAAAGTGTCTCCAGACACCCCCACAGTGTCCCCAGACCTCACTACCACACTATCCCCAGACTCCCCCATAAAGTCCCTAGATCACCCCCACCACAGTATCTCCARACATACCCCCTCCACCACAGTGTCCCCAGAACCACCACCATAGAGTCCCCAGACCCCCCCATGTCCCCAGACCCACCACCACAGTGTCCCCAGATCCCCACGGGCCTGCTCCCCGTCCCGCTCGCCCCTCCTGCCCAGCCCTGCCCACCTGTTTGCTGAGCCATGAAACTGCTCACACTGGCTGCTAAGCAGCTTCCGCCCAGCTCCTCCCATCCTGGCCCCCCGGCCACTCTAGCCCTTCTGACAAGTGCTCCCAGACCCCCTCCAGCCACCACTATGTCCTCAGACCCTCCAGACCAACTTCTTGGAGTCCCCACTCTCAGACACCCTAAAGGGGCCTGGCTCTGGAGGAAGGGCTGACACTGTCAAGTGCTCACTCGGAGCCAGGTCCAGAACGGGCCAGAGTTTTGTAGGTGCATATTCTTATGAGACTCCAGAGCCCGAGGCCCAGGGTCAGCAGGTGGCAGAGGTAGGTGCCAACCACCACRTGATCTCTTAGTCTCTCCATGGACTGGAGGGGGAGACTGACAGGTTCAGGGTTCACTCCATCCGACGAGGGCGGAATTGAACCCCGARTGATCAGGGAGGCCACATCTTAGACCAAGAGGGTCTCTGCCTCTTGGGAGCTGGACATACTAAAGTCCTTCAGGCCTCACGAGTGGCCACTTTGGGTAGTTCCACTTATGACAAAGAGAGATGTTGGGGCACAGAGCCCTGCCCACCAAGAGACTGTGACTTGTGGTGTCCCACTTGGGATCTGGATTCCAAGGACACCAGGCCTCTCTTGCTAGCACCGTGGTGCCCCTCTTGTGGACGGACACACTGGCCCTCCCCTCCCCTCAGTGCCCAGCCAGGAGAATGGGAGGTCAGAAGATCAGGTACCTACTCTGTGGAGACATTGACAATGGTGGTCCGTGCGAAATGGCTATTCCAGTCTGAAAGAGAAGAAAGGTGCTCACCTCCGGCCCAGCTCTTCAGYCTCTGGAGGCAGAGTGCAGAATTCAAGGTTCCCCGATGAACGCCCAGGGCCTAGAGGTGCCTGCCGACATCCCCTTCTTCCTACTGATTCTCCAGGGTTCGTTCCCAGTTTCCAACACAAATATCCTCCCCCCCAGGCAGTGCTGATGGAAGCTCTTATGCATAAATCAGGACCAGATATTTTGGGGGCATCCCAAGGCCACACTGGCACATAATAGACACCAAGTAAATGCTTGTCAAAGGAACCAACTGTCCAGCCACCAGCAAGAGATGAGATCAGCAACCCAGGCAACAATCACAAGAACCCCTCCCCCCAAACAATGGGATGCTGCCTCCTTTGAACACAGTAACTCCTTCTGGCTAAACATGTTAGGTTGTCATTGCAGACACCTTCAAGTTTTGCAAAATGTATCTAAAAATCCTGCATTATACTCTCATTGCCCACATAGCAAGCAGCTCTTAGAATCTGGAGAACCTGGAAAGACGGGAGTTGTGTTATTCATGCTCATGGTGGGATCTGGTGTCACGGACACTCTTATGTGCCACCCCCTACCAAGGTCCACATCTGTCTAAGAAAGAGATGAAAACGGAGGCATCCAGGGACAGGTGGCTGACACCTGGGCATTTCAGGTGCTGTTAGACACTAGCTGGTTGTTCGTCCTCCCTACAGCTCTGTCTGTCCTGTAGTTCTAAGGGAACTGCTGCTGCTCTCCCCTGAGCCCCTGCTGGGTATCAGGTGCCGTGCTAGGCACTTGACATTATCTCCCAATGCCCAAGACAGCAAGGAAACTGAGGCCTGGGAAGACTGATTTGCCAAATAGAAGGTTAAATAAACTGTTAGCTTGAGCAAAGTTATTTTCTGGGGAGCAAATCCAAGGGAGCCAAGATTTTGAAGGGCTTTGAAGCCAAGCCCTCCCTATGGATGYTATTTAGCCCCACAGGCTGAGTGTGAGCAGAGAACCTCTGAGACAGATGCTGGGGTGACCATGCTGTGTCCATGGGGCAGGATTGGCGGAGGGGTCCCAGGGTTAGGTCAAGTACAGGGACTTCTGAAGTGGTCACGTGTCCTGAGAGGCCTCCATGAACACCTATCTAGGGGTGTGTGGGATCACGGGTAAACACTTGGTTCCGGACTCAGCTGACCCTCCACACGGGCTCCATGCCGGGTCCTGGCTCAAACAAAGAAGGACCCATCTCCTGTCTCCCCGGGGAGCACAGAAGCACAGCTTGTTCGGGTCACCCAGCAGCCACCTTCCAGAGGACGGTTAAAATCCAGGTCTCTATCCCCCAAGGCTCAGTCTCTGTCCCGCCTGCCAGGCTGCCCCTTGGGTCTAGTGGCCCAGGGCCCCCGGCCTGCTGAGCCCCGCCTACCCAGGACAGTGCCAGTGTAGTTGATGGGCAGAATGACACCCAAGGAGGGGAGGCAGAGGATGAGCACAAAGATGATGAGGTGGTACTGGAACATCATGTAGATGCGCGCGTCGTCCCCACACTTGTTAATCAGATCCTGGTTCCTGGAAGAGACACAGATGGAGGCTGTTCCTTAGGAGCCACAGCTCAGGCGAGCGCCGCAGGAGGATGACCGTCCCACTCCCCCTAGGTTTCTGCTTTCCTTGCCTTCTCCCCACCCCTCCTTTCCCACAGGGTCCCACCCAGGGCCTTGTGCACGCGAGGCAAGCCCTCTGCCCCTCACCTACACTTCCAACAGCCCCTTTTTCTTTTCCTGGGGGAACACTGCCCTTCTTCTCTAGGCATCTGGTGTCCCTAAGTGCATGTCACTGGGTTTTACAGAGAGAGGGGCCCTGTAGCAGATGTGCACTGAAGACCCTGRAGACCGCAGGTCGGCCTTATCTATGGAAATTCTACACACGCACAACCTGGGATCCCACAGCTCCACTCCTAGGTTTATACCCTACAGAAACACATGACATGTGCTCCAGAGACATGTGTAAGAACATCACAGATGTGTGACATTTGTGACATTCCCAACTAGAAACATCTTAAATGTCTCTCAGAGATGGGATGGACACAAGAATTGTTACACACACACAGTGAAACACTATACGCTGTTAAAAATGAATCACCCGTAGCTGAACCTCACAGACACAACGCTGCGTGAAAGACACCACCTACAAACAACAGCTACTGTATGATTTAATATATTAAGTTCAAAAAAGGGTAATACTAAACTATACAGTGAGAAGTCAGAATACCAGCGACCCTCAGAGAGGAGGGAGGAGACAGGGGATTGGAAAGGAGCAGGAGGGGGCTTCTGGGTGTTCTGATTCTGGATCAGGGTGGTCCTGGTGGCGTAGGCGTTGCACTGTATAATGAGCTGCATATTTAATTTTTGTGCATTTGTGTGTATGTGTGTGTGTGTGTGCGTGTGTGTGTGTTACGCTTTGGTTAAAAAACATAAAAGCAACACATGCTCATGATAACTTTGGGAAATACTAAGAAAATAATTTGCTGACAATCTCATCAAACTTAAAACAGTGACTATTCAGGATTTTGGTTAATTTCCTTTGGTTTCCTGTTGTGCTGGTTTTCCTTGGTGACTGCRATGGTTTGAACAGGGACTAGCCCCTTGCAGACTCGTCCCCATGGTGAGGTGGTAAGAGGGTGAAGCTTTACCCTGCTCTGGTGTTCGGAGGTGGGAGTGATAAAGATTAAATAAGGCCATCAGGGTGGAGCCCCATGGTTGGATCCTGGTGGCTTTGTAAGGAAAGAGACCACAGCACACACACACACACACACACACACACACACGCACGCAGACACACACGAGCACACCTGCTCCCTGTCTGTTGCCATGTGATGCCCTGTGTAGCCTTGGGATTCTTGCCAGCAGGAAGGCCATCACCAGATGCAGTCCCTTGTCCTCTGACCTTGGACCAGAACTAGGAGGCAGAGTGAATCTCTTTCCTTTCTGACTTGCTCAGTCTGCGGTACTGTGTCCTTAGCAACCCAAACAGGCTGCTTATGGTCAGAGCATCTGATGAACTGCTCTTCAGCTTCACATTTCGTCGTAAGCCTTTCCCATCTGTTTAACATACTGGCAACAGTGGCCTCCATCTACAGAGCTCTCGTTCGTGTCCAGCCCCCTCTGGGCCCCCCACTCCATGGGTGCATGCACCCTGGACTCCCACCCTGGCCTCTCTGTCAGACGGGTGGGTTGTACGAAGCGTCTAGCATCCAGTCCAGAGTTCAGATTTATTTTTAAACATTATGATGAAAAGAACATCTTCAATCATTCCATTTATGGAATTATTTAGAGCTCCTGATTTTTTTWWAAAAAATTATTTATTTCTGAGCAGCTAAAACACTTCCTTCTGCTGAACTGGAGGATTAAGCCCCAGGAATGGGTGGCTGAGGACCCTGGGAAGGCTGGGCGGGGGGGGGGGGTGTCTTGCTGCAGGCCGGGGATTTGTCTTTCCACAGAAAATTCTGAGGAGTGGGAGGTCTGAGAGAGTCTCCAGGTGGAGAGCAGAGGGCCAGGAGTTCCTGCCCTCACCACTGGGCCCATTCTTTAAAGTGCCACCCACTGTGACACTTGCCCTTGCTACCATGCACCATTAATTCTCCGTCGCTGCTCCCATCTCTTCCTCTCTCTCCTTTCTGGAGACTTGCTGTCTCGATGGCCCTTCTCTCCCTCTTTACCATCCCACTCTCTCTACACCTACACACACATCTTCCCTTTACCTACAACCAGGCTCAAGGGCACACTGCTTCCTCTAAAAATAAGCCAAACGGCTCCTCAAGCATCCATGCCCTGCCCGGCTTCCCCTCTAGTTCTCTCAACATCTCCATTCCCTCCTCACCCACCTCTTGAACAAGGTGAGCTTTGTTCTCAAAAGCCTGTTGGCTCATTCACGGGCTTGCTCTGGCCACTGTTTCCTCTCTTGCCTACAGTGTTCCTGACCTCCCAGGAAGTCAGACCTTAATTCCTCTCTCCCATCCTTCTTCACCAATCGACTGCAGCCCCACCACCTCCCTCCCCCTGTCCTCTCCGCCATTGTGTCACTGGTCACTGCCCCAGTCTGGGCCACCATCACATCCTTCCTGGATCACTGGAATAGCCTCCTTAGCTGCTCGCCTTGACTTTGGGCGTTTTCAACCCTAAATATACTCCCATACAGATCTCATCTTGGATTTCCAGCTCAAAAACAGTAACTGGGTCTCTACTGCAACTAGATCAAGGCCCAAGCTTCTTGGTATGGCAGTCACAATCCCAGCTGATCCTTCTGGTACAACCTTCTCCTCGCCCTCTTCCTGTATCCCACCAAAAGATTTACCATTTCCAGACACTCCCTATGTATCTCTGCCCCTTTGCTCACAGAGTCCTTTATTTATTTTTTGGTACCAGGGATTGAACCCAAGTGTGCTCAACCACTGAGTCACATCCCCAGCCCTTTTTATTTATTTATTTTTTATTTTGAGACATGATTTCAACTAGGTTGCTTATAGTCTTGCTAAAATTACTGAGGCTGGCCTTGAACCTGCAGTCCTCCTGCCTCAGCCTCCTGAGCCACTGGGATTATAGGCGTGTGCCACTGCACCTTTATTTCTAATGTGCCCTCTACTCATTTCTTCCCATCCTTCAAGACCCAGCGCAAAACTACACTTTTTGAGCCCCACAGTTAGATTTCAACCTCTTTTCCCCAAATACCCCKTTTGCATGGCAAATTATAGCCTCTCTATTGTGAATGAGGAAAGAGTCTCATTCACCTTGTTTCTCCAGGTAGACTGCACGGGCTGTGAGCCCTGGAACTCTGGCTGACCTGCCCCTGCTCAGTGAATGCTTTCACTGTCATCTATGACACTGTTTGCTATGGGATGCGGGTGCAATGCTCCCCCTTCCTGCCTCCTGCCAMGATAGGAGAGAGGTGTCCCCTGTGGAGGGGTCTCTCTGATAGGACTCGTGGTGGGGCGGGAATGGGGGAAGCACACGCTCAGCTGTGCGCACTGGCCTCCCCGCTGACCTGCAGGTCCGGGTACGCACATGCAGATGGGCAACAGCTGGGTGACTCAGTCTTTCATTCCACACTCAGGCACACCACAGAGTCGCAGACACCCACCACGTGGTGTCTGTTAGGTTTCACCTGTGTCCTGCTTCCCCACGACACGGACACTGTCTCACCCTGTGACACGTCAGTGGGCAGTGGGGAAAATCCAGGAAGTCAGCCTCAGGCCACCTCCAGGGGTTCCTTTTCTCCCACACCAGAGGATGTGGTCAGCATGGGTGGACGCCTTCATCCCAATTTTCCTTCCCTCTGACCCATGCAAGGGACTGGCCATTTTGCCATCAAGCCTGACCTCTCAGTCACAAATTTGCTAAGCTCAGGAACCTAGAACCAGCGACACGGCCTCGAGGGAAACGAGCTCCAAATGTCCATACACACTGCCATGGTTTGATGTGATTTGTCCCCCAAGGGGTCCTGGGTGAGATACTTTGTTGAGAGCCACAGCCGAAGGGGCCCCAGCAAACTTAAAGGGGGCCCCAGCAAACTTCCAGCTGCCAGCTGATTGGCTCCTCTGCGGTGATGCTCATTGGGCTGTTTCCCCTCCCTTTCAGACCAAGGAGCTGCTCATTGGGGGACTTTTATTTGGCTCCGCCCACACGACCCAGCCAATCAGCCTCAAGAGCTGGGGGGGTGGCGGAAGCCGGTGGTGGCAGTTGGGCTCTGAGGGAATTCCTGAAGAGCTCCTGTGGTGCAGCATGTGTGTTCTAAAAATAAAGTTCGTTTCTTTTGACAAGTGGCTCCTGAATTGTGCCCAGCCAGACTGCGGCAATACTTGTTCTCCGCTGTAGCAATGTTAATAGGTGATGGGACCTTTAAGACACAGGACCTAATGGGAGGTCCCCTTGGGTCATTTTGGGGGCCCTGCTTTCAGAAGGTAGTTCTGTGGGACCCTGAAGTTAGTTCTTGCAAGAGTGAGTTGTTGTAAGAGCCTGAGCTTAGGGCAGGGCGTGTGGCTCAGTGGTAGGGCACATGGTTAGCATACAGGAGGGTGAGTTGGGTGCTCAGCACCACTAAACAAATAAATAAAAATTTTAAAAATGAAAGAAAGAAAGAGGGGCTGAACCTGACTCCTGACTTGCTCTCTGGCTTCCTGTCTTGCAGTGGAATCTTGTTTTGGCAGGTGACATTCACCATAAGCCACGGTGATGCTGGTGACATGCCCTGGAACTCCAGACCATTAAGCACAAGAGACCTCTTTTCTCTACCAAATTATCTAGCCTTAAGTATTTCATCAGAGTAACTAGAAATGGACCAATACACATTGTCAGTTATTTTAAAAATTAAAAAAACAGTGAATGCACATAAAAGGTGATATGAAACTGTTGACAGGGGTTACTTCTGTGGAAGACTGGAGGCAGACTTTCATGTTCCTCTTAATGAAAACTTACTTAACTTGGCTTGGGCATGTCTAACAAATTCACCAAGCAAAACTAGAGAGTGGTGGGAAAAGGAGAGGGAGAGAGAGAGGGGGGCCAATATAAAAGTCTCCCCCTACTCACCCACAGGTAGCTACAAGTAGAGAGGCTGGTGTTTGACCCACTCACAAAGGAGCTGCTTTGCTTCCCTGGGAATATGACGGATGGGGAAGGAATGCTGCAGGCCAAGGCCACAGGGAGTCCCCAGCAGTGGAGCTGGAGGTCAAATACCAGAGGCCACTGGTCCTAGGCCCAGTTGGGGTTCCCTGTGCACCCCAAGGGCCTTTTAGGTCTGGAGAAACAGAAGTGCCCTGGGGCGGGGGTCTTGTGACAGCAAACCCTGAGAGGCTAACCATGACTGGTGGGCGTGGAGGTGGTGCATGAAGAAAGAGTCATGCCCGCCTCTGCAGAGAAGCCCCAGTGCCTGTGGCCGCCAGGAACAGCAAAGCTGTGCCCTGGCGTCACCAGGTAAGGAAGTACCCTGGAATAGGGGTTTGAAGGACAGGCTGGGCAGGACGGATGGGAGGAGATATTCAGTAGAGCCAGGATTTTGCAGGGCTCTGAGCACAAGCAGGTGGGGCTGTGTGCACACGGGCTTGCCTGGGGAGTGTGTCTGTGCTTTTGCGTGTGCATGCGCTTGCCTGTGCATGCTTATACAGGCACCAAGGGAATAAAGTCCTGGTCAGCAACTGCTCGGCTGAAGTGCCGGGCTGGTGTGGGGAATCAAGAAAGCAGATGTCTCGAGGGCACAGAGGGAGGGAGTCTGTCCACCCTTCTCTCAGTGTGTTTGCTTCCTCTTGATAAAAATGATGCATGGTGTGCACAGAAAACAGGCAAATAGCATGTGGAAAGGGTCTCCTGGCATGGGGTTCATAGAATCATTTTATATGCATGGGAATCATGGCTCAGCTCTTATACAAGGTCCTTCCTGAGGACTCAGGTGACATAGGCAGTGGGCTGTGTCCATTCCCATTCATCAGTTGTCACCTGGGAAAGTGACCTCCACCTGCATCTGGGGAGGCAGGAGCTGGGGTGGGTTGGGGGTCAGAGCTCAGGCCTGGCATCCCGCCAGGGGGGCYAATCCACATCTCCACCCTCCCAACCCCAAGGCAGGGCCGTCCCAGGCTCAGAGCGTAGGCACTTACTTCATGGTCAAGCTGTTGAAGAGCCAGGAGCAGAAGCCCTGGGGAAAGGAGAGGAGAGAACAGTGAGAGGAGCCAGGCCCTGCCCGTCTGCCCAGGGCCCAGGCAGCCATGGGTGGTCCTGGGCAGGCGCAGCTGTGTCCAGTAAGGGCCTCCTCCCTCCAGGGAATTAGGGGTGACTGCTGAGGGAAGTGTCCACCCAGAAGCGAGTGGACACCCCTGTCATCCTGATACCGGGAACGGGACTTGAAAGGAGGGCCCAGGACGGAGGGGAGAAGGGCCTCTTAGGAGTTCGTCTGCAGCTTTCCGTCTGTCCTTCCTTGCTTCMTTCTGGAAGTCGGCCCTCCAGGGGCCATGTTTCCCTCTGGGACCCCAGGGGCCCATCAACACTTCAGACCAGGCGACAACCCTTCATGGGCCCATTTAGGTGGCCAGGCAGACCCACTGGAGGTGAAGCCAGATTTAGACAGGCAGTCAGTATAGACAGGTAAATCGAGTCAGGCTGGATCAAAGAGGCCAATTGGAGGGGGTCTGGGAGGTTGCAGACTGCCCCCTGAGGGAATGAAATGCCTTCAGAGCCCTTCCTCCACCCTTACCAAGATAACCTGCCCCTGCTACAACCTGATGCCAAGTTAACCTGTCCCAGGAATTGTCCCTCCCTTCCTGGAGTTTTAAAAGTAGTTAATTAATGTGTCCTGGGCTGCTCCATCTGGCCCTTCCCCCATTCATCTGCTTCTCACCTTTTGGCCACCCCACCTGAGCTCTCCTGGGCCTACTCACATCAGCAGGAAGGAGAGAAATAAGGGGGAGAGAGCAGGAGAACAAAGGAAGCCTGAGACACACAAAAAAGGGCAAAAAACCCTCACTTCTTGGGATACCAGGATACCAACAATGGCCCCCTTCTCTCTTCCGGGAGGAGTCTATGTTACCCCCTTTTTAAGCAAACCMTGCTTCCTATGCCTGCCTCGGCCTGCTTCTCTAATGTTAAACTTCAACTGTGAGGGAGCAGGACTCGTCCGTCACCAGTAACCAGTGGTATCAGATACAGTCTTCTGGAAGGGGATTTTCCCAAAAGGAAGCAACAAGGGCAGTCAAAAGTCATAGAAACAGAAGAAAATCCTCTGCTCCCTCACATAAGGCCACCTTCCAGGTCCTCTCCCTGTGTCAGGTTGACTGGCCAATCATGGGGGTGTCCACTGCAGGGACACCATTTTCCCAGCCATGTTCTGGGGAGCCACAATAAGGCAGATACCCTGGTATGAGTCAGGGCAATGAAAAGGGCACAGCAGTGATAGTGAATGTCCCCAGGGAGGGGGTGACAGCTAGATAAGATGTGGGCTGAGAGGTCCAGGCACCCCTCCCCCAACATGGAGAGTCCTTGTCCACTGCCCACCCTGGAAGCAAGATGTGGCCCTCATTACACGAACAGTCGAGAACACACCTTCCCGGGAAGGAAAGGGTGTTTCTGCCTCTTCCACAACAGGTGCACAGGTGCATCCAAGGCACCTGCGAGGACATGAATTGTCATACACAGAGGACAGATAGATGGTCCATGGAAAGGCAGAGGATGTGCGAGAAGAGTGTCTGATGTGCCCTTGAAATTGTGTAGGTGGGGAGCCTGGGCGGGTGGATACATCTGTCTCTCCAGTATGTTTACGTGYGCGTGCACACATGCACACACGYGTGCAAACACATGGTCCCCTATATCCCTCTGAAAGCATAAACCACCCAGCGGCTCCCCCTCTCTCCTGGTTTAATTGAATTGCTCTCCTCTGCACTGCTGCCATATTGGCTTACCATCTCAGATATTTAAAAAAAAAATAGTCCTTTTTGGTCATTGTAAGAACAACACAAAGCAAAAAAAATGATGCGTCTWAAGGTATTAACACCTTGTAAGGCAGGTGTAATGTCCTCGCTCCACCTTGAGGCCTCCAAGAAATGAAGTAACTTATCTGAGGCTTCATAGTTTGAATGGGACAGATCCAGGCAAGTAGAGGGCCTGGTMTCTTGCAGGGGCGATCGGGGCAGGAATATGGTTCTGCCATCTGGCTTAGCACAAGCAACAATCCTGTATCTGAGGTGAATCCTGCAGCTGGCTGGATTGGATTTGGGGCCTGGTGGGAAGCAAGGCCAAGCTCCTGCCTGATCTCACTGGGGTGGGCAGACATTCAGGACTGCTTGCTGGTGCAGAAGCCGGTCATGCTAGACAGAGTTACGGAAGTTAAAGAAAACCTGCATTTTCTATGTGCAGACATCAAAAGGCCTGGGTCCCTGGGGATTTGCTGCCTGGGCTGAAATCTAAACAAAGGATGGGGTGACAAAGGACAGCCACCTGGGAAAGGGCGAGGGGAGAGCATGGAGGGACGACGCTCTCTTGAGGCTTAAAGGGTGACTGATGTGGCTGGGGCTGGGGGTGTTGAGAAGAGAGACAGGCTGGACAGGGGGGAAACAGACCAAAGCACCAGGCCAGGGCAAGGCACCTGCAACTTACTGCCAGAGCATCAGGACGATACTGAGGAGTCACACAGGGCATTCCGTGTCCCCCTTCGTGGGGATGACTAGGATGCAGGTGGGAAATGGATGAGTAGGGGGAAGTAGGACCTAAGGGTGGTTGAGCTGCTCTGGCCATCCAAAGAGAGACTGGTTGAAGTCTGGGTGGGGGCAGCGGAGGGACGGAGGGAAACACTGGAAGGAAAAAGCTACCGAACAGGGTGGGCCAATGGATCACAGCAGGGGCCCGGAGGGGAAAGTGAGAGAAGCAGATGACGGGAGGATCTCGGACAGAGACTAGGAACTGGTGGGCGGAGGCTTACTGTGGAATGTTTTGGGCATACTGAATTCSAAATGCCTGGACAGTATCCAGGCGGGGCCATTTTCAAGGCCATCGGGAGACAGAATGAGATGGAGATAGAGGTCTCAGTGTGGCGACAGCCCAGGAAGCTGTGAGTGTGGATGTCATTGCTCAGGAGAGGGTGAGAAGGAGGAGGTTTGGGATCAGCTGGGGGGACTCCAGGTGTGGAGGAGGAGCCTGCAAAGGAGACAGAGGGGGAAGAAACCCCCAAAGCATGATATCACAGAAGCAACCGGAAGGAGGAAGAAGCTTGTAGGACCCGGGCATTCTGACGTGGGGTAAGATAAGGAAAGGCTATTGGACTCTGTGCAGAGGACCACTGTAGCCTTGGGGCTCAGGAGGAATGAGAGGGTAAACGCCCCATGGGCGGGGTTGTGGGTGGTGGTGAGTAGGCCAGCTGAGGTGGGCTGGGGGGATACAGGCAGCTGGAGCTGTGAAGGGCACCAGAAGTCCTCTTGGCTCCCTCCCACTGACCAGGTCTCCACTCAGATGTCTCCTTCTGCCGAGTCCATCCCTGGCTGCCAGCTGCACACAGCTCCCTCCTATGGCTGCCAGATGGTTCCAGGCTTTTCCGATGCACACCCATTCCCTCCCCACATGCATCTGGCTGGGTGTCTGCAGCCTGGAAGGACCTGCCAGAGGTGGGACGTGGTCTGTGGTGTTCCCTGCTGGCTCCCCATTCCCAGACCAGGGGCTGGCGCACTGCGGGTGCTCCCTGGCACCCGGCTGGAAGTACGGACACGTTCAGGTGGTGGACTGGTTCCACAGGAAGGAWAGGAAGGAGAACATGGGACCCCCGGGGAAGGGGGGRACAGTGGGAGCTGCCTCCTGACTGCTAGAATCTTCTACGTGACATGGGAGGTGAGTCCTTGGGGGTGGGGCGAAGGGCAGGGAGAAGAGAGGTTTGAGAAAAGAAGAAAAATTCATTTWAAAAAATCTCAGGTATTATAACAGGCTGAGACTTCTTGGCACCTGGGGAAAGGTATGGTCCACTTTTCTGAGGAATCTGGGAAGGCTGAGGAATGGGCCAAGGTTATACTGCGGAGTGGTGGAGTCCGGCTGGCTGCAATCCTCTGCCCAGTCCTGCTCCCTCCTGCCCTCACYGTGACCACCTGCCCAGGGCCAGGATCCTTGCCGCCAGCTGGCTCTCGGCACTCACCTTGTCCCTGCGCTCCATCTCCAAGGAAATCTCTGAGGGCGATGACTTCTCACTCTGCTCCCCATAGATCAGCGAGGTCAGGCTGCCAGGCAGAAAGGGTGACAGGAACATGGAATTGAGAAAAAAGCCCTCAGACATCTCTTCTGCTTCCTCTCCTCTCCCTGGGCTGTGGGCTGCTGGCCACTCCTACCCAGGAGAAGGCAGGCTTCAAACCTGATCTCTGGGTACAGACCGCATCACTCCTGTGGCCAGGGGCACCAGGCACCTTGGGAATTAGCCACATGACAGTCTGAGACCAGAGAAAAAAGGTGGCCCTGTGCCCAGAGATGGCTGCCCACCAAGTCCCCTTCCTGCAAGGAGGGGCAGAACAGGGACAGGACCACCTGCTGCAGCGCCAGCCCAGGGCACAGCCGCATCTTGGTTTCCACAGCACATTCCCTCCCGAGGGCGCAAGGAGCTCACCCACTGTGACCCCAGCCCTCCTCACCTGTCATTGTGGATCAGCAGAGCCAGGCGCCCGTAGTCCCACGCAGCCTTCCGGAGGAAGGAATAAACCACRAGGACGAGCTACAGGACGGGAAAAGCAATAAGGGGACCCTTCCCCTGGGCAGTCCCCTGCATTCCTATCCCTGAAGTCCCCAGGATGCTCCCCCACCAGATGGTGAGTTCTGTCAGGGATGGAGCCCTGTGAGCCCCACATKCCTGGTACCCTGCAGCTTCCTGAAATGGAGTGGGTGCTAAAAGTTGTTAGTGTGTGGAGAGCAGTGGTAAAGTCCTCAGCAAGGGGAAGGAAGCCAGGCCCAAGGGGTGGCCACCAGATGGACTTTGGACAACGAAGCATTGACGGTAACTCCAGGAATTCTGCCTGCTCTGTTGCATTCTCCCCTGAGGTTCGCCCGTCTGAGCCACCCCAGGTAGGATGACATCCGGGTAGCCCGCATCCCTGGCTAGCATCCACTGGACAACAGGGGGCCCCTGCTGTATCCTCAGTTCAACAGCCCAGGCCAGCGGCCACCTCACCGTGCGCCCCCCTAGCACCCAGACTCACCATCCACAAGATGACGTTGAGGAACAGCACAGTGGGGATCCCCCCAAACGGCTGCCCCTGGAGGACGGTGCTCCGAGACTGGAAGCACTCGCTGTAGGTCATGTTGCGTAYCCTCTCGTGGCTGCTCAGGGGCTCCATTGGGGCGGACATCCTGGTCGGCTCCCTGGGCAGCACAGGGGTCTTCCCTTCCCACACAAAGACTGTGGCTCACTCTGCAAGACACAGGGGCATGCTGGGGGAACTGGGGTCATGATCCCTGAGTATACTGGACACGCTGGGCCTGGGGCACWTCAGAGCCGGGGACCAGTTCCAAGCCTGGAAATGCTGGGCAAGCAGGAAGTGCAGCCCGTAAGATGGCACAGGCCTTGTCCTGTTAGCTAGCTGCTGCCTCCAACCCAGATGACAGAATAGCTCAAGGGCCCTGGGGGAGTTATTGTGTACCAGCTTGATCCCTTAAGAAAAAGAGTTGTAAAATGCAAATCCCAAGGGGTCTCCTTATCACTCCTTGGTGAAGCTCTGCTTATATAGAAAGTGATGCATTTCACCAAGGCAAGCTCAGACCCCAGAGTGGAAAAGTTCAAGTTGGAAAACACACCACATGTTCACAGGATGCCCAAGCAGATGGGGCTTGCTGTCGATCACCTCTATCCTTTGCAATTCTCTGATCCAGTTTCTGGGCCTGAAGGATGCAGTGTGCCCAACACCGAACAGTGACTTGGGAAAGGTCCCTATATCTTACAAACCTGCCTGGGAACCGGGGCAGCACCTACCCGGGTCCACAGCCCATCCAGAGAGGCTGGGCCTCTTGGTAAGACTCAAATGCAGAGGGGTGGTCACAGGCATCCGTACTTTCCAGCCACGGATAAGAGTGTGGAAAAGGGTGGGTGAAACCGGAGGCACCCGATCGTTGCCTGAACCAATCTGCAGGACTGCTCTGCACTCTCAGGAGCTTTTATTTTGGCTCCAGGCCTCCCCTTCCCCTGGAGCCTCATTATTCCCATTCAAGAGGAGAAGCCTCCTCATTCCTTCCTTCAAATATTTGATGAGCAACTGCTTTGGGCCAGACCTGAGGCTGGTGATTCACAGTGAACCCAAGAGATAAAAAGCCCTTCCTTGTAGGAATCTAGTGGGGAGGAAGGGGCAGGGAGGGGTCAGTGAAGGCCTGKCTAGAGGGTGGCCCTTGACCGAGGTCTGGAGGACAGAAAGGGTGTTGAAAAGCCCACATCAGGCAGAGACAAAGGCCCTGGGTGAGAGCTGGCCCAGGGAGTTGAGGGAAGACAGACAGACCTGTGGATGGACAGGGGAGACAGATGGGGGTGGCGTTGAGCCGAGGAGTGGCATGAGAGTAACCTAGGTTTTAAAGGCATCACTTTGGCTGAGAACAGAGAGGGCAGGGAGGTCCCAACAGACACAGAGAGGGCAGTCAGGGTCCAGGCAGAAAACAGCAGCCTGAGCTGGGCTGGCGCAGCGGAGGTGGTGGGAAGGGTCAGATACACGGAACCTGGAGCCTGAAGATGTGCTGGTCCACACTGGATGGAGAATTTGAGGGAATAGAGGAATCAAAGATGCCTAAGGTTTCTAGCCTAAGCCTGGAAAAATGGAATTGCAGTCATTGATAGAAAAGACGAGAATAGCAGGGCGAGGAGAGCTGAGGGCGGGTGGGTGGTCAGGGGCTCATGCTGGGGAGACGTGGAACGGGCAGATGGATGCCGAGTGTGCAGCTCAGAAGAGAAAGGAGACACAAGTGTGCAACCGAGGCTACCAGCATCCAGATGTCTCTCAGGGGCCAGGGCCCCGATCACAGAAGGAGAGACGCAGAGGGAAGAGAGGGGCTCAAGGTGGGGGCCAGTGACCAGGGCAGCAGTCAATGACCATAGTGAAGGGGGTCAGTGGTCTACCTAGGCTGACCCCCACGGATCCAAGACAGGAGCATTAGGGGAAGAGAGAAGCGGATGTGGATTTCCGGGGACAGAGTGCAATGATCTCGGGAGTTGGGGAGGATGGGGAGGTGGGGGTGGAGAGGGAGGGAAGGTGGTCTGGGAACCTGGGTGTCCTTGGGCTCACTCACAAAAATAGAGATGGAGGGTACAATGAGATGAGTCCTGGTAAAGGGAGGAGAACAAGAAAACTTCTTGCATCCCTACTTTTTGGATTGGCATCTAACAAGAACAGGGAGTCTCCTGCTGCCCATCTTTCTAAGTTGTCCCACTTCCTGCTCCTCTCTTCTAGGGAGCAGCGGAGGCTGCACYGGGGCTTATTGTCTCTACCCCAGGTCGCTGATGAACTCACTAACATGGTTAGCCAAATGGAAACTTATAAAATTTTGCATTGAACATGTGCACTCTAAGTGGTAAGCCTTCTTCCCAAGCATCAGAATATAGCAACCGGGCGCTGCCTGGGAAMAGGCGCCTTGAAGCAGTCACCTGAGCCTGTCTACATCAGCTCCAGCTGTCACCTACAGTCCCGCCAGTGGCCACCAGGGGGAGCCCGCGCCAAGGCAGCYGGTGATGCAACTTGTGGAGAGACTTTCCCTACCTGTCGGTTTTCCCTGGAAAGGTCCAAGTCAGGAGTGGAAGCGCCACTCAGCTGTCGGGTTGCTGTAAAAGAACAAATGTGGTGAAGAGACCATCAAACTTAAGGACCCAAAGGAAGTCCTTATTGGGCAGCTTCATTCCACAGAACCTCTCTCTGCTGTTGGTGCTCAGAAGCCCACCCTTTGGCAGATGCAAGTTTTGCAAACTGATCCTTCCAGTCGGCTACTTGTCTTTTCGTTTCCTGATGATGTCTTTTGAAGAGCAAAATTTTTGAATTTTGGCGAAGTGATCTCCAAGCTGAGATGGGAAGGTGCAGGTGTGAGCACTGTGCGGTGGGGGGGGGAGGGGCGGGTGGACAGACAGACCCACGTTGGTAAAGACAGAGGGGAGATGGAGCATAGCATTTGGAGGAAGTGTAGGATGGGTCACTGGTTTGTCTGTCCATCTGTCTGTCTGTCCATCTGTCTGTCCATCCATCGATCTGTTCAACAAGAACTTATTGAGTATCTACTCTTGCCAGGATCTGTGTAGACCTATGAGGTCTTCCTCAGGGAGTTCAGAGCCCTTAGGAGAGGGAGAGGGGAGAGGATGGCTGTTGGCCCAGGCTACCATTCTGCCTGGGAGGGCCGTCAGCATGGGAGGTAGGGAGTCAGTCCAGCAAGTTGGTGGGGTGCAGGGTTTCAGTCCAGCCTGGCCACCAGGCTTCAGGGCAGGTGAGGGAGGGAGAGGAAAAGARGATTTCACCCTCTCCCACCTCACTACCCCTTTTAGCTCTCTCAGGCAGCAGGCAGAGATGGTAATAAGGGAAGCTGTTACCATGGAAACCCCGAGCAGCACCCAGCCTTCCTCTGCACCCTGCGCCATCCCCAGACCTGCCTTCTTCCTGAAGGAAGAGCTAAGAGCACAGGAAAAAGAAAACCAGAAACCCGAGGGTGCTTCAGGTACACAAGACAGGGGCACCAACATGGCCTGAAGTGGCGGGGTCAGAGAATGTCTCTCTTTGGGTATCATCTTCACAACAGGGGACAAAGGCTTTTGGGAGAAGCAGTGGGGAGAATTGGGCTGTCTGAAGTCAGGCTGTGTGGACTTCAGTCYTACACCCACCCTTGCTAGCTGTATGACCATGGAGAGTGATTTCACCCCCCTGAACTTCAGATCCCAGATCTGGAAAGTGAGAGTGATAATAATACTGTCTCCCAGGGTTAACATGGAGAGGAAATAAGATAATTCATATAAAGTCCTCTGAACAATGCTTGAGAAATACACAAGTGCACAAGATTAGCCAGGGCCATCGTCACCGTCATCAGCGTATTTGTGAGATGTTGGTGACTGGATGATCCCTAGGCTCCTTCCTCCCACCCACTCTCTTCTGGGGCAGGTAGAAGGACAGCTGTGGAGATGGGATAGACAGTCTGCTGTCTCTCAAACTGTAGCCACCAGGCAGCCATTGTCTCTGTTCTTTCTGGGCCCAAAAAACAAATGTCAGTCTTGCTTTGGGGCCTAGGAGGGGCAGGGGGATGAGGCTGATGTTGGTTGGTGGGTCAGGATCCTCAGATCTCCTCCAGAGCTGCAAATCTCATGGAATGACAGAGCCTGTGGCCTTCCTCTTTCCCATTTCTGCACCAGTTGGACTCTCATGCCCAAAGCTGGATGCTTTGTAGCTCTGGGCTTGAGCTAAGCTTTCCTTGCAATTGGGTGAAAGCTTCAAGAAGAACTTGCTATTWTTCTGACTTCCCAGCCCATTGGCCCTGGCTACCAGGCTTCCAGGCCTTGCCTGGTTTCCTCCAACTGCTGTTCTAACTAGCTACAGGCCAACACTTTGCCCTCTCCTTCTCCTTCCAGATCAGCTGGACATCTGAAGGCCAAGTGCTCAAGTCTCCAGGATGGTTCCAGAATATGGAGGGCCCTGCGGAGGGGCTGGTTTTATCAATAGTGAAGACTTTACTGAGCATTCACTGTGGACTACACGTTTTCCATTTAAAAATGACTTCACTTAATCATCATAAAGATCCTAGGGCACTAGAATCATCCCGAGATGAAGGAGAAAATTAAGGCCCACAAGGTTAAACAACCAGGCCAAGGTCATAGTGCCAGTAAGTGGTGGAGTTGACCCTCAAACCCAGGCAGCTTTGCTGTCCCCCTGGACCCTGGAGCCTCTGCTGCAAGGCAGTGCTGGGTGAGGGCAGAGGAAGGGGAAGAGCTGGCTTGAGGCCTGGTTCAGGGGCACAGCCTTCCMAGCCTTTCACACACTGGGAGCATGGTGGGCCCAGCCAGGGATCCAGACTGGACCTAGGGCCATTAGGCTTCTTCTCCCAGCACTGCCCAGGGCCCGTGAGCTCCACCCCCTGACCATCTGGCCCTCTCAGTATCTTCAACGAAGCGTCATCTGTTTGTTAACAATGAGAAGGAGTATCTCCTGTGGTTCTGGACTTCCACAAGCAGGAGGTCCTGGCCAGGGCACCCCTTGCCTCCTCCTCTTCTCTGGATCTGCTCCCCATCCCCCCCACTCCAGGACATCAACTTACACTCCCTGTGGCTGCTGGGAGCTGTACTGGGAGGGGTAGGCAGGGTTTTACTGGCCTGAGAGGTTCTGGTTCATGGCCTCCCACACCTGCC